GCGACCCGAAGGGTTCCAGTCCTTACTAGGACTGGGAGCACAAAGATGCAGAGGGTTCCCGACGAGAGGAACTCAGCGCGCGACGAGCAGAACTACGGGGAACTAACGGAACTAACACGGAGCAAACAGGACAAACGGGGAACAAACGGAACTAATGGGGAACAAATGGAGGGAAAAGAAACTATGAGCCTGCAGGAGGATGATTGGGCAAAGTCGGACCAGGCTTGTGTCTGGTACTTGCTCCAAGTCGTCAGATCCGATGTCGGGCGTTTCGAGTGGAACTCACGGGGGCGGGAACGATGCAATGTGATCAGGAATAGATTCAGGAAGATATTTTAAACAGTGAGTGGAGTACTGGGAAGTACTCTGTAAGTGGAAGTGGAGTCGAGTCTATCAGAAGGTAAAAAACTAAGATCCCATCTATTGCTACCTATATAGGAAGGGGTTCTGAAATGCGATATGCTACAACCGGGTGAGGCTGTGAGATAAGGAATTGGTCCCGAGTAGCGGAAGGATCCATATAAGTACTGTAACACATGGGAAATGAGATAGGAACATGTTAGTGACATGGGGAATGTAGCTAGTACTCACCAGCGAGGATGGAAGGACATGGACAGGACAGAGGAGGATGTTCCAAAGGCTGAAGGAATATAATGCGTGTGGTATGTGATTGTTCTGCTGGGTTCCGCTGGGTTCCGTGTAGCGGACGGGTCGGGGAAGATGCGGATGGGTGGCGGAATGCGCGGGAAAATGGTGGGAAGGCATGGGAAATATGCGGGATACAGGCCTACAGTGGGGACGTTCCCCACACCGCGCTAGTCACCTTCCACCGTCCTGACAATAGGTACGCCTTTCGTTTCTCACCCCATTGAGGTCTTAGGGGCTCGGGGCACTTCGATGGGCGCCACTTATAGACCTTATCCAGGTCGATTAGTGGTATCGTGTGATTTATCACCCTTAGTGGGGGCAGCCCGGTCTCGCTTGCCTTGGCGCACAGCGGCTTGGCCAAGTGGCGGAGCTCTTGTCGAGCATTTTCCAATTCCTCCTCAAGTGTCCCCACCATGCGAGACTCCAGTACTGACATGTGCTCACCTTTCACAGGTAGAGCCTTATCACTCCCCACCACCACTCTGGATGGGTTGAGTCCCACCATCACCTGGTGTTGGAAGAGGAATGGCATTCCTAGTATTAGATCATAATTTTGTAAGTTTATTATATCAAAGAATCGCTCTTCACTGATGCGCTGGTAGGAGAACTGGGCTTTCGCCCCGAAGTTCACCTTAGATCGCAATCCCTGCACTGCGAGCTGAATGGTGAGTGGTTTTTCCAGCTGGATTCATTTCACTCGCAGCTGTTCTGCTAATGTAGATGACATGAAGTCTGCAAGCGAGCCTGTGTCAATCAGGGCTCATGCAGGTCGCCCGTTTACGTGCATCACGACCACGACGGGTTTGGGAATCAGTCGCCTCAAGTCCTGGGTAATGGCCGCGTTACACTGGATGGCGGGATATTTCCCAGGCACTACCTGCTGCCCATTTAGTTCGAGCAATTGAAAGTGGTGAGCCGTTTCCCCAAACCATATGTCGGGTATCGTGAATAGCTGATGCGCTACCTCTTCCAATGCGCAGTCCATCATGCTGCGCCCCCCATCCTCCAGCAATTTGAGGTGATTATCCTCCCACTTTAACTCGGCCTCTAGCATCAGCGTATCCAACTGTTGGTAAGCTTTTAACAACCTCTTTGCATACCAGTGTGTGAACTCAGCCTTTCGTTGCCCAGGAGTTCCTCGGGTACCCGAACTTGGAAATTCAATTCATGATCGAATACTTCGTAAGCGACCTTGTCCTCGTGCTCTATTCGTTGACAGAAGAAACGATCTGCACCAGCGCCCCCTGGGTACTTATCCTCGTTGTTCAGAACTGAGGTCACTCGTGCAGACAAGGCATCACCCATAGGAACTTGGTCCCTTGATGGGCGCGATGCCGGCTGAGGTAGGTCGAGGGGTGTTGCTAGTCTGTTCCCATACCAGTCGCTCACACTGAACTTAGGGTCCTCTAGCAGGTGGGATGGGATTTCCACATCGCCTTCGAGGCGCGATCTACGGTCCATGATCACATGGTGGGTGCCAGAGGTTTGGTAAATCAAGAACTGTTCCTCCGAGAAGGTGTCCTCATGGGCGAGGTCATCCCCCGGGTAGGGGGCACACATCCTTAGTACCTGTTCTGCCCGTCTCGCCCAAGGGTCGCCCATAGGTACGTCAGTAATTCCCCACACGCAGCTGATTTGCACCTTACATATGGGGTCCTCGAGAGAGGCACATCCTAGAGGGATTTCTGTGATTACCTCCGTGCTGTAGTCTAATGCCTCCAGGTTTCTGTCCTCGGGCGCCTCTACATGCATGGCGTAATTCAGTATCCCTGGGGGTCGGTTGCCGCCCCCCGAGGGCACTGTGGTTCTGCTGGGACAGCTCCGGGAAATGTGTCCAGTTTGCTTGCACACAAAGCAGCGGCCCTCTGAGGCAAGTCTATCATGCTCTTCCTTGCTCATCTTTTCAGTTTGTTCTCGTGGTGGTCAGTGATTGCCAGCCATCCTTCCCGTATTCCCCGGGGGCACTTTGCCTCCCCTTGGGCGGGTCCTATCCCTGCCCCACGGTGCATTGGGGAAAGATCTCCCGGCGGTTGATGGGCCTGAGAACACTTGGCTGGGGCAATCCGTGTGTGGTGAGTTACAGATCAATTTATTGTTTCCTTTCTTCACGGGTCGTTGCCCATCCTCGCGGCTGCGTGGTTCGGTCATTGAGTTTGCTAATTCAATGATTTCAGCTGTCCGTTGAACCCTCTTTAGGGATGTGACCTCCGGATTGAGTCGCATTTTATACAGCTCACTTTGGATACTGGGGTTCAGCCTGAACAAGAACTTAATGACATTTTCTCTCTCTGGTATGTTACCGATCATCATCCAGAGCTCGTTTAATTCCAACAAGTAGTCTTGTACTCTCTTGTCACCTTGGAAGCAGCAGTATAACTTCTTATGCTGTCGGGTGCGATAGTCCAGCGGGAAGCAGTAGTTAAATAGCTCGGTAAAGAATTCCTTTAACCTCCACTCAGCTGGTCGGTCTGACACCTGCCTCACATAGAAGTCATGCGCCTTTCCTCTCAGGAAATGAGATAAGACGAAGACTCGACGTTCGCAGGGGACATTCCCGTCTTCCACATAAGCAGTTCCTTCGGTGATGCACCAATGGAATGCATGGGAGTCCACCGCGCCGTCATATTCTGCAGGCGGGATTGGTTTCAAGGTGACCTTCCTCCAATCTGAGGTTTTCTTAGACTTACGCTTCCTCGAGTGACTTCGTTTCTTAGAGGATCGCTTTTTTCGCTTAGGGGGTTCGTCATCAGATTCTGAAGACGAGCTATTTGGTGATTCGTCCGTCGAGCTTGATTCTATTGACGATGACGACTGGGTTGATTCGTCTCGTGAGTCAGAGTTCAACGCGGATTCGTCCTCTGACGAGTCGGGTTCCTTGTCAGTGGTGGGTTTCGATTTTCTTGAATTGAATTGGTCGAACACGCGACCAAGATAACTCTTAGGTGCTATTTGAGCCATGGCGTCTAATGCTGCAGGGGATGCCCTCAGGCCTCGCCTCCTGGTCTCTTTGCCCACAGTTCTTTGTACTAATTCCTCAACAGGATTGCTGACGGCTGCCCTTGCACGGGGAAGCGCTGTTTGGTTAGCCGTGGCCTTAGCCAGTAGTGAGTCCCTTTGTTGTATCTCCAGATTCAACTGTTCTATTTGCTTCTGAAAGGACTTAGCCATTCGCTGTTCAGCCTTCTGGACTGCTCATTCTGTTGGGTCAGCTTTTGATGGTTCCTTTTCCCCTTCGGGTGCCTCTGTGTTGGCATCATTATTCTTGTGAGACCACTCGTGTGCATTGGCCCAGGCCTTCAAGGCTTCCATCTGGGCCTCAACATCTACGTCTGAGTCGTTGAGGTCGATGCCTCCCCAGTTGCGGGGATCTATCCCCTTACCCTTCGGCGGTCCTTTGCTCATTGTAGGGTGGGGCTCGACGGATCTAGCCCGCTTCTCAGTGCGCCTTCTTTCTTGGATGCGTCGGCGTTCTTCAAAGGTGAGGTTCTTCTCAGCCTCTTTAATCAGGTCTGAGCCTGGTAAATCCTTCTGCTGGGTTTCGACCCTGACAGTCTCAGGTTTGTCCTTACCATCCGTCCTGGACTTCTTGGACTTCTTATGGCAATGTTCAACCTCTTTCCAAGGTTCGTCGCTTTCATCACTCGTGGTATAAAAAGGGGAGCTGTTAATATTCACAGGAGTCTTGAATACAGGGGTCATTCCCTCATCCGAACTGTCCAACGCCAAAGCGCGCAAGACACTGTCGGATTCCCTCTCAGCTCCGGGCCGAGGGGTTTCCGACCTCGTTCGTACCACATCGCTGTACAAGCGAACAGGTCTGAGAACGGGCCCGACAGGAGCGTCATGAGACAGCTCTTTTGTTGGGATAGTTGGTGTTTTGTTAGTTCCAGTTGAAGTCAACGACGACATACTTTGGGTATCAAGATTCAGGGCAGGACCTGCTGAGGTGGATCTGCCCGAACGGAGATTGTAGTGTGTCGACATTGGTATGATATCGAGTGGTATGTCCGGTGGGCTTTAACCGTAGATGCCGACTCGAGATGATTGAGAATAAGAAATGAAAACTAGTAAAGACTTTGGTACGTCAAAAAAGATGTGATGTCTACTATTTAGCGTGTGAAGGCTCGAAGTAGGTGGCACAATAGAAGAATGTTATTGACTGATAGATGGTGTTAAAGTCTGGTATTCTGGGTATGATAAACGCTGCCCTCATTCTATGACAGTATCCTGTATTTAAACTATAGTAAACAAAAGGCAGGGTTAAGGGTTCGGAGAAGATAGGAATGGGACACGGATAAGTAACAAGCGCAGGCATATGATAAAGGTAAGATAGGACATATCAGATCCTAGCAATGAAAGATAGGTAAGAAGTAGGGACAGAATAAATGAGAGTCAGGGGAATAATTGACAGTCTTAGGAATGTGAAACAGCAACCGCCACTTAACGTATATGACAGCAACCATTACACATTGCTCCTCAACTGACGCACAACCCTGGTTGTGTTTGCAGAAAGCTTCTTAAGAAGGGCATGCAATTGTGCAAGCAGCTAGCGCCATCCTCAGCAGATCATCATGCCCGCGACATTGGCGCCCTTAGACGTGCGGTTTGGGAAGTCGATGAATTCATGCAGAGAGTTCCTGGCAACACAGAGGAGATGCAAACCAAGTTTCAAGTGGCCTCAAGGAGAATAATCCCAGAGAAGAAGCTAGTGCGAAAGGAGAAATCCGCTCTCAACATCCAGGATGTTTGATGATGGTTCGGATATCGTGATTTCATATTATTGTGTATGTACCAATACATACCACAAAATGAACGCTGTTATAAACACAACGAAAGAATAAAATAGACAAAGTATCTACTCCTCATCACTGGATGTCAGGTATTTGTCATCGTTAACCACCTGTTTGGGACCAGCAATCCGAGCCTTACCCCGCTGCGGCCGCTCATCCTCGCCCATAGGAATAAGCGCGTGGATTCCTGCATTATCATCAACACGTCTATCCACATAATAGGCGGAGGACTATTCACCAGTCACTATCGAAGCTGCAAACCTACGCGTCAGCACAGAGAAAGAAACGACTGCAAGAGACGACATACATGATTATCTGTGGTCTGCAAGTTGAGACCCAAACTACCAGCTCGTGTCTACAGAATGAAGACTTTGATTTACAAGTCCTTTGCATTGCACTGTTGCATATGCAGGGCACACTTTGCCATCGTACCACCATGAAGACGGAGATACCTCCAGCCTGAAATCTTCTCTGATATCCATGACCTTCGTCATTTAGAGGAACAAGGACCTGATGGAAACAATGATCAGCACAACTCGCGACAATTGCTGGAGAAGCAACGCACCCTGTGGCCTGTGTCCTCAACAGTCTTGAATAAGAACAGATGTTGACTGCATCAGCTCATTACTCAGACCCTTCACGCCTCCAGATTTGCTACCAAAAACCATCAGGACCACGACTCGCACTCCACCAAAAGCACCAAACTTACCCCTTGTCATTCTTCCCATTAGCAATCATCTTATGCTTCTTCATAGCTGACTCTGCAGCGCACTCATTCGGCAAATTCGCTCTCCGCCTTCTCAAACGAATGGCTGCAACTGCCAGATGATCAGTAGTGCCTCTTCTTCGTTCCACTCGATCTTGTCCCCCGTACCCGAGTCCGCCAACAGCGTGTTGAACCATTTGTCGAATAATTTGACGGAGTTGAAGATCTTCTGGCAGACAAAGTTGAGGAGGGCCCAGAGTTCAGGGAGGTTGTTCTGAAGTGGTAGTACTGTGTGAGCGTCTGCGCGAGCTTTGACTGGGTGTTCTGTCTAAGAGTCAAACCAAGGATGAACAACCAAGAACCAACAAAATCTTCAAACCCACTCACCGATGATTGTATGCACCCATTTGAGCTTGCTGAGAATAGACTGGTCTTTAATGATGTACTCGTATGTGGTGAGCAGACTTGGATCTGGAGGTGAGTTCGGAGAGGACATAATTGGAGGTGAATTAGAGGAGGGAGTCTGCAGGGTCTAGAGAGAAGTACTGGTCCTCCGAGCACAGCTCGTGGAAGATCCACAATGGGGTATAGTCCTTGAATTTGAAGTCCACTTGAACCTCGGTGGACCTTGTCATTTTATGATTTATCTCAAGAGTAAATCCGACTCAACACATCAGCTGGTGGACTACTTCGTCTCCCCTAGAGGCTAGTATGCACGTAAAGTTATAAGGGACATACATATTGTCTCTAATTGTAGGACTGACATGCGTAGCTTCTATAACTGAAGACAATGATACATGCATCACTATGTGCGGATTTTGTGCAAAGGAATGTGAAGTATTACGCCCGCGGTTTCTTGATTTGAAAGAAGGCATTATTCTTGTCTCATTGAAGCCATTCTTGTCCTCCCTTGATCATCCATGCGTTACTGAACGCAACGTGAGTGACAATGCTCATCTGCTTCACAATATTTTATCTCATGTGAATTCCGCAGGTGGATGGCTGTGACGGCAAGTAGAAGTTTCTTTTAAGACTTTAGATGACGGCACAAGGTAGAGTACAATCTTGCGCAATGTTAACCAGATACCAACCTAGTTGTGATTGGGAGAAGTTCTAAGGGCTAAGTACATAAACACAATCTTTAAATATTGTTGATAAGTATGAAGCCTGTGATTAAGGAAATAACGAATATAAAGAAAACTTATCGTGCGGCCACGGAAACGACAAGTTACTGGGCCTCGAACATTCTATCTCTTGATCAATCTGAAACCTTTCTTCATGCAAGGCACACTCGCCACATACCCCCCTCCAGGATGAGTATCATCCTCACTTCTTCTTTTGCCTGGTGAGCTCCTTTTCAACTTTGTTGGAACTTTTACCAGGTTGCTCTTCAGGTTCTTCCTTGTCGATCTCCATACGAGCTGATGCATGAGTGCGAGTGGATGATTGGGGAGTAGGAGCGCGCGGTGAGTGAGGAATAGTGCGAGTACCGCTGGGGCCTGCGCCACCTTTAGGAGGATTGGTGCGCGGTGTAGGATGCGGATCGGCACCGACATGGTACTCCCTTGATGTACCAATCCACTGCAATATTCACCCGACCCCACGCGCTCTATCCGACTCCTTGCCAATCGAACTCCCGCCCATGCGCATTCAAGCCGCTCACACAAGCGGATCGGCCAACGACAAATCAACGCGCATCATCGGTCGGTCGCGCGTGTGTTTTGCCTTTCTAGCTCACAGATACTCAGTCGAACCCCATATCCATAAAATCCTTGTCCACTGGTGCGTAGTATATTCTTCTTTGGTTTATTTGACAGATACAGTACTTTTACCTCTCAAACTCCCTATTACGTCGCCTTAAGCGGCTTGGACCGATTTACTCTCACATATCCCCGTACATATCATGGACAATCGACTGCATGTCCCACGTACATTTCTAGCAAACCATGAAGTAGCCCGGACATCCCAAGCGATGATTATCTCCATTATTTACCTAGTAGCCGATTTTGTACTTAAGGAGCGCTCGCCTGTTATTGCAATTCAGTTAATTCTCACTCAGAAGCCGTGTCTTTTGTGTTCCGTTCTCTTCTGATCCTATTCTCGTGTCCATCCGCACGTTCGTCTTAAAACTTCCGTTCCCCATCATCTATCTAAGTCGGCCACACTCGCTTGTGCACCGCATAGCAGTCAGTAGAAATTATAGTTGGTCGGCTTTACGGGTAACCGTTTACGCTGAACACATATTGGATCGGCCGCCCTTTGACTCGTTGTTGCGCCCCTCGTATTATATACTGAGGCAGCAATTCGGTTTGCTTTGTTCTGCTTCCCTCGGGTTGAACTGAACATTTTAGGCTCACTACTCGAATCGGCCGTTATCACACTGAGGTCGTAGTGGAATCTGCTCCTTACAGTGGAGTGCTAGCTGTCTGGCGGGCGCGCTTTGCCGCCCTGCGTTCTGTAATACTGCAGTCTCGCCACTCCCTCTGACGCTTAGTGGTCTCTAGGTTCATCCATAGGGCCTCTTCTAACAACTCCGCGTGATGAGGGTTAATCCAATGCCCGCCCTCAGGGATCGGTGGTTGGTTGGCGCTTGGTTGGGAAGCCAGTTTTTCACCGACAAGTTCTGTGAAGGATGGGGAAGGACCTCCGATACGCAGTCCCTCCGAGGACTCCTCCACCAAACGAGAGGTGAGTCCGTTCGTTACCTGCATCATGTTGAATGCCAGGGCGAAGTCCCCGAATCCAACGGGGGTAGCGCAGTCAGCAGCGGTGCCAGAGCGCAAGTGCGTGTCATGCTCGAGATAGGCACGGACCATGTTGAGGACCACCATCAGGTCCCCGTCACCCAGGCCACTGGGTAGGGTGAAGCACTGAGCGCCAATGTGGGTGAGGAGTGGCGCCATGGCAGGTTCTATGATTTGACAAGTGAATAGTAGTAGAGTGTTGTTGGTGGTGAAGGATAGTGAGGGGACAGCGGAGGAGGAATTGACGACCGGGTTTTTATAGGCCGAGTCGTCGAGGTCCAGGTGCCCAACTGACACCTGGGAATCTCCAGCTGGGAGATTCCCGGTTCCCTCCTCTAATTCTGAGACATCTTCTATGCCCAGCACTGTAAAATAGTCTTTTAGCGCGCTTAAATCGGATACTTGATCGTAGGACAGCCAAGTCATGTCCCCTGACTTCCAGAGGATTTGAAATGTGGAATCTGCCCGTTTACCTGAGTGGGTGAGTATCTTGTCGATTGCCCATTCCGACTCGACCTCCTCAAAGTCGGCTATTTGAGTTTCCATTCGCCCTGGAAAGAGGCAATCATCGCTGGGGATATGGATCCGAAGGTATGATGAGTGAAACACAGGGTGAACCCCACACTGACGAAGGTGACTGGGCAGGTCCAACTTGTAAGAATTATTCTGATAGTCTTTGAGGATTCTATATGGCCCGATGAATTTAGGCGTGAGTTTTCAAGTCATTCCTTTTGGTAGCGATATGTTCTTTGTCGACACATATACTAAATCTCCCTTTACTAAAGGACAAGCCCTATGATGCTTGTTAGCCTCGTAAGTCTGCTTAACTCGAGCTCCCAATACCACGTCATGAGCCGCCATTACAGTGGTCTTCATCTTCTGGGCGAATGCACGTACCCCGGGGTACTCTTCTGACCTGGCGGTTTCCCAAATCATGGCTCTTGGGAGTCGCCCATTCGCTTGGAACGGTGAGGTTTCTGTCGACTCCGATTTAGCTAAGTTAATAGCGAATTCAATGGCGGGCAACTTTGCTACCCAATCCTTCTGATTGGGAGCTATGCATGATCTTAGCATCTGTCCGATTGTTCGGTTTGCTCATTCAGTCGCCCCGTCTGTCTGTGGGTGATACGTGCTCGACATTTTTAGCTGCACACCAATGAGTTTATTGAGGTGAGTCCAGAAGTTACTCATGAATAACACGTCCCGGTTGCTAATGATGGCTTTAGGGATTCTGTGGTACTTGTAGACTTCTGCGAACATGAGTTCGGCAATATCTCTAGCGGTGTAAGTTGTTCTGCTAGGAACTAAGTGAACCATAGCCATTAGCAGATCGATAATTACAGTTATCGAATCTGTCATATACCGGATCCGAGCACCTCCAATACCACCTGTGAACATCCCTATCACTAGTCCGACCCCCTGTTTCCCCATCCGCTCCATCCCTCCTTCTCCGACAATGCACAAAGTGCATTTCAGCAGGACTAGCCCTGCTACCTCCGCCCGACTCTATTCCACTCCTCCAACACTATATCCCATACCTTCGGATCCGGAATTCCAGATTCTGCCCTATGAAAGTCCGGTACTCTGTCCTGTTCCACCCAGCGCTCCGCTTTCATCTCCGGACTTACACCTATCTCCTTTTTAGAACACTGCTCTCTGGTTACCGGTTGTACACCTTTCCGCTTTGCTTACTGATCCATCCGTTGGCACTTCATTTCCGACCTCATTTCCTTGATCCATTGTACACTTACTAATAGACCCTCCATATGCTTCGTACATAGCCCTTACCTTTGCTGACTGATTTACCTACATGATACCTACAGTATATAAACCCCTGTAATACTCCGGAACTCCTCAGTTTGAATATCATCTTAGTTCTGCTCATTCCTGCAATCTCCAGACTTGAGTCTCATCTCTTGTCCACCTCCGAGTCTTAGGGGTTAAACCTTAGGACTACTTCTCCGGCTCTACCTTAGGGTAGTCTAACCTCTGTTCAGTTTCTACTCCAGACTTCCATAGTAGCCTTACCTCGTCCCCCGTATAAACCTTCCGGAGTTCCGCCGAACTCCGCCAACACTAAGTCCTCCAGAACTCCCCGGACTTCCGTCGGACTTCCCCTCTGTCCCCCAGAAATTAAAGGGCACGTACTCAGGTAAGGGGTGCAGCGCACAAGCTGAAGCCGAAGCCCTTTGAGTAACCTCTCCCTTGAGCATGACCTTAACAGAATCGTACTCTCCATTTCGGTCTCTGGACGGCAGTAACGGCCCCATAAAGTCAACACCAATGGCCTCCCAGGGTTGGGAGGGTACTGTCAGTGAGTTCAGCAGTCCGAGGGGCTTTTGATTTGATGGCTTGCTGCGCCGACATGTTTTGCATGACTTGCAGAACATTTGCACGTCGGGAACCATCGTTTTCCACCAAACGTGTTCTCTTAAATATGATAAAGTTTTGTCTGCACCTAGGTGGGCTAACAGAGAATGGGCTTGGTCGATAATGACCTCGACGAGCTGACGTTCTCCTACCTTGATCTCAGGTATGCAGAGCGCAGAAAAACAGTTTTTTACCTCGAAGTTTCTAAACTCCTTAGGCGACTCTAGGACCTTTCTGAACATTGTATCTTCGTGATACTGATGTCTCATTTGGTCTAACAATCCCATTTTGTGTGGGTAAGTTACTGGGATTCTGTCCTCTACTTCTACCTCCTTGGAGGTTGTTTCGACTTTGTTCTTTTTGACTGTGTCCTGCTCCCCCCCCTCCATTCGTGGTGCAGGGGTAGAAATTGTTGTTTTAGCAGCCCAAGGTCCCCGCAACACGAAGCGATCTTGCATCCGCCTTGCGAATTCCTGGCTTGTCTCAGGCCGCCCAGTTTCAGCCGGCTCCGTGGTGGGACGCACAGCTCACGGTCTGCATGCTGTCGGGGGAGGCGTGACCATTTGTTGGTCCAGCGCCTCAGCTGCGCGACTCAAGACCTGCCAAGATGCCTCATCTCTAGCCCGTGTGGCGGCTTTCGCAGATGTCAATCACGTCTGCCCCCCTTCTGCTGGGGCCACTGGCAATCTGCCATTCTTCTTTGGCCCCCCTTGCGACTGGGAGATCCGGATGGTCCCCAGGCCGTGCGCCACGACCCTGGAGCTCCTCCGTGGCCCAGAGGCCCGTGCCTCATCCCCGACCAGCACTGGCATGCTGATTATCTCGGAGACGTCCCTAGGTTGAGCCCGCTCGTCATGAACGACGTACTCACTGGTGGTGCACACCGTCCCTGGCGCGTCAAAATTGTACATGCGCGACAGGGCATCTGGAAGAATGTTGTGTGCCCCAGGCAAGTACTCAACTGTGAAGTCAAACTCACCCAGTTTTTCCATCCAGCGTGCTTGTCGACCCAACAAATTCTTCTGATTCAGCAGGTGAGTCAGACTTTTATGATCCGTCAACCAGACGAAAGGACATCCCTGTAGGATGTCACGGTGTCGTAGCATGGTCTCAACGCCCGCCAAAAATTCCTGTTCATGGACAGGATAGTTGCGCTGCGCGGTGTTCAGCTTGGCCGAGTAGAAGGCAGCAACTTTTGCTTTGCGCCAATCAGCCCCCTGAGCTATGACGCCCCCAACCCCTGTGGGGCAGGCGTCTGTCATCATCCAGACCTGCTCTTGACCTGGACTGTAGGTGAGTGGTACTCTACTGTGAGTTGAACACGCCGCAACGTAGTGTTTCACTTCCTCAAACACTCTCTGCTCAGTCTCGTCCCAATGAAAAGGGACTGTATCACCACACACCACTGATAGGACCCCTAAAGGGATCCATACCTTGTGTATATCATTGGCCAAATATCCCACCGCACCAATAAAACCGCGGCAGAGGTCCTGATTGGTAGGTGGTTTCAATTTCAGAACGTTGTCAACTTTGTCGGGATCCATTCAGATCCCGTTATTACTCACTATTCGTCCTAGGATCCTCATCTCGGGCTGGAGGAACTTGAGCTTCTTTTCACTCAGAAAGAGCTGCTCGCGTTCCAAAATTTGTACGATCTTCCGTACGTGCTCTATGTGCTTGTCCAGCGTATCTGAATATATAATGATATCATCCAGATACACATCCATGAAGATCCCAATATATTCACCAAACAAATAATTCATTACCGCCTGGTAAGTCGCAGGTGCGTTGCAATCCCCTTGCTGCAGGACATGGCTAACCATATTACCATCTGGTGTGGTCATAGCCGTACGCGGCACATGTTCTGGTATTACCCGGATTTGCTCATAGGTGTCTTGTCCATCCATCAAAGAGCAGTACGGTTTCCTAGCAACTCATCTCAAAATACCGTCCATGTCGGGCAATGGTGAGGTTAATTCACGCGTGTTTTTATTGCGTTCATGAAGGTCGACCACAGTTCTCAAGCAGTCGGTCCCTGGTTTCCGTATAAAGAGCATAGGGACTGTATTTCCGGCACTAGTCATTTGCCATCACCCGGACGCGAGGTACGCACTCCGCTTTTCTGCCCATTGGGGTCTCATGGGTTTGGGACAACGAGAGGGTCGCCACGGGTATACCTTGTTTTCATCAATAAGAGGTACCGTGTGATTTATCGCCCACAAAGGGGGCAGACCCATGTCCGCGGCTCTCATGCACAGGGGCCTTGCTAATTCTAATAGGCACTTTCTAGCCCGTTCAATTTTGCCCTCAAGCACCTCCACCACTCGTGACTCAAGGGTCGTCACCCCACTGCCTTTCAACGGGAGTGATTCTATGCTCCCAAGTATTACCCTAGGTGAGTTAAACCCGATCGTCACGCAGTGCTGATATAGAAACGGGGTCCTGAGTATCAGATCATAGTTCTGAAGATTGATCACATCGAAGTACCGACGATAGTCTGTACCTTGGTACTGAAATCGAACCTCAGTTCCATAGTTCACCTTGGACCGGGATCCTTGAATGGCCAACTGAATGGTTAGGGGTTTTTCTAACACGGTAAGCCGGCATTTCAACTGCTCAGCCGTCGTTAATGAAATGAAGTCCGCCAGCGATCCCGTGTCTATTAGTGCTCGGGTGGGCCGCCCGTTCACATGAACCACCACCACTATTGGCTTGGGGATAGCCTTTGTCATATCCCTGGTGGTTGCCGAGTTTCGTTGTAACGCTGGGTACGTGCCCTGCGCCACCTGCACTCCATAGACCAGGCACTCTCCAAATGACGCATTCGTCTGGTTGGAGGTTAACTCGTCATTGTCTAACAATACGCTTTTAGGCGCAAGTCACTTCTCAATTGATGAACCAAACATCTCGTTGAGTCCTACATATATGTTGTCTTGAACCATTGACAAGTCCCTGTTTAGTTTCAAGGCTGTCTTCCTTAAGTGGCGGCAATACCATCTTCTGGGGTTCCAATGCCACTGCAAGACCATTCCTCTCGCCAGGTATGTTTCTATTGCTAGGGCATTATCGGTGACCTGATAAGTTTGCTCATTGATCCGCTTACAGATGAAATGTTGGTCCAACGATGAGAACCAATAGCCAGAGGTAGGAGCTATATACTCCTCCAACCACCACTTGATGCAATCTTCAATCGGGGTTCCCATGGGTGCCCTCTTGTCGGTGCGTTTTCTTTCCTGCCTATGCAGCTGCTGCCCTTTCCAGCCCTTTCGTGTGCTCAAGAGCCGTCCTAGATACAGCCAATAAGCCTGATCGATTCGAAAATGGGGATCCTCCAGCTGGCGCCGCGAGATCCTCATTTTTTTCCATCCCACACCCATCATGGTGGAAGTCCATTACGACGTAAGTGTCCTCATCTTTAAGCTTAGTTACCCAGAATCGATCCGGGTCGTCCCAGGCAACCATGTCTGAACTGTCATCTGAACCATCCCAGGGGAGCTTCAGTCCCTGTAGACGATCCTCTGCCCTTCGGGCTACGGGATCCCTGAATCATATGTTAGATTCTTCTCTTTCTGTGATCGCGGGGGGTATATTAAATGGCCCCTCCATGAACAGTCCGACGGATCCTGCAAATAAGCCGTCCGGGGGCTCTGTTACCTCCGTCGGTTGCCGCATGCGTTCTTCATCGCTGGGCCCAATGTGTATCCCATAACTGGGCACCTGGGGGGCTTTCCCGGATTGTCTGATCAGAGGTGAGTGTTCTTTGGGCATTGTCGTGAGACATGTCCTAACTCCCCACAGATGAAGCAGCGTCCTTCCGCTCTACGGCGCTCACGTTCTTCCAGACTGATGCTGTTAGTCTGTTGGGTCCTTCCCATTCCCTTGGACATGTTCCCACCTTGGGGCGGCCTTTGTCCTTTCGACTTATCATAGGGATTGGGGCGCCTATCTCTACCCCTTCTGGGAGGTGGGTCAGTTCCCTTCGCTCTTGGCGTTCTCCCCAAGGCCGTCGCGCTGGATACCTCAACAGTCGCAGACTTTTCCTTTGGTTTGTCCCTTTGCGCAGATCGCTTTTCCCTCCCCATTGGGACAGAGTGAGCAATCTCAATTATTTCGGCTGCGGCCTGTACTTCCTTGAAAGTGGATACCTCTGGATTTAGTTCTTTCTTCCAAAGTTCCTTTTGGATTTCGGCTGATAGACCCGTCCATAACCGAGACACTCTGTCTCGGTCGTCGACATCGCCGATCATATTCCATAGCTCATTGAGCTCGTATACGTAGTCCCATACGGACTTGTCATTCTGAAAACACCTTTTCAACTTTTCACATTGCTTCGTTCTAAAATTGATTGGGAAGCAGTAGTTGAACATTTCGGTGAAGAACTCGCGAAGTCTCCAGCGGTAAGGGTCTCCAGATATCTCCCGGATATAAAACTCATGGGCTTTGCCTTTTAGGTAGTGTGACAAAACGAACACCCGCTTTTTCGATTGGACTTTGCCGTCCTTCACGTACGCAGTTCCCTCGGTAATGAACCGATGGAATGCTCGAGAATCAACTGCTCCATCATATACTGTAGGTGCTATGGGTTTCAAGGTAGTTCGGTCCCTCCTCTTCTTTGAGCGTTTCTTTGATCTCCCGCTCTTTTCCCTTGGGGATTCATTACTAGAGCTAGAGCTTGTCTCGTTGCTCAAGCTCGATGAACCACTCAAGGACGAGCTCGAGTCTGGGTCCGAGGAGTCGTCGTCTCCGTGACTTATGCGTCCCAACGCCTGCCCAATGTAGGATTTGGGCGCTACTTGGTGCACTGGCTCCATGGCCTGGGGTGTTCGACGTTGTTCTCACCTTCTGGTCTCTGGGTTTACTACCCTCCCGACTATTTCGTTAATCGGGTCTTTCCTCCCTCCGTTGGGCTCATGAAGGTGAATCTTCCTTTCGGTTTTATGGGCTCCCGATAGAGCCTCCTTCAGTTTCTGATCGTATTCTTTTTGCAGGCGTTTTTCAGCCTCCTTTACTGCCAGGTCGATTGTTCTTTTCTCTCTGATTCTAATCACCTGATCGAAACTGTCTTCCGTTCTTGGAGAGTGTCTGGGTTCTTTCCTCGGTACATTTTCGTTTCTGTCATCCCAGGGGGAGGCAATCTCATCAGCTAAGGTCCTGGCAGCCTTATACGATTCGAGGGCTGCATGTTGCCCCTTGATGTCTATATCCTCGTCATTCTCCAGGGCGCCCCAGTTTCTTGGGTCCACACCCTTTCCCTTAGACAGGCCTTCACCTCTTGACACGTCTTCGGTCATGGAGTGAGTAGTATTGCACCGATCAACGCTTCCTTCGCGCTCGTTTAGCGCAGAGCGGTCGGCATTGGTAATCTCATCGTTGGTAGGTTTTACCGTCTCATTTTGCTCACTTGAGAGCTCATCAGGTTTCTTGGCCTGGCTTCTGCCTCGGCAACTTCTGTTGCCGACTGTTACCCATGGACGGTCGTCACCATCCTCACTTTCACTAGTGAACTCGCTATGTTCGTTGGCGGTTCTAAAGGTGATGGGCTCGGTTGTTCTCTCTGTGAGAGTATTGACATTATCGTCGATCTCGACACTCGTTATCGCATCTAGGGCTATGTTACTCTCCTGCTCGACTTTGAAGTCAATGACAGGGCTACTCGCACGGACCATGTCGCTGTACGAGCGTATGGGTCCTGCTGCGGACGAACTACAGTTTTCGGCCTCCGATGGCCGCCCCACCGAGGTTAGAGGGGACTCTACAGAGTCGGGCAGCGCGGCCTTGAGACCGGGGCCCTCCGCCGGAGTGTGAGCACTAGATAACGCTTCGTTAGCAAGGTCTCCGAAGAAATCACCTACTTTGAAGTTTTTTAACACGAGTGGGAGTTGACAACGAACTAGCTCTAGCGCGTGTGCGCGAGCGAAGGTTGTAACAGGGGATTTTTGACATGGTTTGTTGATTTCGGGTTTGGGGTTTGTCACTGTCGATGAATGTGGTGGGCCAGACCAGTTAACTGAGTGACTAGGAGTGTTTGAGAGAAAAGAGGAAAGGCTTGGAGAAGGTTAAAAAATATGTGACGGCAAGTAGAAGTTTCTTTTAAGACTTTAGATGACGGCACAAGGTAGAGTACAATCTCGCGCAATGTTAACCAGATACCAGCCTAGTTGTGATTGGGAGAAGTTCTAAGGGCTAAGTACATAAACACGATCTTTAAATATTGTTGATAAGTACGAAGCCTGTGATTAAGGAAATAACGAATATAAAGAAAACTTATCGTGCGGCCACGGAAACGACAAGTTACCGGGCCTCGAACATTCTATCTCTCGATCAATCTGAAACCTTTCTTCGTGCGAGGCGCGCTCGCCACAATGGCAACGGAGGTGGCTCAGATTATCTACATCGAGTCGACCATCCAACAGTTTGAGAACCAGCGTGCAAGGAGTTTGCGTGCTAACAATCCAGTGCACATTTTACCTTCCACAATCCATTTCTGCTATTAGCGTTGACCTGTCGTATACTCGCAGTCGTGGTGTATCGTGAGTTGTATACACCCACTGATCACACTACAGACTCGAGCAGTGCCCGCACGTACAAGTAGTCCTGATGTACTGTTCAATTTATAGTCGGAGGGGATGAGAAACCAAACACATTTATTTCTCCCGTTCATTAATGACTTGGATGCGGAGGATCTGCTGGAAGCGGAGAAAAAATACTTCGTACGAGAGCTAAAAACACTGTATCAAGATGATCAATGCGCGACAACAAGACAGCGTAACAGGATGTACAAGATCGACAGCTTCAGACTCATGATTGAGACGACCCCGAGGCTTGGAAGAGGCGTTCCTATATGCGCAAGTCAGATGCTGAATCACGAAAATCGGAGAACACACCTTTGCAAGTTTCTGCCCTTCAGATAAAACAAGGAGGCAAGACCGCAAGCCTTTCAAGCACCACTGCCTTTCGAGCCAGGCGAGCAAATGATGATCCCAGAAGAGCTTGAATAAGGTGTTGAGCCTGCCATCCCATGGACTCAGAGCTCGCAAGAGATGGAAGGCCCAATTTTGACATGCATACTTCAGAGCATCAGAGGCTGATTGACTGCGTTCTCGGGCTTCTTTTGCAAAAATTACAAATGCCGTCATAGCATAGATGACCTCTATGTCTGGTAAATAACGATCTTCTTGGAACGCATGTGTGGAGTGATCTTGGGGTTGAAATGCCAGGAATGCCGGAAAGCCCAAGAAATCCGGCAAGTTCTTGAACTGTTCGATGACTTGAAAAGCTGCTCGTAAAGGTATTTCTGGGACGATTGTGTACTCGCTGGTGGCTTCCGATGTGCTCGAGAATTCATTCATTGTTACCCAGACAGATGCTGCTGGAGTCATCTGCCACGCTTGACCATGGGGCGTCTGTAGCCACTCTCGCCCGCTCTGTGTCTGCAGCCACTCTCGCCCTTGCCATGTCTGCAGCCACTCTTGCGCGCTGCTTGTTTTCAGCCACAGGCCATTCGGGGTCCGCAGCCACACTCGCCCGCTCGGGCTTTGCAGGCCATTCGGGGTCCGCAGCCACTGTTGCCCTTCTGGAGTATCCAGCCACTTTCGCCCAGCCACAGTCTGCGGCCACTCTCGCCCTGCTGGAGTATCCAACCACTCTTGCCCTGCTGGAGTATCTAGCCACTCTTGCCCTCTCTCGGTATGCAGCCACTGTTGCCCTCTCTCGGTCTGCAGCCACTCTCGCACTGCCTTGGTCTGCAGCCACTGTCGCCCTCTCATGGTCTGCAACCACTCTTGTCCTCTGGTCTGCAGCCGTTGTTGTCTTCCATTGATCTTCAACCACTCTCGCCCTCTGGAGGTCTCTAGCCATTGTTGCCCTCCATTGGTCTCCAACCACTCTCGCCCACTTGGGGTCCGCAGCCACTCTTGCCCTCGTGGAGTATCCAGCCACACTTGTCCAACATAGGCTTCCAGCCATTGTTGCGCTCCCTCGATCTCCAGCCGCTCTCGCCCTCTGGTCTCCAGCCACTCTCGCCCTCTGGGGGTCTCCAGCCACTCTCGCCCTCTGGGGGTCTCCAGCCATTCTCGCCCTCCATTGGTCCCTAGCCACTCTTGCGCTCTGGGGGCCTCTAGCCATTCTCGCCCTCCATTGGTCCCTAGCCACTCTCGCCCTCTGGGGCCTCTAGCCATTCTCGCCCTGTGTTGGTCTCCAGCCACTCTCGCCCTTCTGGAGTATCCAGCCACTTTCGCCTGGGGTCGATCTCCAGCCATTTTTTCCCGCTGGTCTTCATCCATTGCGCTCTCTCGCTCTTTAGCAGCTGTTGCACTCTCGCGCTCTCCAGCCGCTTTCGGTCTTCCTCGGTCTCCAGCCCCTTTTCCCCTCTGTTAGTCTCCAGCGGCTCTCGCCCACTCTGGGGGTCTAGCAGTTTTGGCTTGCCAGAGTGTCTAGCGATTTGTCGCCGTTTCTGAGCCCACTGCCACCCTATCCAACTCTGCAGCCACCCTTCTCCGCTCTCGGTCTGCAGCCATGCATTCCCCGTCTGCGTTTGTAACCAGTTCTCTCCCGTGCAAGTGGGCAGCCAGTTTCCCCCCTCCTCGGTCCGCAACCAGCCATCCCCTCCTTGGGTCTGCAGCCATGCACATCCATCCGGGGTTTCTAGCCAGGACCGCAAACCCGGACCGCGAACTCCCCGAAGCCATAGCAGACCCATAAGAGTATGTAGTGGTTCTGGTGGCTCGACTGATGAAGGCTAATGATCGTTGTAAGCTCTGGGGGTCGCTGGTTTGCATAGTTTGGCTGTGCTCCTTCAATTCTAAGAGCGCATCCAGAAGGGCCGTGCTTTTTGGAATGTCTCGCACCATCAAGCGGAAAGAGGATTCAGCGAGTAGGGAGTGGGGTGATGTGATGGAATGCACTTGAGGGAGGCTGCAGTTTGAGGGGTCCGAAACGTAGTCACGAATAGACGAGTGATAGATATCCACGGGGAGGCTGCTGTCGGTAGGAATATTCATGATAGACCGTAGCTGCACCAGTGTTGTCTCGACGTCCATGCCTTGACCAGGCCCAAGAAGTTTGGAGATCTGTGAAATCGGCAGAGGATCAACAAGGGCCGCGACAACGGACAAGTGCAGGTATGCCCGCTCGGGGTCTGCACATGTGGAAAGGATGCGATCATATAACTCGTACACCTCTGTTCCTGGCAGCAATCCACTCGTTAGCTCGAGCAAGAGCTCAAGCCGATCCTGGGGATCGTTGTATCCATCATCGATAAACTTCATCATCGTAGTCGCCACGATGAAATGTCTGCCTGCTCGGCTCGCTAGCCGCGCAAGCTTATCCGCGGTGGGCTGCGGGAAATCAGGATGGCGACTTTGCAGCTCCTTGAAGGAATGCTGCAAGAAAATATAGATGTCGTGATCGACGTCCTCGCCGTCTAATGAGATGGTGGCAGAAACGCCCTCTCCAGAAGTGTTCACCGGTATCTCGCGCACCAGCGAGCGCATATCTTCTTTCTGCATGGCTTTACGGATATGCTCTTCCAAGCGACCCGTGAGCAGAATATGGATCACGGGAAGATCAGGATCACGAAGAGCTTGGCCAAGCAGGGAGATCAGCTCAGCGACGGTTTCGGGTTTACATTCATCAAGGGCATCGATAACAAACATCGGAGGCATACACTCGCGCAGTCTCAATTGAAGGTTCGAGAGAGGCTGGCGAAATAACGCCTTCATCTGGCCGAGAAGAGACTTGCTGGGGTCTAGAACTGCAGGATTCTCCCGGATAGCTCCATTCACGTTCGTCTTGACGCTGGGAAAATTGCTCGCAAGCTGATAGGCAAGCAGTGGCAAAGAAATGACCACTTGTGCTGCGTTGTGTGTGCTTGCGAGAGAAAAAGAATGTCCCCGCGAGCCGTGTTTCGATATTCGTCTCCTCCGTCACTTTCAGAGATCTCATCCTTTCAGCTACAGTGAATGCGACAGCAGATTTTCCGACGCCTGCCGTGCCATGCAGCCAAATGATTTGACTCTTCTCTCGGTTGTCTAACAATCCGTAGATGTAGTCGAGAAGGTCCGCCCGGGTCCCTTCCAAACACTTTGAATGTGGCTGGCGTTCAGGAGAGTCATATTCAGCACCCGAAACAGCGACCCGAGACAGCTTCTCCCAAGGTCCTTCAGACGATTGATGGACTGTTGATGAGGTCAGAGTGCGAAAGGGGATAAGAGAAGGAGATACTGACATTGACTCATCGACAGAGATTGATGATAAAATGTGGCGCAATCGTCGGTAAAATACTAGCTGTGTTCGACAGTGTGGTTGGAAATCTTATAGGTGACGGCTATCACGAGGGACGACGTACGATTGATTGAAGAATACAAGCCTAAACTGCAACTTGAATCTTTTGAGAGAGGGTAAGGTCGAAGAAACTATGCTTGGGCGTCGGGCTATGTCCAGTCACTGTATTCAACGGTATTGGATTGGGCAACGAAACGAGCAAGCTGTAGAGTGATGGAGGTGGTAATGTTTGAAGGCCGCTTGGATTGAATGGATGATGTTCGAATCAATTGCAGGGCTAGGTAAGCTCGTTGGATGGTGGTGGAATGCAGCTGAACAACCAGTGGGCGCTCATCTTGTTGAACACGAGGTTCCTGTGTGGCCTTGCGCCAGAGTTCGACCAATCAGATATTTGAACGCACTCTAGGGCCATCCAGTTTCAGGCGACATCCACCCACCCTGAGCCACCCTCGAAATCGATAAGGTAGTAGAGTTAATAGATGATCATTACACACTGAGATCCTAGATGCCCGTCTTGTTCAATTTTTTGCTAAATGATATTGAGTGACATCCTCGGGCTGTCACATGTGTATTACCAGTCGATAGTAGTACTGATGTTTCTATTATTAATTGCGCACTCTATTCCAGTTAATCAACCGACAGTCGCACACCTGACATGCATGTCAGAAGGAGGGCGGAAGTAAAAGATACGTGAAAGTGAACTCAAGGACAAACCCGCAACATCACACAACCATAAAACCAGTCGCGCCTCATACGCAACAAAGTCATTAGCCTCTCGCGACTCATACACGGAGACGCCTCCAAGCCTACTAAGCGATGATCGGCGTGATTGCTCGAGCTTCATACGCAAGGAAACATGAACCCCCGAGCATGCTCAGCAGTAGTGTATGATTACTCTGGCAGCACTAGTCCTGTACGTGATGAGCTTTCGTGGCTTTCGAGCTGGTTGAGAAAAATAATAATTTCAAAGTCCGCTTGATGTAAGGGTGCCAAGACCGAGACATCTTAAGCTTAACATCAACAACGCATCAACTGGTGGACTATAACTTCCTCTCGTAAAGTTATAAAGGACATACTGTCTCCAGTTATAGGACTAACATGCGTAGCTTCTACTATAACTGGAGACAATATATCATCTCAAAGATCGAGGTACGTCCCGCCGAGTGCCGTACTCCCGAAGTTCTTAGCAAGATATTGATTGTGGCATATGACTCAGGATCGTGCAGAGATTGCTAATTTCCGTGTTGATAGGCTGGGCCTCGAGGCCTCCGAAGCTTCAAGCTCAAGCCAGATGGTCGATGCAAGGCTGAGTAGCAACTCGAGTCCGTGGCAGGTATAAATTTGAAGTTCGTAGTTTGTCGTGTCAGGGTACTCATTGCTCAAGGGTACACACTACCGCCGTGACTGTGCATCAAGTACTTGGACTTTGGGAGTCACATCCATGCAGACCGATTGTCCAAATGTTTGGGTTTAGTACCTCTTCCTAACAGGACGAGAAGTTCCAGATTCTATTCGCTGAGCCCAAGTTTGTGTTGGCAATTGCCACCAACGTCGTCTGGGCATGTTGTAATTTGAGCTCAAATAACGCGCTGTCAATCTAGCTCGATTGTACGGATCTTGAAGTCAATGCTGATGGTGGAGATGAACGCGGGTGTCCACGCATCGCCGCAGAAAAGACAGGACTAGATTGCGTTCTTGATCCTACCCTCTCAAACTTATTCTATTATTATAGCAGAGCCCCTTCTTCCACGTGTACGTCAGCGTCCTTCTTTACGGTAATCTGGATGCATTGAGGGTCCAAGTTTATCGTTCATACAATTTCAGGTTGCCTGCAGGTGTCAATTTTAGGTGCATAATTTGTGCCCCAATATGTTCGGAAGTTCAAAACACGGCGCTCGCTCGACTATAAGAGAGGCTTGCTTTGCCATGTACTCCTTTGTACTTTTGTGCCTCTTGAATTGTTGGTTACCACCTCAAGTCTTTGTCCAACCCTTCATATAAGTACTTCGATATCACAAGTACCTCTCGTTCAACAGACCATGTTGGACTTATTCTCCAAAGATCGAATCGTCAATGAGGCAGGACTTAGAGCCGCCTTACATCATCTGGACGCAATCTCAACTTCAGGTGCAACTGGATTACAAGCCACGATCGAACACCTACTCTCATCACCCCATGTTTTTGCCTATATCATTTCTGGTATCTCACAGACTCTCTTCTTGCGCTACCAGCTCTGACTCTGTAATAGTTTGGGATCGCTCCGAGAGAATGATCTTGCAGATCTTGACAGACTTTCCTACCAAATCTCAAGAATATCCTTCATCACTTGCGAGCAAGGTTCTGGACAATCTGTCTATATATTTTTTAGCCTTGCCAATCGAGTCTCTGGAGACGGAAGTCTCAAGGGACATCAGCCGCCACAGAGGCTTCATCGAGGGCGCTTTACCCTTGCTTCGTGCCTTGAGCACCATGAAATTTTCCAGCGCGAATTCTTTTGAAGACGAGAGCGATCTCTTCGACATCGAACCTGATGAAGGATTCGTCAAAATGAAAGTGCATCAAAAAATGCGCAAGCGACATCGCCAGAAACCTCAGCATGCGGGTATCAACACATCACTGTTCGCCAGGCTCGATGTGGCTGTGCCCACCACGAGTGACGCGGCCACAGCATTATCCACCCACATTCTTACCAAGCTGAAGCAAGTGCTCTCGGTATGTATGGTCACTATGTACCTGTCAACGTTTCCCCTGACAGCTTCCCCTAAGTTATACCTCTCGCTTCTGCGGTGGACGGAATTAGCGGACGACATCAAAGCCTTACTCTTCCCAAATGTAGAAGAGTCTGCCAGAGATGTCGCACCTAAACTTTCGTCCCCCGAAGACGTCGAGAGCTCAACAGAGTCAAGCGTGTACCCGATGGTGCAGCCCATGAAGGCTGCTCTTTACTTCGACAACGCGGATGGGTTCGGAGAGTGGCGGATCCTTGTATCTACCGAGGCTTATAACAATCTGCGTGAATACCGTCGAGCGGACCGGGAAATATTCAAGATCATTTTCAAGACGATCAGGTCCGTCTTTTAATGATATCTATAGCGCTAATTTGATATTTTCCTCAGACATCTCTCGCGCGGTCACTTCTCGAGCGACAATCAAAAGAGGCTCGATAGAACAGATGCAGGAATTCCGGTCTTCGAAGCCAAGTTGACCGAGGATCTACAGGCTCGTGGTAGACGTAATTTCCAATACACACTGAGAAGAAAATAACCTCGTTTCTCTTACAGTACCAGATTGATTGCATCCCTGACCAGGATGGAGAGGTATGTTATTCTTCCACAAAGACGTGTAAAAGATACTGAAACCGATTCTTGATAGTCTGAGAGACAAGGTGCGCCGTCATGCATCAAGAGCGAACATCGTCTTCTTCATCGCTCACGCGAATGCCAGTCATCAAAGTGTACGGGATCTACGAACACTCAAAACTTGAAAGAATATCATGGAATGCCTTGAGCAATCATCTAGCACGCAAGGGAACTGAATATCGCAGACGGTTGAGAACGCCTCTCACCTATTGATGCAACCTACTGAATCGTTGATCTATCAGATGCATCTTCCGCACCAAGGCAGCCAACGATGTTATTCTGCCAGCCTCATTCTCGCCGGCGGAACTCGAGCCAGAAATCACAGCGAGTCCGTTGGATCTCAGTGCTAAGGACATGGACGATGTTGAGTGTTTGTATCCTTTAGCTTCACCGTGATTGATCTGTGGTGTAGCTTCACGCCTTGCTGGTGTAAGAGTGAATTTTTTTTCGATCTGACGCATTGTGTTTAACGATTTTTTAGCCTAGAGAAATACGTAACGTTCTCGCAGGTGAGTTTATCTTCTCAGTTCTTCGATCAGCAATGACTTGATGATATCATATTAGGCTTTTTTGCATAGTGAGTTACCGCATGTACTCGGTCATCCTCATTTCTCATTCTCGCAAAAGGTCTCATCGCAAACGAAGACGTACACCACGCCTTCATGCTCTCGTATGTCCTACCGTCTTGAAATGAGTTTAATGATTGACGTTACTTCAGTTCTCAAGAATGGAAGGTCGTCGAATGCACCACGTCGTGCTATGTCTTGGGTCGAAGCGGCACAGGGTAAGTATCCTGTGCTCAAGATCGGTCACTTATTTATCTCACCACCAGAAAAACGACGACGATGCTGTACAAGATCCTTGGCATTCAGCGAGCTTGGGAATCGAGTGGCATTGACATGCCCAAGCCACGTCAGATTTTTGTCACAAAATCTAGAACGCTGGCGACAAAAGTAGGAGAAGACTTCACGAGGCTTCTAAAGTCCCTGACATCGGCTGGCTCTACGCTGCAAGAACTTGCCAAACTCAAGGCACAAAGCATTCTGAATGATCTTGTTGATCATGACGATGCTCCTGAGTCGCAGATGAATATACCAATGAGATACAGTCAACTCGAGGACAAACATTTCCCCCTATTCGTGACTTTCGATCAGGTATGTCATCGTGTGTTTCATAGACCCTCTTGAAAGCTTATTTTGTTCAGCTAGCAAAGATGATTGCAGCAGATGTCTTCGACATGGACGATCCTAAGACGAGACGTAGCGCTGAGCTGTTCTTCAACACCGACGATGCAGAGACACATGATTCGCTTGTCACCTATAATGTATTCAAAAATCAATATTGGCCACATTTTCCGCAGGGTCTCACCAAGAACCTCAGTAGTGCTGCTTCCTTTGCTGTCAGATCATACACTCACATGTCCTACCCAGATTCATGGTTGGTTTTCAGCGAGTTTCTGGGCAAGTACAAATCTGTATCCAATAAAGCAGCTCCTGAACCCCCACATAGGTATCATCAAAGGCTCAGAACAGGCATTGAGCTGTCCGGACGGTGTTCTCGACCGTTCAAGCTATCTCCGCATTTCTCGTCGCTCTAATCCGATTTCTGCGAACCACATGGACAGTGTCTACGATATATTCGAGATTTACAAGAAGTTCAAGAAGTATAAATACCATCTCGATGTTGCGGATCGGTACGGGTCATTTTGCTTCTCATTGATCAAACCCGATGATATAGCCCAAAACAGTACGCACGCGATCCTCAAGGTCTTGGGAGATCGGCGGTTTCCTGGTCGACAAATTGATTACCTGTAGGTATATCTCCCGATCGGTTAATCCTAGGTTTTTATCGATTATGTACACCAGGTATGTCGACGAGGCACAAGACAATCTGTTGATCGATGCGCTGGGTAAGTCATGATTTCATTGTTCAACACGAGAGTGTGGAAGAACTTTCTGCTCTAGTTTTGAGGCGATTGTGTAGGAATCCAGACGGACTTTTCTGGGCTGCGGATACTGCGCAAGCGATCTCTGCTGGAAGTTCCTTCAGGTTCGACGATCTGAAAGCGTTTATCTATCGTGTGGAGGTTAGCGACCGGCGGTTGTCTCCCAGATTTTTAATTGATCTATCTTCCTACAGCGGCAAAGTATCTTGGTCAACTCCGCTAGAGCTCCTGTGCATCAACCAACGATGTTCCAATTGGGCATGAACTATAGGTCACACGGTGGCATCGTGAACTGCGCTCATTCTGTCATCGAGCTCATCACGAAGTTCTGGCCAGATTCAATTGATCACCTCCAACCTGAAAAGGGGATGGTTGATGGAGTGAAGCCAATCTTTTTCACGGGCCCAGATGATGACACTCGCTGCAAACAGTTTTTGGTTGGGGAGAGGTAAGTGGCTCAGGCTTTATCGTTCCCTTGCTAAGATTCTCGCAGGGACAAGCTTGGACCTAACCAATGTAAGTAAAAGGCTTCTGCGCAATACTCTATTCGTGGCCTGAAACACTATTCTATAGGCATACTTGTACGTAACGATGCAGCGTGCCAGAAGTTACGAGAACAAGTAGGCGATATTGGAATCATTATGTGAGTCGTCTGTTTGTGCTCCAAGATATTTATGTTCACATGTCTGCCCAGGACGCTCTATGAAAGCAAAGGCCTTGAGTTCGACGATGTGAGAACGCTGACCTTGGCTACCTGGTGGATGACTGACTGCGGTCAGGTTCTCTTGTACGGCTTTTTCGAAGATTCCGTCATAGACGCGTCGCGGTGGCGGGTAATTCTCAATGGGGTGGATAGTCAAGGTTATGCGCCCGATTTTTACCGCGACGAGGCCCGATATGCTGGAATATGCAGTGAAGTAAGCGACCGCTCGCCAACAAAGGAATGGACGTTACTCACTTTTATCTTCATCAGTTGAAACACCTCTACGTGGGAATCACCCGAGCAAGGAAGAACATGCGGATCTTTGACAGGTCTGATAAGTCTGATGCCATGCGTGTACGTTTAGACCAGCTGCATGTCGAACGCTACTTGATCCGACAATCCTCTGCTTCAGATTTTCTGGACGTTTCACAATCTTATCGAGAACCGTGCCCACGACAGCAATATTCCTCCTCTAGCTGTCTCCTTCGATCCAGATTGCGATCGAGAAGAATGGGCATCCACTGGTCGCTCACTATTCTTGCACAAGCTCTACTCGCAGGCTATGCACTGCTTTCAGCGTGGAGGCCTTCTCCGCGAAGTGAAGGTTTGCGAAGCTTATATACTACGGGAAGCAGCGCGTTCCAGCGTCGGAGTGGCCTCGCCCAACGTCCAACAAAAAGCTTTTATCACGGCAGCAGATGCCTTTGCTGACTGTGGCGCAGCTGCGACGGGGAACGAGAAACGTCAATATTACCGCACTTCGGCGGATTGCTACGTTCGAGGAGGAAAGGACCTCAAAGCTGCTGATACCTATCTCGCGGCTCAAGAGTTTGGTCTAGCTGCGAAGAGATATCGCAAGGCTGGATCTTTCGACCGGACACTCCGTGTCCTTACTGACTACCGCACAATGATACCTGAGGAGACCGCGACAGGCTTGTGGACTGCATGCCGGCTTTATTACTGCCGCAGAAGCAACAATAAGTAAGTGGTCGCAGCTTTACGATGATTATGTTTAATGGCAATTGCACAGAGCCCCATTGCCTCTATTCTCCTCATCTGACGAGGAACTCGAGTTTCTGGAGGCATATGGCTTGGACTATGCTCGCGTTTCCCTTCTCGAGTCTCACTCGAGGTACTACGAGGTCGCGGAACTACACTTGTCAGAGAACCGTCCCATGGAAGCAGCTCAAGCATTCCTCGAGGACAACAGAAACGTTGATTCAGCTGCTCGTGCAGCCGACGCCCTTCTGGAATCCCTGTGGCGCGAATGCTCATTCAGGATCACCAGAACTGCCGTTGCTGATGACTCAGTGCAGCATTCTATTGCTCTCACCAATCAGCTGCAGATGAGCAAACTGGAGCCCGTGACTCGTGACTTGGTATTCACCATGCATTGCTGAAACTTAGCGAGCGAACTGATCCGTGTGCAGGTCTTGATGTTTCAGAGCATCTTGGGGGAAGATCATGAGTCATTGAAGAAGCTCGCGCTTGCCTTCCAGGAACATAATAATCCATCTGCCGCTCTCCATTGCCTGGATCACTTTTTCTCTCAAGTGACAGATATTCGTTCTTTCCAAGTCCATGAAATGGCAGGCTTCCTTGAAACATTTCATACCTATGCGCGACTTCTTTATCAATTTTCGACCTTGCCTGACCCGTTAGAGAGCGACGATGTACTCAGACTGTTTTCCATCGTGCCACTGTCGGGCGACGAGTTTCTCATACCACATGGGACATTCCTCTACGACAACGCAACGGAAACGTCTCGGAACAACCACCTGGTCTCTATGCATCAGTCCGGATATACGGCCTCCCGTAGACACGCCACGGAATTGATCCATCTATCCATTCGAACCGTCTTGGAGGACAAAGTTTTGGCAGTTGATGAGATGTGCTGCGACGCTCCTGTCTTTTTGCAGTGCTTACCATATATCGTCTCCGGGACCTGCCGACGAGCGCGATGCCCCCAGGAACATGTCACGATATCGAATTTGGACCGCGTGCAATACAACGCCCATGTCGCGATCCATATACAGCAGATTCTCATTTTACAACTCTTGTATTCCGCGCACCCTAGTACGAAACAATGGGAGAGGTGGGCCCACTGAGTAGTCTATAGCCGAACTATATGCTGATGTTCCTTATTAGCATGAGAGACTGGATCGATCACCTTTACGAGGCGCTGAATCCGCCCTTGTTCATTCAAGGTTCCCTCGCGGACCTCGATTTGACCCTCATTCCGCATGGTTTAGCTGGCCTGAGAGTGGTGAGGAACTGGACTCGCGAATCCTTTTATAAATTGGACCCGTTCCAGAGCTCATCCCGATTTTTGACGACCTTGATGAGAATCACCAGTCTCAGTTTTGCTTTCGACAGGAATGATGCTCCCGCCTACATTGCTCAGGCAGATTGTGTCGCCCGAAATATGTCCACCGAGCTCCTTCGCAAAGCAGATAATCGCCGCTTGGTGTTCGACATGCTCAATTCTTACCGAGGATTTACTGAAAGCAGCATATCTTCGGGAATTCTGTACCTACAGTGAGCTCGCGCCTTGTGTTCATATGTATGTGCTAAGTGCTCCCCAGGCATGTCCTCGACCACCGTTTACGCGTCAATCTGTCTGTTTTATGTGACTACATTGAAGATGTTCTCTCCTCTTTCGTAATCAACCACAGAATGGATCCCGCCCAAAATGGACTTCATGGCGTTGTTCTTCCATCCAACTGGTTGATCTTCCCCCACAAGTTCTCTGCGAACAAACACATCTCGCCGGAGTCAGTAGGAGTGCTCTTCGATGCGATAAGGAATCTTATAGAGACGTTGCGCACGGATGCTGGCACCGGTAGAGTCCATGTACACTTCAGAGACTGTCCAATGCTCACGATTTAGTAGATTTTCTTCGGCTTGCACATACCAACGTCACACGGGTACTTTGCAGTATTTTTATATTCCGGCTGTAGGTCTGGTTTACCTGCCTGTCTACAACGATTCACTCACCCTACACATCCACAGTTGCAGGATTCTCTGCCTTGGTGCGTCTGCTTAAGCCCTTCATAATTCAAGCACTCCTCATAATTTATTGTAACAGTCGCTCACAACACAAGGGACCTGATGATCAAGCGCAAAGTAAACTTGATCGTTCTTCATCTGCATATACATCCTCCGCCTTGGCATCCTGCATACTACCGAAAGCTCGTGGATGACGTAGTTCAGCATTGTGCACTCTTGCCCGGCAGAGGACTCCCTCGCTTAGATGGCTACCTGCGAGCTGTTCTTGCGTTCGATAACTGCAATGCTGCGAGCGATCTCGTCCACCTAGTCCACAAGATGACGCCACAACCTACTCGAATCTCTTCGGTCCGACAACTGTTTTACGAAAGGGCTAGTGAAATTCCCTATCTCCTTTCTTCCCACACAGTCGCTGCTCAGTCTGCTCTGAGAGTGGAGGCGGCCACCTTCGTGCCTCGCGTACAGCGTCCCAAAGATGATGTAGAGATTCACCAAGACCACAAGGAGAAGTTGGAACCGACACCCCAAGAGTCCGATGGAGAGGAGGCAGAGGGGGAGGAAGCTATCTTAGTGTATGTTGATACCGAGGCCATTGATGGCATGGAAAACATGGAGCAGGCGGTTACATCCCTTGACTTGCAAGACGAGTCTCTTCGTTTCAACGGGCCATCGAAAGACGAAGACGATGCAGCCCGCAAGATTCAGGATGTATATCGCCGTTACCATCGATATCGCTCGAGCCCTACAGTGGATGCAGAAACCGAGGCGATATTCATGACATGCTTGAAGGAGACGCGGTCCCCTAGATGGCATCCAGGCTATTACCGCCTTCTTTTCCTTGGACCATTGCCTCACCTTCTGGTGTGCCTGGAACGAGGTATCACTCTTACTCATGCCGCCAAAGAGAAGACGAAACGCCTTCTCAACAAGCTCGACAAGGAGTCTCACGAAAAGCTTGAGGAGTTGGGCAGGCAAACAAACGAGATCACGTCAGTCATAACTTACCCAGCGTCACACATCGACTGACGCACAGCCCCGCTTGTGTTTGCAGAGTGCTCCTTAAGAAGGGCCTGCAATTGCGCAAGCAGCTAGAGCCATCCTCGCCATATCATCATGCCCGCGACATCGGCGCCCTTAAACGTGCGGTTCGGGAAGTCGATGAATTCATGCAGAGGGTTCCCGGCAACACGGAGGATATGCAAACCACGTTTCAAGTGGCCTTTAGGGGAATTGTTGCAGTGAAGAAAGTAGTGTCAAAGGAGAAACCCGCTCTCAACGTCGAGGATGTTTGATGGTGGTTTGGAGATCGTGATCTGATATTATTGTGTACCAATACATACTCCAAAATGAACGTTGCTATAAACACAACGAAAGAACAAAACAGAAAGATAGACAAAGGGGAATATCTACTCCTCATCACTGGGCGTCAGGTATTCATCGTCGCTGATAACCTGTTTGCGACCAGCACTCCGAGCCCTGCCACGCTGCGGCCGCTCATCCTCGTCCATAGGAATAGGAGTAAGCGCATCATACGCTGAAGAACTTGAGGGTCCACCTAGAGCCGGCGAAGCGCCAGGTAGCCCCGACCCAGCAGTGGTTCTCTCCAAAGTGCTGTAGAAGACCCTTTCCATCTCCTCAGCGTCTATGTATACCCAGGAACCCTCCTGATTATACGTCCGTGCGTTGTCGAACATGAGCTTCCAGTCCTCCTTATACTGCGTGATACTCTTGTAATATCCAGCGTTGCCCCGCTTTCGAAGCGTGGACAAGGCGATCGGATGCGTGATCAACTGGTAGTAATCGGGATAATCCTGATCATGGCGTCAGTACATCGGTGCAGCATGACACCTGACGTCTTTCACTCACTCGCTTATCAGGCAGCTCCCGGAAAAGTTCGCAACGTTTTCGGCCATCTTTGTCTTCACATGCAAGAACCGCTTTGTGAACTTCATTGAAAGCCTTCTTCATCTTGTCCTTTATTGCAGGCGCTAAGTCACCCGTCTTCGTCTTCCGTCGTTTCTAGACGCCGGCGACGTCAGAAACGTTCACGAAGAATATGGAGCATCAGCTCACCATATCACGCTCCTCGTCGTCATCCTCATTCACAGAAGGCGTAACAGACATGGACTTCATCCCACGTTTCCGCTTGCCAGCCACAGTAGGCATATCGTAGTCGTTGGTAGCCATCTTTCCCTTACCCTTCTTCCCCTTGCGCCCAACACCCACGTCTGACGCTGGAGTACCGCGACCGGGCGTATCGCTTTCTTTTAGAAGCTTGTTTGCAGCGCGTCGCTCCTTCTTGCCACGGGCACGGTCAACGAGCTCTTGCAAATCCTCGCCGTCCTCCACAGCCTAGAAAAGCAATCAGCATGCATGGATCGCAAGATCCTACAAGACGTACCATCGCCCACTGCTCATCACTAAGACCGTCGTTATAATTGACGACATTACGGCGACGCTGCCCACGGCCCTCAAGAGATTCATCAATCTCCTTCGGCTCAAACGGCTCGTCCGTCTGATAACACTCAGGCAGCTCTTCAAGCTGCATGAGCGGCAACGGCGGTTTCCCCCTGTTGCCAGCCGCACGCCATGCGTCCAACGCATCCCGTTCCCGCTGAAGATCCATCGAACGGAAAATCTCAACCTCCTCGTCAGATCTCGCTAGCATGTCGTTAAGTTCGTCGTCGTTCATGTCGCCAGCTTCTTCGTTCTCCTCCTCTTGGTCTGCTTCGAGGATGGATCGCTGTATACCGCTCAGTAAGCTATTCACTATTCCACAAAGAGCAGCTGTAACCCACCAAGAATTCTTCCTGTTCTTCCTGCGTCGACTTGTTGTCGAAACGACCGGCTTGGATGACCTTGTCGTCGATGTCGAGCTTGTATCGTGCACGAGCGTACATGGCTTCTTCGACACTCTTCTCCGTGATGAAACGGAGGATACGGACAGCCTTGGTCTGACCGATACGATGAGCACGATCTTGAGCCTGAAGATCAGCGTGAGGATTCCTGCATTATAGTCAGTACAACCATCCAAGCAATAGCCAGAGGACTATTCACCAATCACTATCGAAGCTGCGAACCTACGCGTGAGAACAGAAAAAAAACGACCGCAAGAGACGACGTACATGATAACGGTATCTGCAGTCTGTAAGTTGAGACCTAAACCACCAGCTCGTGTCGACAGGATGAAGACTTTGATTTCCGAATCTTTTGCATTGAACTGTTGCACATGCAAGGCACGTTCTTCTGTCTTCGTACCACCATCAAGACGGAGATATTTCCAGCCCGACATTTTCAAGAAATCTTCCATGATATCCATGACCTTCGTCATTTGGAAGAAAATAAGGACCTGATAGAAACAACGATCAGCACAACTCCGGGAATCGTAAGGAACGACGCACCCTGTGACCCGTTGCAAAGAACTTGGGAAGAATACGAGACAACAGCTCGAGTTTGCCAGCCGACCTGATCAACTTATCGTCGATGAGCCCGGTGGGGTTGACCTTATCCTCGACGCTTTCGAACAAGAACGGATGTTGACAAATCTTACGCAGTTGCATCAGCTCATTGCTCAGACCCTTCACGCCTCCAGATTTGCTACCCAAAAAACATCAGCACCTCAACTCGCACTCCATCAAAAAACGCCAAACTCACCCCTTGGCATCCTTTCCATTAGCAATCATTTTATGCTTCTTCATCTGCCTATACAGCTGACTCTGCAGCATGCTCATGCGGACCTTGATCACCTTCTCCACCTTATCGGGAAGTTCGCTCTCCACGTCTTTTTTCAGCCTTCTCAACAAGAACGGCCGCAACACCTTATGCAACCGACGGATGATGAGCAGCGCCTCTTCTTCATTCAACTCGATCTTGTCACCCGTGCCGGAGTTCGCGAACGGCGTGTTGAACCACTCATCGAATGATTTTACGGAGTTGAAGATCTTGGGGAGGACAAAGTTAAGGAGGGCCCAAAGTTCGGGGAGATTGTTCTGAAGGGGAGTACCGGTGAGAATGAGGCGGTAGCGGGAGTGGTAGTACTGCGTGAGCGTCTGCGCGAGTTTCGACTGGGTGTTCTTCATACGATGTCCCTCGTCTAATACCAAGGATGAACACCCAAGAATCAACAAAATACTCAAACCCACTCACCGATGATCATATGCACCCATTTGAGCTTGCTAAGAATAGGTCGGTCTTTGATAATGTACTCATACGTGGTGAGAAGAACTTGGAACTGGCCCATCCGCAGTTCGCCTTGGAGGTTGCGACGCTGCGCTGGGTTGCCCTTGTACGAGATCATCTTTACCGTCGGCGCCCATTTTGCAAATTCGCCGGACCAATTCGTCATCGTTGATAGAGGCACAATGACGAGATAAGGCCCGCGCTGTCTCTTGACCTCGATGAGGAATGTGACCAGCGAGATGGTTTGGATCGTTTTACCGAGACCCTGCGCTCATGTGAGATAAGATATAGAGAATCAAAATGCTCTTGCTCACCATTTCGTCTGCAAGGATACCATTGAGCTTGTTGTTGTAAAGACTGACCATCCATTGCAGGCCCTTGAGCTGATAGTCCTTAAGCTGACCGCCGATAAGAATCCCAGGCTGCTTCGAGACCTTCTCCGAAATGCGATGTGCAACAGCATAGTAATCCACCTTGCCCTTGTCATCCTGTGCATCAGAACTGACTTGGGCGCCAAACGTGGCCTCGTTCGCGGGGCCTTCCTCCTGGTCAAAGTTGGTATCCAAGGGGGGGCCAGACTCATTTTGCTGCGCAACGACAGCCTGCGCAAGCGAATCGAGATAGGCATCCGTTTGCCGCAGCAAATGCGTGATACGCGTGTCTTTTGCCGTATCGATAAGCTTCATATACGCCTCTTCATCATCCGCCTTGAGCGCCTTCAAACGCTCCTTCGATATCCTCTCGATACGTTTCTGTTCCTCTTTCTCAGTGAAGGCATGGAAGGACAGCACGGCACGCCCGAGCTTTGTGACCCGGTCTTGTGCGGAGCGGTTCACAGTGATAATGTCGCGCCCGTGTTGGCAGATGACGCCGAGCTGCTCGACATGCTTGTGTTTCGCACGCCTCTCGCGGTCGATACGCTGTTTGCGTTCTGCATGCTCGGTCATGCGCGCATCTCTGAGGGTGGGCTTTCGCGCACGCCTAAAGTCCACACGGTTGAGCGGGAGCAGGGTGCCTTGAATCAAGCGCTCTGCGACGAGCGCGCGCATGGCACGTTGTTTCTCGAGCACCTTGAGGGACTTGAGCTCAATCATTGCGCGTAGCTTGCCGTGTGGAGCATGTGGCGAGAACTCGTCGGGGGACTCTTGCTTGGCTCCACCGAGGATGACGTCTGCCAAAGATTCAAAGTGGCCTTCACCGATTGTGGCGGGGATATCCTCGAGCTCCTTGATGCGCTGTTGAACGCGCGCTTCGATGAACCGATCACGCTCGTTAATGACCTGGTGGACGTCGAGCCCTGCAGGCATGATGGAGGGAATGAGGAGGCGCTGGAGGCGGGTTGCAACCATGGTTGGGTCGACGTTGGGTGGGCGCTCGAGGTGGATGAAGGGCATCTTGAATGCGTTGTATGGGTACACGCCCGAGCTAACTGCGTCTTCGAGGAAGGGGCCCTTGGGAAGATCAGCAGGGTCGATGGGAGGGCCATGTTCTTCTTCTTTTACGACTTCGACGGGTACGGGGGGCTCGGTGGGCGGGGGTGGAGCAATGTGACCTTTCTGTATTTTGGCAGCGCTGTCAACTATCCGTGAGGACACGTCTGGGCCCTGGAGAAGCTTCTCAAGATCGGGGACGGCGGTGTTGTGAACACGAATGGCATGTTGTAGATGGTCGGGGATGGGGGAACCGCGGGAGACGAGTTTGAAGGCCATAATCTGAGCGCGTAGAGCAGCCATTTGTTCTTGAGTGAAGGATACAGGGGTAATGGATGGACCTGGTATAGGCTGGGGAGCAGAATGACCGTTGGCGGCAGCGCCATTAATGAGACCATCTGTGGGAGGAGGTTGCTGTGGGTGTCCGTTTTGCTGTGGCTGGTCTGGATGTGACTGTTTATCTAACGAGCATAGGCTCAGCCTTCTGAATATCATTGGAAAGTAACATAGGACTGACTCATTTGTTGAGCCATTTGTGAATAGGTATTAACAGACTTTACAAGCTGTGCAAGTTCGGGAGAAGTCTCCATTGTGGCGCCAGACTGCCTAAGGTCCTTGATACGCTGAAAAGCGGTTAAAGCATGGCCACGGAACTATAGTAGATTGACCAACTAACCTGAATTGCAACATTGTAACGTTGAATCTGGTATTGTCGTAGCTGAACAGCAGAAATCTGCTGCTGAGCCTGCATTTGTGGATTATTAGCAAATGAATTTTGTTGATGTATCTGTAGTTGGCCTTGCATGGCCATCGTTTGGCTTGTCCGGCCTTGGTGCCTCTCGGCTCAAGTCAGCGCGAAAAGAGAGAAACACCGTGAGAAGATTTTACACTGTGCAACCGTAAGCAAGTCACGACGGTCACGTGTTCATCCCTAATTGACGCGTTTCTCTGGACGTGCACCTTCTTTCCCAAACACCACCATCATGCCCGCAGAACGCGCAGGAGTACGTTTCTGCTTTTTCACCCATTTTTATTGCTAATATGGCCTGCAGTACACCGTCACAATGTTCCTCATCGACGTTTCCCCGTCGATGGCTGCAACAAGAACAGTCGAATTACCCCCTACGCCCAGTGGGGAGGAGCGCACCACGGAAATGACCAACCTTGAATGGGCATTGCAATTCGTAAAGCTCAAGATTCAAGAAATGGTGCGTCTCTTGAGAAAATTAGACACTCTTATGGACTCATGGCAATCCAGATTTTTAATGGCCGTAAAACGGACCAATGCGGCGTCATCCTATTTGGCTCTGAAGGTGCGCTAACCATATATGTTCCACGCGCTACAAAGGTTCTGACTATGGTATAGAGACGGACAATCTCGTCCACGAAAAGAACGGCGGATACAACCATGTCACAGAATTTATTCCCATTGCACAGCCCAACGCATCCACACTCGCAAAGCTCGACGCTCTCCAGCCTTCCGAGACCTCAGGAGATCGTGCGTACCTACTACCTCCTTAGAATATGACCTTTCATTTTCTGCAGCTATCGATGCCCTCATCGTCGGCATTGAGACACAAAACACCTACCTCGAGAAGAAACGTACATGGACACGTAAAATCGTCATCATAACAGATGGCCAGAGTCCCATGGAAATCGAGGACTGGGAGGCCACTGTCAAGAAAATGAATGCTCTTAACATAGCTCTCACTGTCATGTACGTTACTCATTTAATTTCCCGTTCATGTCGTGATTCATACTTGACCAGCGGTATCGACTTTGATGACGACGAATTCCCATTCCACGAGGAGAACAAGTCTTCTATCAAGGTCGAAAACGAAGCATTCTACCACAAGCTCACTGCATCTCTCGACAACGGCCTGGTTGGAACATGTGTCTTTGCTCTCCAAGAAATCGCCAGACCAGACATTAAACAAGCCAAATCCGCACTCCTAGGCACCGTTCTCCGCCTCGGCGACGTCGACGTCCGGCCCGAAGAAGCTATTGAAATCCCCGTAAAAGCTAGCAAATGCACGGCCCTCGCGCGCCCCAAGAGCTGGAAGAAATTCAGTCAACGCGAGAAAACTGATGACCAAATGGAAGTCGATGAGGAAGAAGACAAGGTGGTGTTTGCGCAGCTGAAGACGCGTACCGAGTACTATATCGATCACTCAACCCAGGAGGGAGAAGAACAGGATACGGGTAGTGACGACGAGGAAGACAAGGACAAGAACCTCGAGAAGGTGGAGAAGGAACAGCTCATAAGGGGCTTCAAATACGGCTCGACGTATGCCCCGTGCCCTGATGGGCAGTTCCCGCGGTTGAACACGAGGAAGGGCATCGACATCTGCGGGTTTTTCCCTGCAAAGAACGTAGGTACACCTCTCTATTTTCCCGTGCATAGCTCACGTATCAACAGTTCCGCCGGGAGCTGGCGATGGGGGAAGTCCAATATATCTGGGCAGACCCCGGTTCGCCACAGCAGCAGGTCGCACTCTCGTCCATCGTACAAGCCATGTACGAGAAAGGCGTCCTCGCCATCGCGCGCTGGGTCTCCAAGGACGGCATGGACCCAAAGATGGGCGTTTTGTCGCCAAGCATTTTTACAAACATTGACTGTCTATTGTGGGTGCAGGTATGTCTCTCGTCCCCACCCTCAACCTCATTTAAACATTCTTGTCGGATATGATAGATGCCCTTCGCGGACGACGTCCGCAAATACACCTTCTCATCACTCGAGAACCTCGTCTCAAAAAGCGGCGAAAAGGTCACAAAGCACCCCTACATCCCCACAGAAGAGCAGCTCGAAGCCATGGACAAATTCGTCGATGCCATGGACCTCTCAGGGCTGTGCGGGGAAGACGAACAAGGGTGCGTTAATCTATCTGGAGCTTGCTCTATTTTGTTGATCTAGTTGTTATGCAGGGAACCGATCTCGTGGTACGACACCCGCCTATCGTACAACCCTGCTATCCATCGCACGAAACAGGCGCTTTTCCATAGCGCCGTCGTGAACGACATTGCTAGTAACCCACTTCCTCCACCCCACCCAGAACTCCTCAAATACATCAACCCTCCTCGGCAAGTCCTCAAAGATAGTAGAGACGCCGTCGCAGAATGCAAGGCAGCGTTCAAAGTCAAAGAAGGCACGTCCCCCCTATTTCATTACTCACCCGATACTCATACATCTACCATTCAACAGTGCCCAAGAAAACCGTGAAAGTCCGCAAAGACAACCACGTCCGCGCAAGGGACGAAGACGAAGACATGCTCCTCCTCGACCAAAAACCAGCCGCGCCCCGCAAAGGCAAAGGCAAAGAACCTGCCGCTTCCCAAGTACCCGTCTCCCCAAAACTCGCACACGCAGCCAAGAAACCCGCCGATTCAGACTCTGAGACGGAAGAAGAATCAGACCAGGAGCCTCTCCTGCTAGAAAAGGACAAACGGCCATTTAACGCACTGCCCACCCCAGAACGCTCGATGTCGCCTGCGGTGGACCCTGGTCGTGCGCCGGGCCGTATCATCGGCTCGACGTACCCACTGCGCGACTTCAAGACGAACCTTGCACAAGGGGATGTGGTGACGAAGGCTGTGGAAGATATGGGCGCTGTCATCAAGGAGGTGGTGTTGAGGCCGTTTGCGTCGAGGCGGCATAAGGAGATGATTGATTGTATGGTTGCTATGCGTGATACGTGTTTGAAGGAGGATGAGGTCGATGCTTGGAATGCGTAAGTCTTTTGAAGCTCGGTTTTCATTTTTTTCTCCAGCACTCAAATATCTATTGTTTTCAGGTTCCTGAGGGACCTGAAGGAATCGTGTCTCGAGGAAGCCGGAAACTCCGAGTTCTGGCAGGAAGTACAAAAACTTGGGCGCAGCATCAGTCTCATCAGTCAACCCGAGGCAAAGAAACTGGGAGGTCACTCTGAATTTTCCGAGTCTGCATCTGAAGCGGTAAGTCGCCGCTGCTTGCTGATGAACGTCACTGACGAGTCCTCCGCGTCTTAGTTTATTGTACAATGATTGTGTGAAGTTTCTTTTTGTGATATAGCTGTGCTACCCATTTGCTTTGCGTACGATAATACACTGTACTCGACTATCCACCCAAATGTCGTAATAAATTTACCTCGTACCTCTTACTTCCGTCCCCACCATCCCTCAAGCAAACTGCTAAGTCCTCCCCTCGCAGGCGCCTGCGGTTCTGGCGTTTCCGGTCTCGCCACCTCTTCCAAACGAGATTTCGCAGGCACGGCTTGCACAGGGACAAGCGCCGGTGCAGGCACCTTCCCAGCTCTCTCCTGCAATCTGTCCATATCCAATTGCACATAGTTTAAGGCAATATCGAAAAATAACGGTTTCTTGTACTTCTTGTTGTCCGCGTCGATGGAGCCGCCATTGTGTGCGAACCATTCGTTTTTGATTGTAAGGCCGTCTTGGGTGATGGTGGATTCTAGAGCGTCGAGAGCAGAAGGCGTGAGTGGATAGTAGGTGGATGATCCAGGGTCTTCTGAGAAGATGGACAATGTGGAACGTGTTTCGCGGAGATAGATGGTTGCGAGTTGGATCAAGGAGAGCGCCTCGGCGTATTTCTTCACAGCTTCGTAGCATTGCGAGAGATAAGAACATCTTGAAACACCATCAGCGCATGAAATTAGCGCAGGAGTTGATCTGTACCTTCTAGCTTTAGTGAACGTAAGACGCGCCTCGACGGCAGATGCTAGGTCAGGGCTCTCGTCCACGATGCTCAAGTTGCGCATCTGGGTAAGACTCTGGATGACGGTGTCCAGGAGCTTGACCACTGCAGGGTACAGTCGGGCGTCGACATGCTCTTTCTTTGCTTTTGCAGAGGCCTGTGGTCGATGCGAGGTGAGTAGCGCAGATATTAGGAGAAGGTCACGCTGGATACGGCGAGAGAGCAATTGGTAGACGATGTAAGCGTGAACAAAGTGGATGTCACGCGTCCCAGCTGCAGAGGTGGATGAGCTTCCGGAGCTCTGTCAAGTCGATTAGTGATCAATACGAAATCAAAGATGGGTGATGGTCCACCTGCTGCGCTTCGACAAGTTTCCTGGCTACCTCTTCGGCGTCGCTAAGAGCGAGGAGAATAGCATCATATGCTGCAACGCCCTTCTTGGACCCATGACCGCCTGTCTTGCCTTTCCGCCCACCTTTATCACCAGTACTCTCTGCCCGAGCGGGCTCACGCGACTGCGTAATCTTCGCCTCCGCTTCCTGCACCTTAAGCAACACATCTACCAACTCCGGATTGCGCACCGGCACCGGCTGACCTTCCCACATCAACGTCCCCAGCTTTTTCCTCCCCTCGCCTTTCCCAGCAACCTCTCCTTCCAGCCTAAATTTCTGAATCAGAGCATCGCATCCCTCAACTATGTCCCCTCGATGCTTTTCAGATAACTCAGCAGCGATCGCATCCACATCATACGCCCTCTCCCGTCCAAGCTCATGCGCACAATACCTGATTTCAGGGCTGATTTCGTCTGCAAAGACCGTCGCGAGAGCCTGGTCTCTGCTTGTCGCAGCACGATCAGCGAGTTCGTCGAGAAGGTGCCTTGCAACGCTAAGCTGGATCACCGCATCCTCGAAGTTGTCCCGGTTTCGCAGGAAGCGACCGTTGAGGATGAGAGTATAGATGGTGATTTGCATAAGCCCTTCTGCAGAGAGGCGCGAAGATGCATATAGAGATTGACAGTGCGAGAGGAGCTGCGTCGACCAGTGTACTGCACGCCGGAAGCGTCCCGTGGCACTGTGTCGCAGGGTTCCAGCCTGGTCTTCATTGGCTGGCTGCAGGGATTGGGTGATGAGATCCTGAGAGTAAGCCCAAGCACGTTCTGATTCGAAGAGTAGAAGCTCCAAGCTATCCCAAGCTTCATTAGGCCTTGATCTGTGAAACTGTGATGTAGCACGCACTGTCCATCCTTGGTGTTATCTATGCTCAAGGGAGGCAGTTTCTTGAACTCTCGGCCCTTGCCATGGGTCATTTTGAGGGTGGACCGGAGACGATGCGTCCTATTGGCACAGTGCTTCCTGTATCGCGTGAAGTCATTATACCGGAGACCATAAGCAGTCCGTTGTTCGTTAGCTAGTTGTAAAGCTGATGGGGCATATGAGTCTGTCTCATCCCTGATAAGTCTTGAGAAACTAACCTCTGAATGCTAATTTGTTTTCCGCCATGGTGACCTTGAAAAGCTACTACCCTGAACACGTATCCTGCAATTTATTCTACTGAAGTGTAGAATGTCGCAGTAGTATGTAGAAGCTGAAAGAGGCAGCTCGTCCAAACGCGGCTAGATCACGGTTTCACAGTACTTCAAGACGCGCAAACCGACATCTTCCTTATAACTCTCGAACATCCCAAATGGCAGAAGAAACGCTACCCCCAACCCTGCAAAACGTTCTGGATCAAAAGTCCTTGAAATGGATATTCTGCGGTATGTGCTTCACTATCTTGCTTGCACAGCTCGGCCTTAATACTGGGCTCGATGCCAGGTGGTAAGGGTGGTGTCGGTACGTGGTCCCTTAATCCTAAACTATTCGAAACCTGATAGCTTCATACGTACAGGGAAAACAACCACCTCGTGTTCGCTAGCCATCCAACTTGCTCAGTGCCGAGAATCGGTGCTGCTAATCGTACGTGGTCACATCTTTGGTTTCAACAATCATTATCCACTCTCAGATTTAGTCCACCGACCCAGCACATAATCTGTCAGATGCTTTCGGACAGAAGTTCTCCAAAGACGCGACAAAGGTCAATGGATTTGAGAACCTGTCCGCTATGGAAATCGATCCTACAAGTGCAATCCAGGAGATGGTCGAGCAATGTACGCGTTGACCTCTCGTAGCGTCACTCCTGCTTGACACCTCCCAACACCAGCTGATTCGAACGGCATGATGGGCTCGATGATGCAAGATCTTGCATTCGCTATCCCCGGTGTTGACGAAGCAATGAGTTTTGCTGAGATCATGAAGTTTGTCGTCTAGCTTCCGACCTTCATGGATTGACGAGACAATGTCTTCGCAGACACGTCAAGTCGATGGAATATTCAGTCATCGTGTTTGATACCGCACCAACAGGTCATACCCTGCGCTTCCTTTCGTTCCCCACCGTATTGGAGAAGGCCCTGGGCAAACTCAGCACGCTCAGCGGTCAATTCGGACCCATGATCAGACAAATGTCGAGTATGATGGGTGGCCAGCAGGATTCTCAGGAGGATATGTTTGCAAAGCTAGAGTCTATGCGTGCTGTGATTAACGAAGTCAACACGCAATTCAAGGACCCTGTACGTGTCATCATTGGCCATACTTGAAAGCTAAATCATATTGTTTGCAGGAAAAGACCACGTTCGTTTGTGTCTGTATCTCAGAGTTCTTGTCACTCTACGAGACGGAGCGTCTCGTTCAAGAACTGACGGCTTACGAGATCGACACGCATAACATCGTGGTCAACCAGCTGCTCTTCCCCAAGACATGCAAGTGCACGCTACGGCTCCACGTCATGTAGTGCTAATTCTGAACATTGATCTAGCATCCAACTGCGAGCATTGTCAAGTACGACGAAAAATGCAGCAAAAGTATCTTGCCGAGGCCCATGAGCTCTACGACGAGTTCTTCCATATCGTTCAGCTACCATTACTGACAGAAGAAGTGCGTGGTCCACAGAAGCTGAAGGAGTTTAGCAAGATGCTGGTGGAGCCGTATGTTCCCAACGTTGATTGATGAATTGAGGGAGATTGACAGGTAATTCACGGAGGACGTATTATTACACTTAGCTTCTCGGACATTGAGCTGTTTTATACCTGTGGTCCAATGGCAAGCATGTCCTGATATCGCTGCACATAGCTGGGCAAGAGCTGTGTTTTCCCTTCGTAAAAAATCGATAAGACCTCCATAGAGATCGATCAAGGCTGTGGCCATTCACTTCTCTTCATCACATGCTATTATGCTGTCTACTCCACACTGCGTTTCTCACCAATAGAACAATCTCACCCCTGGGCGGAAATCACTTCTGGCTTCCACGCACGCCGCGGAGAGGCAAGCTGATTAAGGTTGGGCAGGTCCGACTCGCACCCATCAACTGAAGCATGCGATCACGGAGTCTAAAAGTGTCGTTGGTGAAGTCTGATGCAAATCTGATGCCCGTCTAGTTAGAGTAAAAAATCCCATGATTCGATCCAAAGAACTGGAACGTGACTCCTCGCATTGTCTCAGTGATCCCTTCGGTTTAGTAGTACAACATTTGCATTTACTAGGCTCAAGATATATCCAACAGCTAGACCCTGATTATCGAAGCAAAATGTCAGCGATCGAACATGAAATGCTGAGACTAAACTTACGTATCATCTGTTCGTGTGATACGGGGGACAAATGCGTGAGCCGACGAGCATATTCATCGCGTCAGCCGCTTACCGTCATAGTGGAACCGTGTCTACAGCCGAAAAAGCTCAGGCTCCTGAATAACATTTACAGGGCGCCGACACGTACCTTCTTTGGATTATCGGGTGCGTATCGAACGTACCTGTCATTATCCACAGGCCTTAAGAGTCCGTATTATAAATGGAAGACACGTTAGACAAGCACGGGAGCTCACCGTTCCTTCGACTGTAACACAAACAGTGTTTCTAGAAAGACTGCATCGCGGATACCGAGGAGAAACTCACCTTGCATGACGCGAGCATACTCTGCAGGGTTACACACACAGCGGAGACGCTTAGAACTGGTGACCATTCAGTTCCAAGGATAGAAGCGCAGATCTACGACGCGTCAGAAATGACTCAGCGCGCTAACCTGTGGGCAAGTATCGAGCTCACATGTCCATTAGAGTATACATGCTAATCACAGGTCAGTTGTAAGCGCAAACTATGACTCTGGATATACACACCGGATGCACAGGTGCCTTCCAGTCCTGGTCAACGACAAACTGGACTGCAGGCGCCGAGATCGGGTAGCTCGGGTCAAAGCGAAACATCAGCTTGAATACCTCCTCCTGATCATAAATTGGGTAAGGGTCAAGAAATAGAAAGTGAGCTTCTGTTAAACCTGGTATAAACTTTCTCCCAGAATCTCTATAGAGAAGAACCACGTCTCAAAGTTGTCCGCACTAAGTAGTGTGATGCCTGTGATTAATGCGGGTCAGACAGCTTCACGTGCAGCATGTAAGACGACGCACCCGTTGGACATCCCTCTGTCTGTATTTCATTGAGCTCTTTGCGCAAACGCCGAGACGAGATAGATGTCATGCCAGTTCAAGTTCAAGCCTATAGGATAGCCTTTACCCGTTTAACCGAGAATTGGCGATTATCTAAATTTGGCAGGGTGTAAACAGGCACAAACAAACACCCCCCATAAGAACGCTTTCCAACTTTTTTTTTCACTCTTTAATGTCTTTGATTCCTCCCCGCTTTAGAGTCACCTGCTACTCACAATTGTTCCAGAGATTTGCAGGCGCTCGTGGGGAGGTAGATGATTCTTCTTGCTCTTCAGGATTTGCTGGTTCATCGTCATCATGATCTTGCGTACTCGAACAGCAAGAGACACCTCTATGCGAAACGCATATTCGAATTATGGGCAAGCGGTCTATTCATATTAGTATACCCCAGGGTACCAGCTTGACGTGGTGACTAGCATAGTAGAATATCTATTATACACTATTTTTCCCTCTGCAAGAACATCAATGCATCACCCTCTATAGATATAGATGTGATCGTCGTGCAGCAGTCAACACTTGATTATTTGAATGCGTTCAGCCACTACCGTCACCCGTGGGAGTATCGGATATCAACGTCTTCGCGTTAGCAAACAACACGCAAGCAATCGAGGATGGCTGCAAATTCCAAAGCAAGTTTATCCCCGGTCTCGGACATCATTGGTGCACTGCAAAACATCGTAAGCGCTCAGTTTCATAGAGACTCACGTCTGCATATAAAAATGTTCATTCGTTTCAGCTCTCACGTTCACAATGTGATCCGTATGGACCTCCCGATGTATATATCGGATGTTATTTTATTGGTGACGTGACCAGATTCCAGATCTTGAAACACCAGGTTCCCTAATACCGATCAGTTCACCACTCACAAAGCCCAGAGCCTCATTAGTACCATCATCGCCGAGCGCCAGCAGCAGTTGGATGCAGTTTTGCACGAGATATCGGGCCTGGAAATTGTGATGGATGGTATAAAGAATCTTCATCAGCAACTCGTTCAAAAGAAGGACAGGATCACCCAGTCCATGAATGTGCACAAGGGTCTCGGATCGGCTCTCTGGTGCTCGCCAACTGAAGTCCTATCCCAAAATTTTAACTACTGTCTCCCGGAAGACAGCCCCTTGTTTCCATCAAGGCTAGAAGCTCCCATGCTGTTGACCGCAGTATGCCGACGATGGACGGAGGCTGCTGTGGGTGTACCCAGTTTATGATGCAGGTTCCATGTGAAAGTCGGCGACAGTGACTGGCAGCGGGCAGCTTTCTGCTACTACTCGTAGCTCAAGCGATCGCGAGGATGCCCGCTCTTGTTAGGACTCGCCTGCCGTCGTGAAATTCCATCTGTTGCACAATCTATCTCGCGACTGTCATCCACTCTGCGCAGTCTCGATGTTACATGGTCGTCGTTTGACGTCGAGGACTTGTCTTCTTTCAATCCCGTATGGACCCGCCTGACGAATGTCGCGATCACCATACATCATCCGAATGCATTCCTCCACTTGCTCCAGCCATGTCCCAATCTATCCTCGTTAACGGTTCACACAAAATTCAACCAAATACAAGCTTCAGAGTCACGCACACCGAAATTCGATCCATACGCATCGATGATTTTGGCTCTGTCCACCCACGCCCTTTATCTAACCTATCCGATGCTCTATCACTCCCCAATTTACGGGTGCTTGAAGCTCGCTATATGCGAGTATGGCCTCATGATGAATTCAAGGCATTCTTGGCACGGTCAAAGTATCCCCTGGAGAGCCTGGTTTTCGGCGATCAAGCCATGGTGACGCATGAGCAGTGTGCAGATTACGTTATCCTTTTTCCTTCCCTCGAAGTAGTACTTGATCTTTTGCATAAGACTCAGTCGTAACTTCGGAATTAAGGTTGTTGCTGTGACGCATTTCAGGTTTGTATGGTGCTAGTTAATCGCGTCTCTGAATGAGAACATATAGTATTTTGCGTCTGACAAAGTTTCATGTTTAGATGGCGCTACGAAGAATCCTGCGGAGGGAGAGAAACCAAGGAGCCTGGGTCAGATAATATTTTCTGGTTTCAACGCATCAATGTTTATAAACTCACTGGTAGAACCATCAGGTCTCAGTCGCGGCCTTCTCTTTCTTTCTCTTTGATTCCGACATACTAGGTATCCGTATTTCAAGATAAGCTTGTCAGGTGCAGCCATACTTGACAGTGCTAGTGCCTGCAACATCATGAGAGCATCTTATCGTGACGTCCCTGTCAAGCGTGCGTTGCCAGTTTCGGGCTGGCACGCTGGAATATGTCATTGCGCAGTATTCCCTCCCACCGACGACGGTCGGCGTCGATGCGTTGGGGTAAAGGCAAGCAAAATAGGTCCATCAACTCCCTCACTTCTTAGCTGGATTACAGCTGTTCGCACAGTGTTTCAAGTTGTTCTGTCACGATGCTACTGATGGCAGCTAATCGCATCTCTGCAATCTGCAACTTCGAAATGTAGTCCAAGAAGTGCCTTAGGTTCTGATAGACTTTTCGCTCTTTGTACGTCTTCGCATCTGGGGAGGAAATCGTTATCTTATCACACATTTCGTAACCGGAGACACTATCCTTGACAGCATGAATTCACGAGGCCATACTATTCGCGCTGGTGACCATACCAATTAACGTCAACATTCCTCTTATGTTCCGAGCATGTCTTGGCCATTTGAATTGCGAGGCACTCCATTCCTCGGGTCCGAAGAAGCTGTCTTGGAAGCCAGCATCATGGGGTGCTCATAACACATTGTGGGGTGAGCCTATCTTTCGTAACGTTCTTGTCAACGCGATCATTTCGCTCGCATTCTGCAGTTAAATTGGCTTGCCCAACTCTACTTGGGTCAATTTACTATACGGATAACATCCATCATTGAACTCTAGGCGACCTCCCATTATACAGGAAAGGCTCTTTTCAGGTCTGAAAATATGTATGGGATTATATTTTGCGTAATCTAATGGAAATGCTCACCGGGACACTAATTATTGAGCCGAGCACAAGGATCTGGAATGGAAGAGTATACCGAACTCGCGTCCGAGTGTCCTTACGGTGTTCCCCTTTTTGTTGTTTTGTCAGGACCGTTTTGGTAGATAAACGACATCTTAAAGGCTCGTTGCCCACCATTCTCCTAGCCTCCTCATACACATACATCTACTCGTTTTACTATGTCTGACAATCTCGAGCTCGCTCCCGGAATCTACAGGATTGAGAGTGCCAAGTGGGTGGGGCAGGTAGTGACCGTGGGTCGTCCTAATGCCATCGATGGCTTCCAGAAAGGTCTCGTAGGCGGTGTGCAAGCCGTGCGTCAGGCTCGAGCTTCCTACGTCCCGTCGCTGATCATAACATGTAGTGGTTGATCAGATATAATGAAACCGGTCTCGCGACGTTCCAAGGCCGTTCGGCCGACGCGCCGGATGGAAAATTCATTGCTGTCGACTGGAGCGTAAGCGTCGTTCTCCAATCAGTGTGAGACTTCTCCTGACTTGGTTCCAGGACAGTACTCTGTTTTACGATGACACGCCTTCGAGTTTTATACTGCGCAGAATAGGAGATTATGTTGCGTACGTGCTTCCATTGATTAGTAACTGGCATAGTAGCTTCAGCATTGTGTTACATTCAGGGTATGTATGGAAACGCCCGAAGGTGTCCTTGCCTGGCAGCTCCCGTCTCCGGAGAATGGCACGCCTGTAGGTCTTGAAGTTGATGTCAATTTTGAATTTTGCCATGGCTTACGATATGCATACAGATAAAGCTTGACAGCCTCGACAGTGATGTGAAATTTAAATGGCGTTTTGAATTGCTGAACTGAACAGCGAAGTACCCAAGTTTCTGCTGTATTGTGTACTGCGTGCAATCAAATGTATTGACTTGGTGTTGACTAGGAAGCTGTATTATCTCGAATATCATCAGCCTTGCGAAAGTCTCACTCAATAAGACGTAGCTTGTTGACTGGTGCTGTCACTTTGAATCAAATCAAAGAATACGGATCAGAGTCAAGATAAATTACTTACCTTGATATGTACAAGTGATTGCCGCGTGTCTTGTCAACAGTTTTATTTATTTACACAGCACTGCAAGTGAGAACGTCTTGATCAACTAGTTACATCGTAGACGAATGTGAAGGTTGACTTTGCAAAACGTCGAGAACGGTCCTGGCGAGTGAGACGGGTACCTTTTGAACTGCACGTAAGCGAAGAAATGCAGCCCTCATTGGAACGAAGCTCGTGTTTCGGGATCAAGCCAGAAATATGATGGTCAGTAGTTGTTCATTTTTTGGTACAGAAATCTGAAGTCGAAGATCGTAAGTAAACTGATCCGGCCAGCGAGGTTGTTTGTCTGTCTATTTTGCAATTGTCACGGTGCTGAGCGCTGAGGACTGATTCTAATATCTATCGACTCGGATCCACAACTAATACATCAATGCATCAGGTTCTCCATGTCTCCGAAGTCCTCCTAGGCATATTTGCGCATGTGAATCAAATCGTGGGCCTATCATCTACTCGTGAGAAATCATTGTCTCGACGATCTCTTGCAGCGCTGGCAATGACATGCAAAACCTATAGTACGAGCCTGCAATGGATTTACTGCGGGCTGACATTGTTGAGATAGACCCACTGCTAGGCTGTGCGTCGAACAAGTTAGCTACTCCGATTCGGAGGTGTGGTACGAGATCAACTTGCTCCTCAAATCCCTCAAATCTTCTGCGGGTCTTGGCCGTCAAGCCGTGACGACCTGAGTTCGGAATACAGGTTGTCCTGGAGTAACTATTTTACCTTCAAGACCTGTTGTTGTTGTTATCATTTGCCATCCACTAGTACGGTTACAATTATTTTTCCTCCGATAATGATATATATGGGTCTGTCACACATGTCCCTTGTATGCAAATGAAATTTGAACATGAACAGTTATTAACCCTACTCAATAACAGTTTATTTCACCAGTTTGTTTGCTGCTCAAACGATAAGCGGTGGGAAATAAACTGATAGCGTTATTGAGTGGCAGTTTATTTGCCAGTTTATTTCATACGCGAAGTTGTCGGAGTGAACTGAGAGTGATTGTGATGCCGAGCAGCCGAAGTACGATTGATGAGGAGCAAAAGTATACCAGCATCGAGTATGAGTGACTACTGGAGCGAAGACGGACAACAGAAGCTCGCACTCGAGCTTGCTTCATGGGACCACATCTCTCTTTTGCAAACCCCCGATATTCTCGTACAAAAATAAATGGACTTACAGCATAGAATTTCTTGCGACAGTAGTAAGCAAAAGGATTCCGCAAAGGCTTGTCTTGGAGTCTGATATAGCTACCATCCCCTATGCCAATACAGCCGGGAAAACCCCACTCGTCCATTGCATCAGACAACTGCTGACGTCGGACAGGACCAGGCCATGTCAGGAATCGAGAGCGAAGGCGGCGAAATGCCATGCACACACGTTCAGTGTAAAGATAAACAGTTCCTTCAGCAATTGCCACGACAGACGCTGTTTTCAGTGCATTTTCGGCACCTACACGACATAGAAATGTGCAATGAGCTGATCCCCGGAGTCTTTCGCCTCAGCAAGAAGCACAACTGCGAGAGTTTCCAAGAGTTTCGTAGTAGATTCTCTCTCGCTGATCCGTTGGTGCTGACGTCGACGTCGTTGTCGATGCACTGAGCTATCACGCGCCATGAGTGTTCATTTGCAGAGTCTCTCGGCAAGTCGGTCGGCGGCTCCTATTTCACTCTCCGCAACACGAATGCACGTCAAACCTTACTTGACAGTTTATTCCAGTTTATTTCGTCCTGCTCGCTCAAAAAAATAAACTGGCGAAATAAACTGTTATTGAGTAGGGTTATTGTGTAGGTAGAGGGCTACGCCACCCGACTCCCCCTTACCATTTAAGCGAAGGCGTCTTTGAGAGTTCACTTTTATTCGATGAAAAATGGCCAACGGTATGTGAGTTTCATCAATGGAATCTCGACGTCATGTACTGCGAGACGATTTGCCGCCAGCGCATCGACTCAGAGCACAGGCGTCGTAACAAACACAATCAAGGATGATGCTCACCCAGCATCTAACCAGCAGCCTTCCTCGACTATGACTCACATTGAGTACTCCCAGATACCACCCAATAACTAAAAGATGAGGGTTCACAGGTTGAAGCCGATATACAGTGACTTCGCTGGTAAGTTTTTCCTCGATAATTGCTGTAGCTCAGGCTGTCATATAGTATTGCAAGTTAACAAATAGTGTCAACGAGGCGTTTATACTCGGTGTCGCTGAGTAAGATCACGTTTCTACTAAGTACGATATACATAGTGCTCACACGGACATGTACGGAGCCATCCTGTGCGAGTAAACTCATTAATCCACCACTTATGCTATAGCAACTCACTTGGAATCTTTATTCTTGTCATTCTTCGCCAGACGTTGCTCGAGCTTAGCAAACTCATCTAATGCAATGACCTCCTCTTCATCCAAGATCTAGTTTATCATCAACTAGAGGTAGTAACGCGGATAAATGTGAACATACCTGCTCTACACCTTTCACCTCCGGTATATAATGCATCAACATCCTCTCAATGCCCGACTTCAACGTTACCGCGCTGGACGAGCACCCTCGGCAACTTCCCTTCAATTTGACTTTCACAAAGCCTTCGTCACTAAACCCTCGGTATTCTATATCACCACCGTCCTCCATGATTGCTGGCCGGACACGAGTTTCGAGTAGCTCTTTTATCATCGCTACTGTCTCAGAGTCCGTGTCAAGAATCTGAGTATCCTGAGGGCCGGCGGCTTCTCTGTCCTCATGCGACCGGAAAAGTGGCAGACCGGCAGAAAAATGCTCCATAAGTATTGAGTAGATCTCTGGTTTGAGGACGGCCCATGGGTTTTCGCTATCCTTCGACACTGTGACGAAATCCGGGCCGTAAAACACGGCTTTTACACCCTCAATGCCAATAAGACGGATGGCAAGTGGAGATTTTAACGCTGATCGTGTGTCAAGGAACTCTGCTGTTCCTTCGCCCATGACACTTGTGCCAGGTATGAATTTGAGAGAATCGTCATTAGGTGTGGTCTCCGTCTGTATGAACATAGATCGACCTGAATGTACGTTAACTATTCGCAGGAACAAATCTAAAACAAAGAAGTAGTACATACATTGTGGGGGTGCTATGACAAACGATGGGGCAAATTTTGGGGCATGAATGCCCGAGGCAGTTGCGAGAGTGGGTCCGTGATGCACTGCTGCGAGTGGGGGCGTGGAAGAAATTGATCTCGTCCACAACCGAACAGCAGACTCGATAGTGCGGTTCGAGCGAGAACTTGCCTTGGACAGGGTTCTGACAAGCCTAGGGGACATGGCGGTCGTAAGTAAGTTAAGTTGGTCGACTCGCACGGTAAGTCGCTCGCTTATTAAGCAACTTTTCGTACATGAGCGCGCAGCACAGGATGGACCGTCTTATGGCAGTGTGAAGCTTAAGGCAACTCAACTAATCACCGTAGTACACAAGTAGTACGAGTCAACTCGCCCTTTCATCGTTATCGAGCAGGCTTTTCACAGCACTAGGTTGACTGTGCATCCATTCGATCTCAAGAATTTGACCATTTCCACAGCTCAATTGTTTCGCTGCCCTGCTCATTACGCAGTCTGGCCACAGAACTCCAGGATTCACAACTTAAGTGTACACAACTTAACCCCGGCGCCAAAATATCCAAGAGTGATCTTTCGATAAACGTCTTCGTACGTCGTCCTTCGAGAACGACAATTGTTCCTCTAACCACGCTGTCAAACTCAACTAGTTTATATGATTTACGGATACGAACCTGTGCCAATATGTCAAGATCTACTATGTAAGTATCTGCATATCTTGTTCCCTCTATCCCTGTCTGACAATTTACAGCTCCTCTGTCATCTGAAGGAACTTGGGAGAAGCTGTCCCAGGTTGCTGTCAAGGGTGCTGAATATGACTCTCCCGAACGCCAGCCCCATCCGAAATGTTTGGAAGGGACCAGGGTGGAGCTTCTCAACTCCATCCACGGATTATTAGACAACCAAGAGAAGAGCCAATTAATTTGGCTGCATGGCACGGCGGGCGTCGGAAAGTCGGCCGTTGCGTTCACCGTAGCAGAGAGGATGAAAATGAGAGACCAGACGAATAACGAAAGGCGGCTCGCAGGAACGTTCTTTTTCTCGCGCAAGCACACGAAATGCTGCACGACTGGATCTTTCTTTGCGACGCTCGTCTATCAGCTCGCTAGAAATTTTCCCAGCATTCGGGAGGACGTGAACAAATCCATCCGCGAGAATCCCGCTCTTCTAGACCCCAACAAGTCTCTCCGCGACAAGATGGAGGCGTTCTTTCTCCAGCCTCTCCGGAGGCTTCAATTCAGATTGCGCGGGTGTCCACCTTTGTCATTTGTTGTCGATGCCCTTGATGAGTGCACATCCGAATCCGAGCTGGCCGACCTCATCTCTCTGCTTGGTCAAGCTCTCCGTGAACCTGATCTTCCAGTCACCCACGTGCTACTCACGAGTCGCTCAGAAGAGCATATCTGTAAAGCCATTCGGAGAGAAGAAATGCGCCCACTGGTGTGCGAGATACCAGTGGACACTTCTGGGAAGGGCGTTGCAGCCACGATCTCAGTAGACGGCGCAGACGTCGACAATGATATCTATATTTTCTTGGAACATTCCTTCAGACAACTGCAACGTCACCATCCAGGTTTCCCTCAGCCACCAAGAAATCAACTTGCGCGGCTTGCTAGCCGAGCGAGCAGACTCTTCATCGTCGCGTCTACGATGATGAAGTTCATTGATGATGGATACCATGATCCCCGCGATCGGCTTCAGCTCATGCTTGAGCTAGCAAGTGAACTTCTACCAGGAACGGAAGTGTACAAATTGTATGACAGTATCCTTTCCACATGTGCCGACCCCAAGTGGGCATACCTGCACTTATCCGTCGTTGCTGCCCTTGCGGACCCTCTGTCCATATCGCAGATCTCACAACTGCTCGGGCCTTATCAGGGTAGGGATGTCGAGACAACACTGGTGACGCTACGGTCCGTCATGAATATTCCTACTGATAATCGTTTCCCCGTGGTTATCTATCACTCGTCTGTCCGTGACTATGTTTCCGACCCTTCAAACTGTAGCCTTCCTCAAGTACAACGCATCACCTCACCCCACACCCTACTCGCTCATTCCTCTTTCCGCTTGATGATGCAAGACATTTCGGAAAGCACGGCCCTCCTCGATGCGCTCTTGGAATTGAAGAGGCAGAGCCGATTCATGAAACCTCATGGCCCTCAGAGCTTACGGCAGTCATTAGCCTTTGTCGTCCAGCCACCGGAGCCACTGCAAGCTCTTGTAGGTTTGTTATGGCTTCGGGGAGATCGTAGTTTAGATGTACAACCCTGGTTAGAGACTCTGGGTGGGCGCGCCTGGCTGCAGACGCCATCGGGAAAAGAGTGGCTGCGAACCCACAGCGGGGAAGACTGGCTGCATACCAAGGTGGGGTTAGATTGGCTGCAGACGCAGGAGGGGTTAGACTGGCTGCGGACACAGGGCGGACGGCACTGGCTCCAGACACAAGGCGGGCAAGATTGGCTTCCGACTCAGGACGGGCAAGATTGGTTACAGATCCAGGATGGACGAGACTGGTTACAGACCCAGGCCGGGTGTGACTGGCTGCAGGCCCAGGACGGGCAAGATTGGCTGCAGGTCCAGGGTGGGCGAGATTGGTTGCAGACACAGGGTGGGAGAGTGTGGCTGCAGACCTTGAGCGGGAGAGACTGGCTTCAGGCACCGCCCGGGAGAGATTGGCTGCAGACCCCACCCGGGAGGGTGTGGCTGCAGACACAAGGCGGGCGTCTGTGGATGCAGACCCAAGATGGGCAAACCTGGCTGCAAACCTGGAGCGGGAGAGAGTGGCTACAGACCCAGAGCGGGAGAGAGTGGCTACAGACCCAGAGCGGCCAAGAGTGGATGCAGAGCTGGAGTGGGCGAGAATGGCTCCAATCCGAGGCCGGACGGACGTGGCTGCAGTCTCAGGTAAGGCCAACCCAGCTGCAGACCCAGGCTAGACGAACGTGGCTTCAGACTCAGTATGCGGAAGCTTGCTGGTCGAATCAGTTCAAGGACGTTCAATGGCGGGGCGAACATGACTGGCTACGGTCTCAAGGTGGACGCGAATGGCTGAAGAGCGAGGATGGGCAATCCTGGCTGCAGATGCACCATGATCAAGCATGGCAGTCGACTCCTGCGATGTCGGTCTGGATGACAATGGAAGAATTCTCGAGTATGTTGGAAGCCGTCAGTGAATACATAATCATCCCAGAATCCCCTTTACCGCCTGCCTTTCAAGTGATCCAGCAGTTTAAGAGCTTACCGGATTTCTTGATGCTTCCGGCGTTCCTGGCGTTAAGGTCCCAGGATCATTCCACCTCTGTGTTCCCACGGGATCGTTTTCTACCAGACGTGGAGATAGTCCACGCTATGGCTTCGTTTGCAATGGTTGCAAACGAAACACGGGAAAGAACTCAATCAGCTTCAGACGCTCTCAAGTACGCCTGTCAAAACTGGGCCTTCCATCTCTCGCGAGCTCCTAGTCCATGGGATGACAGGCTTAACCGTGCATTCAAGCTCTTCTGGGATCGTCACCTCCTCTCCTGGCTCGAAAGGCAGTGGTGCCTGAAAGGCTTGCGGTCTTGCCTTATTGCTTTATCTGAGGGGCAGAAACTTGCAAAGGTCTGTTCGCAATGGTTTTCGCAACTCAGTACCTGACCAGCGCATATAGGCACATTTCAAGGTTGCCAGGTGACCTCAGTCATGAGTCTGAAGGTGTCGATTCTATGGAGCGTACGATGTCTTAATAATGATCTTTTTCTGCCACATTGCGAACTTGTATCACCCCCTGTATGTGCATTTCTCACCTGGTGACCTGTCAGTAGCCGTTGAACGAAGGAGATCGGCTGGGGGCCCGAAAGCCTGACATTGATCGAGAACGACTCCTTTAATATATACGCTCCATATTTGCTCGATATCCAGAGTCTTCATTTCTTGGGAAAGCATAGGGCGCAGCTGTCAAAGATACTCCGCGGTTATCTGTGCGGGGTGAGCTGGTTAGAACCTGGGAAGTCGGGACCTACTGTTGCGCCAAAGATATCTCGTAGAATGCCCGGTTCAGACGTCTTAGTACACGCACACCAGCAGGTTCATGGTGAAGCATACGACAAATACAATTAATATTGTCGAGCCAAAGCAGACAGTTATTACCATTAGTAGCAAATGGTTATGTAAATACCGCACAGGAAGGTTAAGTAATTAAGTCACGTGCTCTGGACTCGAGACCGCGACAGCTGGGTGTGCTTAGCTGTGCTATGCAAATGTGATTTAAACCTTCCACAGAGTTTGTCTTTGTGCAAGGTTACTCAACTAATCGCAGTCTCGTCTCAGCGAGCGCCCATTCATCCTTCAACTGCATTCCAGTGACTTTCTATAGTATAAGTTCCTGTGACGGACCCGACGGTTAGTACCTGCTGTACCTGCTGTATACATTCAAAGATCTCACCTTTACACCGTTGCCATCCTATCAGCTCAATCGATCGTTTCTCTATCCAGCTCATAAATTACTGTTGAAGATACTCTAACGTCCACACATCGTTTCACGATTACACCTTTTCACAAATCATCGATACCTCGTGCCAAAAGCTCAAGTCACAGCATAGAGTTTGATCCTTCGATTTACATCTTCGTGCGTCGATCCTTGAGACAACCATTAACCTCCTATGATCTCTGACCTCACCGTATAGCCCAACTAGTACATTGTTGCATCACATAATTCATGTCACAACATATTGGCACTAACATTAGTCGATGAGTCAAAATCCATGTGAGTATCTACATTTATGGTTCTCACTCTCGCTCTCTGACCTTATTAACAGCTCCTCTATCGTCTGAAGGAACTTTGGAGAAGTTGTCCCAGGTCGCTGTCAAGGGTGCTGAATATGACTCCCCCGAACGCCAGCCCCATCCGAAATGTCTGGAAGGGACCAGGGTGGACGTTCTCGACTGTATCCACGGATTGTTCGACAGCCGAGAAAGTCAAATGATCTGGCTGCATGGCATGGCGGGTGTCGGAAAGTCTGCTGTTGCATTCACTGTAGCCGAGAGGATGAAAGCTCTGAGAATGGCAGACGAGACAAATCACGAAAGGCGACTCGCGGGAACATTTTTTTTCTCGCGCAAGCACACGAAACGCTGCACGACTGGTTATTTTTTTGCAACGCTGGCCTACCAGCTTGCCAGCAATTTTCCCGTCATCCAGGAGGACCTGAACAGAGCCATCCGCCAGAATCCCGCCCTTCTAGGCCCCGATAAGTCACTTCGCGAGCAGATGGATGCACTATTTCTTCAACCTCTCTGGAGGCTCCGATACAGGCTACGCAAGTCTTTGGTGTTTGTTATTGACGCCCTTGACGAATGCACATCCGAAACTGAGCTTGCTGATCTCATCTCCCTGCTTGGCCAAGCTCTTCGTAAACCTGATCTACCCGTGATCCACATTCTGCTCACGAGTCACTTGAAAGCACATATTCGTGAAGCCATTCAGAAATTAGATGCGCAGCTGGTGCACGAGATACCTGCAACAACTTATCGGGACGGTACCATCATCTCGTTAGACGGCCCAGATGTTGACCATGACATCTATGTTTTCCTGGAGTATTCCTTTACACAGCTGCAACGTCGTCATCCCGATTTCCTTCAACTACCAAGGGATCAACTTATGCGGCTTGTTAGCCGAGCGGGTAGACGTTTCATCGTGGCATCTACGATGATCAAGTTTATCGATGATGGATACAGAGATCCCCGCGATCGGCTTGAGCTCATACTCGAGTTAACGTGTGACTTTCTACCAGGAACGGAGGTGTACAAGCTATACGACCGTATCCTTTCCACATGTGTCGTCCCCGAGCGGGCATACCTCCACTTGTCCATTGTTGCTGCCCTTGCGGACCCTCTGTCCATCCCGCAAATCTCGAAACTTCTCGGTCCTGGACAGGGCAGTGATGTCGAACCAACGCTGATGCAGCTACGGTCAATTATGGATATTCCTACCGATAGCCATCTTCCCGTGAACATCTGTCACTCGTCCGTCCGTGACTATGCTTCCGACGCCTCAAATTGTGGCCTTCCTGGAGTGCAAAACCTCACAGCCCACTCCCTACTCGCTGAACACTCCCTACGCTTGATGATACGCGACATTCCAGGATGCACGACCCTCCTGGATGCTCTTTCAGAATTGAAGAAGCAAAGCAAAGCCATGCAACCCGATGACCCCCAGAGTTTAAAGCAGTCATTAGCCTTTGTAGTCCAGCATCCGGAGCCATTGCAAGTTCTTATAGGTCTGCTATGGCTCCGAGGAGATCGCGGTCCAGATTTACAATTCTGGCTAGAGACTCTGGATGGGCGTGCATGGCTCAAGACCCAGCGTGGGAAAGACTGGCTTCAGACCCAGTGCGGAGAAGATTGGCTGCACACCAAGGATGGGTTAGATTGGCTGCAGACGCAGGATGGGTTAGACTGGCTGCAGACACAGGGAGGACGACACTGGCTGCAGACACAGGGCGGGCGAAACTGGCTTCCGACTCAGGAGGGGAAAGACTGGCTGCAGACCCAGGATGGACGATTCTGGCTGCAGACCCAGGACGGGCGAGAGTGGCTTCGAGATGGGTTCGACTGGTTGCAGACTCAGGGTGGGCGAGACTGGTTGCAGGCCCAGGGCGGACAAGAGTGGTTGCAGCTGCAGGGTGGGCGAGAGTGGCTGACTCAGGCGGGGGGAGAGTGGCTGCAGACCCAGGCTGGACGAGTGTGGCTGCATTCCCATGGCGGACGAGGGTGGCTACAGTCCCAGGACGGGACAACGTGGCTACAGTCCTATGACGGACGAGAGTGGCTACAATCCCAGGGTGGCCGAGAGTGGCTACAGACGCCGAGCGGGGGGGAGTGGTTGCAGTCACAGAGTGGTCTTGAGTGGCTGCAATCTCAACCTGGGCGAATGTGGCTACAGACACAGGCTAGGCCGACTCAGCTGCAAACCCAGGCTAGGCGAACGTGGCTGCGGGACCAGATGGCAGAAGCCTCGAGGTTATTCCTGATCGCGGAAGCTTCGAGGTTGCACCAGCTCAGCGATATCCGGTTACAGGGCGAGCCAAACTGGCTGCGGTCCCAGGGTGGGAAAGAATGGCTTCAGACAGAGGCCGGGCATTCCTGGCTGCAGACGCAGGATGGTAGAGACTGGCAGTCGACTGCTGCAGCGTCTGTGTGGGCGACGATGGAAGAATTTTCGAGCACATTCGGGGCCATCAGAGAGTACACAATCATCCCAGGATTGCACATGCTGCCTGCTTTTCAAGTCATCCAGCTTTTCAGGACATTGCCCGATTTCTTGATGTTTCCGGTGTTCCTGGCGTCACGGCCCCAGGATCATTCTACCTCTGCGTCGACACAAATTTGTCTTCCGCCAGATGTAGAGATTTTACGTGCCATGACAGCCTTTGTGGCATTCGCACAAGAAGCGCAGGAACGGAGTCGATCAACTTCTAGCGCTCTCAGTTACGCATGTCAAAACTGGGCCTTCCATCTCTCCCGAGCTCCACACCCGTGGGATGACGGGTTCAACCATATATTCAAGGTTTTCTGGAATGGTCGTCTCCTTTCCTGGCTCGAAAGGCTGTGGTGTTTGAAAGGTCTGCATTCTTGCCTCGCAGTTTTATCCGAAGGGCAGAAACTTGCACAGGTGTGTATGTTTGCGATGGTTTTCACCACGCAGCACCTAACCTCCGCATATAGGCACAACTCCAAGCTCCATAATCATCTCAGTCATGAGTCTGGTGCTGTCGATTGTATGCAACATGTCATACTTATCGACATCGGTCTCTTCCCCACACGTTGCTTGAGTGTTTATAGCACTCATGCGCTCAGTGACGTGCGCATTGAGGTAGAAGAAGCCCCAATACAGTCCGAGGCGTGCGTGAAAACACACCCGCACCCATCCGCTACGTCCTGCATTGATATGCCGCCTTCGACCGCCTCTTACTAGCCACCGCCGCCTCTATCCATCTCTCGCCTCTCGTCATCACCCACCGTTCCTCGCTACCGCCCACACATCCACATCCACCACCGAGCCCTACCATCACTCATCACCTGCTCGTCTGCCCCCGTCGCCACCCCACCCAGCCGCCACCCCTCACCCTGCAGCCTGGCGCTATCATTCTCCCACCCCCATTCACACTCACACTATCGTCCACTTACACTGTCACTCCCTTGAATTCACGCACGATCTAGTTGTAATTTAAAATATATTTAGTAGTGTCTGTATTATAAATCGGACGAGGAAGGTTATTTAGAGAAGCAGTTTATCATAAACGTTTACTTATGTTTGCGCAGGACTGTCTCTTCATCTGAACTCTTACATGAATAACGATGCTATTGTCCCTGTCGAATTGCGTACTCGTCGGTTTTCTACTCTAGACAAAGCAGTCACGAACCACGGTAGACCCATGTGTGAAAGGTTCTACTATTGGCCAGGCCAATTTGATCGACGGATCGAGTCAATTCCGAGTCGCCATCACTGATGCTGATTATAGATGTGGTTAGAGAATATACTGCAGATCGTCATACTTATTTAAATTTGGAATGGGAGTCGATTCGTGAATCTAATGGCACAAAATTGCGTTGGAGCTGAGAGAAGTCCGTTATGACCGCCGGGCTGGATGCGACTACGAAATGTAAGTCACTACTGCAGGTCCGAGTCGCAAAACGGGTTCGCCACACCATGACAACTATTTGCGACGGAGACTCAGATGGTTGTCATAAGCCTGATTCGCCCTGTATGTAAGTACATTAACGAACGAGTCAGGAACGACTGGGACACACATTGTGGCAGCAGTTTGCGAAAACGAGCGACAAGAGCGTAAGAGTATCAGGGTAATTTCTACAACAATTTGAAGTACACCGGGATGAAGGACAATCGAAGATCGACACCTTGTAGTAAACTGCAGCACTAGCAGATGAAAACGATATCTGACCAGGAACTAGACACCGATATGAATAAAAACGATTCTCTGCTCGAGCGGGACTTTCTTCTTCACGGAGCTCGTAGCCTTGTTCAGTGCCAAGGCCGCCTTTGTACAATCCATCGTAGCCTCCTTCGCACCCTCCTTCGGGGCCTTGAACATGTTCTCGTAGAAAGCTTCGACAACGTGCTTTGCAACACCGTCATCGACCACCCACAGCGTGCCAATGACACTCTTGAACCCCGAAAACTGCAGACCAGCAACAAGGTGGATAACTTCGTCCGGCGTCTCTTCATCGCCAACGGCGGTATGACACGCAGATAAAAATGCGAATTCAGCATGCGGAGCATTGTTCTCCATGATGTCAAGCAATGTGAGAGGTTTGTCTCTCATGGAAAAACGGGAATGATAAGGCTGCTCGCGGTCCTGTTTGCCATGGCAAGCTAGGTGCACCCAGGTGTTCTGTTGTAAAGCTTCGAGTGCACCGGCTCGCGTGGCTGCATCGCCAGAAAGAGTGGTGGGGTTGGCCGTAGCGGGGATGAGCTTACAAACAAGCTCGAGCTCGCTGTCGACAGTAGCGAGCTCTGTGCCTTGCCCTGCGCCCGGTCGACCTTGTCCGATCGCCACGAACGACGGAGTCGCACGCGTCTTCATCGTCTGTCGAGATCTGATTAGAGCCGAAAGTGTCGGAGTGTAAGAGCAGATGTAGAGATCCGCCAGGCATGGTTCCCGCCCAGAGCGATCTGCCTTCGTTCGAGAGGGGTGAGCTGCATGGAGAGGAATGGACGTGAAGGCTGCTGTCGGACACAGCCATATTCGAGACCGGTGCCGCAGTTTCAGGTCATGCTGGAGGACATCAGCAACGGGTAGCATGATCTCTTCCCATATTTTACGCAAGAGTACTATCAGATCCTTCCTCGGCTCCTCTGGGCCCATAATAGATGCGTGCCGTATCGCCCTGGCGAAGTCGTCCTTGAGCTTCACGAGATCTGCAAGAACGAGAGATGAGAAAGGAACATGGCGGGGCTCTCCTGACTTCGGGACAATGATGGCGTCGCACGAGTATCGACTCGCAATGAGGATGATGACTGGGCCCTGGCATGCTGCAGCTTGCAAGTCTTCGTATAATGGTGGGAGCAGGAATCGCGCGAAACCTTGGTTGTTGCGGATTTCATTCACCGCAGTTTCCCACTGCTCCGTAAGTCTCCTGTACTCTCTCGCTGCTAGGTCAGCAGCAGCTCTGTCGGTGATGGCTGCGGAACCCTGAGCGGCGTTGGAAATGCGCGCACTCAGCTCCAAAAATTTGTGAGCCAGTTTCGGGTGTGCTAACTCGAGATCTTCAACTGGAGTCCTGAGCCGAGAGGCCAGCGACCACTGCTGGCCACGACCCTGCTCCACGAGTTCCACAGCCTTTCGTATGTTATCACGGCGCAGGGCACCTGATGCTGCATTTACAGACAGTGATCGGGCATTATGGAAGGCAGCAGCAGCTTCGCGCCGCGAAGTTGTTGATGACCGGGTTGACAAATGAGCGTCAAGAAGCTCGAGAGATATTGTGTAGGCCTCCAGTGCAGATGCATCACTGTACATCTCTGCTACAATAGTCCAATTATATGCCAGAATGATGCGTTCTGGAAATCCTTGAGTCGGATGTCTTGATCCCAGTCTGAAATTCTCGACTGTGAGTGACAGATCAGTGGGATTGTGCTGCACCTGATAACGAGACAGATATGTGTCCTTCAGTGCCATGTAGCTGAAATGCCTGTCCGGGTGCAGTGGAGACAAAATTGCCAATGATTCTTGGCAAAGGCCAATGGCCTCCTCGACATCTTCATTCTTCTGAGTTTTCGCGAAACGAGCGCAGAGTGCGGAGCTCAAACCGTAAAGATATCTATGACGCCATGGAGCATCCGTCTGTGACTGAAGTGATTCACGGCACAGCTCAATGGCCTCATTGAGATCCCCACTGGCATTCAATTTGTCATATCTGGTTTTGAGCACGAAAGCCAGGTTGTTAAGTGCAGTGTCATGGTGTTGATGCCCAGGTGGGCGCAATGTCAGCGTCTCGCGAGAGAAGCTGATAGCTTTGTTGATGTCATTGATGTCACCACAGCGGTTGAAACGGGTGTGGAGGGCGCTCCCTAGATTGTCCAGTGGTATATCATGAGATCCGTGCCCAACAGGGTGCAGGGACAATGATTCTTCATATAGAGAGATTGCTTCGTCGAGGTCATGAGATTTGCCTTGGTAATCGAAGCGATATCGGAGTGAAACAGCCAAGTCATTCAAGTAGTCACCACGATCAAGATGTTCCTCGGGGCACAGAGAAAGGGCTTCACGAAGAAGTTGTATGCTCTCGTCTATATCATCAATGCTGCCACTTTGTTCAAAGTGGATGGAGAGTGCTCGTCCAAGCTTGTTGAGGGCCATGGAACGGTGTTGATGTCCCGGAGGACAGAGCTCGAGCACGATTCGTCGAAGGTGAATGTCTGCATCAGATGCATCTACTGGAAGGTAGTTGCATCCGTCAATCGCATAATCCACGCCATCCTTCCCCACCGCGATGCTCCGAAGATGGGTGCCCTCAGGACAGAGAGGTAATAGGTCATGATAGAGCTGGGCTGATTCAGAGATATCGGCGGTGGCACATTCACGGTCGTAGCGCCAGTTCAGTGCTTCAGTGAGACAATATACAGAGAATGGATGATTGGGGTGGTCCTGCGGACGCAATGCAAGGGCATCGCGGAATAGAGATGTAGTAGAGTCAATGTCTTGTAGATCCTTTCGGGCATAGCCTTTAAGGCGGGCCCATGCGAGGTTGGTGAGAGCTGCTGCACGGTCAGGATGGCCAACCGGACAACGCTCTAGAATGAACTGGAAATCCTCGACAGCATCATTCAGGTGAGAGACACTCCTGCTTGCCACATATTCGGCGTATCGTGCATGACCTGCGTCTGTGCGCCGAGTAGTCTCACAGTCAATGATGGACTACAGTTTTGTGTGCTGTCAGCATAAGGCAATAGCACAGCGCCGCGTTACTCACATCAAACTGTCCACTGTCGTCGTTTCCGCAAGCATGCACAAATGCGACCTTTAGCCTGAGAGATGGGCGGACACCACGAACGGGCGGGAAGGACAGATCTACGACAACTCACAAGTCAGTAGATGTGCATGAATGAGCTTCAGGACACTTGCCGAAAGGCTCATTTCCATGAGCGAGCAGCTTATCCCACGATGTTTTGCGTTTTCCAATGAGTTCTCCATTGCCTAGTGTTCGACCGAGCTCAAACGATGCCCTAATCTCCACTGATAATTTAGGTGACACGTGTGATAAACTACAAATCAAGCCTATCAGTTCTCGGATTGCCCCTAAGTCTTGGTGGATTGCTTTACAGGGTCACGGTATCGCCCCACGCTACAGATTTGTCGGATGATAGGACTCGGACGCCTGATTTCCAGCATCTCGTCTGGTCGGGTTTGATGGACACGTAAATACTTGCGGGTATGCGCTCAGAAGGGACTGCAAGATTCTGTCCACTGATGACTGTAGATAGAACGTGAAGGTCGTGAATACCAAGGTGATATAGAGTGACCCACTTTCGAGCGTGATAGACTGGCCTTCCAAGCTATCGGGCTTGGTGGCGCGATTATGCAAATAACGAGCGACACGTCTGAACATCGAAGATTGAGTTGTAGGCGGGGGCGCAATGAGCGGGGAGACAAGACGGGTATGAGGACTATGAGGTGAGAGCGTGAGGAGAAATGGGTGATGGATGCAGGCGATGACGTTCCACGTGTATTTCGATTGTCGATGGCTGTTCGGCACGATAGACGCCGGTCCTGATTTCACTAAGCGCTTAGGCAAAAAGATGAGACAGCGAGAGAACCTGTGGTAAAGAAGTGGGCAATGTCGTGGTCTGTCATGAGCGAAAGTGGCTCACTATGAATCAGGTCAGCTGGAGCAGACATACGAATCTGAGAGCGCCTTGTGATGCTGACCCAGCCTTGCAACTCTTTTGTAGATTCGTATAACTCATCACAAGCATTTAGCACACTGCAGCTGCAAGGTAATAGATATTTGTTTTGTAATGGGTACGATACAAACCGATGAAAACGAAAGAACGTCCATAACCGCGAAAAATTTGATCAAGTCTGTACGAGTTCGACTGAGCCGGTATCATGGGAGAATATGATTGACAGAGTCGCGGAAACAAAGACGATGGTTTATGCAAGTATGACAGTTGGAATGCAAGATGAGATCAATGACTCTGCATGCGGCAGATAATGCAATGCAGCTTAAATGTGACTTGGAGCAAGAGTCAAAATGTGAATAAGTACCTAGGCAGACTGTTTGCTGCAAAGAGTTGGACTCTGGTCCTTGGATGCGGGAGCCTGTGCCTGCATACTAACGCCTGGTGCATTTGTCGGTTCGTCCGTCCATTTGGGCAGGGCTAGCAGCGAGACTCATAGAGGCACAAGCTTCAGTGGCAGTTGGGTTGGGTTGAACTTTGCAGGGGTGTCCGGTATTTGCCGAGGCTATCAAGTTAGGTTAGAGCCTAGGGTTAGGGTTTGATCCAGTTGCCCATGGCTGTGAGTGGCTGTGTCACCTACACCCTTCTGCCAAGTGCTCCGAATTCCGATGCAATGGTAGCAGACCAGAGTCGTGATTTCCTCAAGTTAGCAGTATATTGTTTATTTCCAGTCCTCTTATTTCTTGCCGTGAATGTCTTCAAGAAGGTGCGACGAACCCCGAAATCGCGCTCAGTCGCCATTCTCGTGTTGGGCGATGTGGGACGCAGCCCGCGAATGATGTACCATGCAGAGAGCTTTGCGAGGCTAGAATTTAACACCTATCTTATTGGATACAGAGGTGAGCATTGTTAGTATCGACTTGTCCAGACTGACGTTCGATACGTCAGGCTCCAACCCGATACCTTCGCTAACCTCCCTCCCGCATATTAGGTTATCCTACCTCTCAGAACCGCCACTGTTTGTTGCACGGATCCCTTTCGTTCTCGCCGCTCCGATCAAAATTTCGTACCAGATAGCCACAATCCTATACACGCTAATCTTTGACATACCCCGTCCGCCCGAGTTTATTATGGTGCAGGTATGGATATAAACGGGACCACGACCTTCAGAGCTCATTCAAATAATATTTTTTTAGAATCCCCCAAGTATCCCTACTCTTGCCCTAGTGTGGCTTGTCGGAGGGATGACCGGAAGTAAAATCATTATCGACTGGCATAACCTCGGGTATAGCATTCTCGCATTGAAATTGGGAAGGCTGCATCCGCTCGTCAAAATTGCAAAACAGTATGCCCATCACATTTGTGTCAAGCGTTCTTTCACGATCCTCTTTTAGATTTGAGATCATATTTGGTCGTTCTGCATATGCTCACCTTTTCGTCACCGACGCTATGCGAGGACATTTGATGCAGGAATGGGGATTGATGTTCGTCCGATTATCTACAGTATTGACTTACGGTTGATTGCTGCATTTCAGAGGACACAAGGCAGTCTTGCATGATCGTCCGCCCAGCCACTTTCATAAGTGCCCACCTCTAGACGTACACGAGGTACGACAGTGACTCTTCTGTATCTAATAGTAGCTGACACCTTTGGGGTAGCTCTTCCTGCGACTGGGACGCTCAATATCGCCGTCACTTGCAGCATTTCTCCCCAGTGCTTCGCCACCTTACTCGACCCAACTCACTGAAATAGTTGATTATCGTGGACTCCCACCGTCCACCATTCCCCCAGCTTCTCATGCGTCCGATCTCAGCTTGCTGAGTATGCCCAGTCTTCGAAAAGATCGCCCAGCGCTGCTAGTGAGCAGTACGTCATGGACACCAGACGAAGACTTTGGCATTCTCTTGGAGGCATTGAAACTCTACGAGTCTCGTGCTCGTGAAGTAAACGTTACAGATTGCGAGAAATGCGATTCAAAGGAACAACAAGTCTTGCCTCGCATATGGATGGTCATCACAGGCAAGGGTCCGCTTAAAGAACGATACATGACAGAAGTAAAGCTCTTGCAAAAAAACTGGCAGTATGTCAGGTGCACGAGTTTATGGCTTGAAGCCGAAGACTATCCCCTTCTTCTGGGTAAGCTGTTCATGCACGGTCACGAGTCCGTTGACTAATCTTATTTAGGCTCTGCTGACTTGGGCGTCTGTTTGCACTCAAGCTCGTCCGCGCTCGACTTACCGATGAAAATCGTTGATATGTTCGGATGCGGACTCCCTGTTTGTGCCCTCGATTTCGCATGGTGAGATCCTGCATGCTTAGATCTCTGTCATGTTGCTGACCGTAATTATAGCCTTCCAGAGCTGGTCAAAGACGGTATCAACGGTCTAATTTTCAGAAATGCATCTCAGCTTGCAGACCAACTAGAGGTGGGGCTCGTCCTCTCTATGATATCGATGGATACTGACCACGCATCATAGACCCTCCTCACTTCATTTCCTTCCTCACCTGCACTTGATTCCTTACAGAAATCTCTGGAGCGCGCATCACAGGTACCGCTCAATGTCGAGCATCATGCCCATAACCACGAACACCAGGAAGGTGCCGACTGGGAGTGGGGCTCCTGGTCAGAGAACTGGAACCGTGTTGTGAAACCCCTAGTGCTGACAGATGCAGAACGATTTAGTTGACCGTAGGTCAACTGTCAGAGTGAACCGTGACGGGGTTCTGTATGGAATCGTTTGGTTTTGATCAGACTTATAGGTTGCCATCTACCTACATTCTGAATTTCTGCGCAATATTGTGACTTTTTACCAGCGCTCGTTGTTCGTCTGCCAACAAGTGCCCCTTGAGATCTGGTGGGTGGAAGGGGCTCATCGTAAGCGGATTCCGGAACGGCATGAGGCCAACCCAAAACCAATCAAATGTAGCAGCACTGCAAGACTACTGATTGGCATTGCGGCAGCCTGACCAGGGCGAAATTGCCGATGAACATAGCATATATAATCTACGTTTTAAGTGAAATATGTATCACCGTTCTTGAAGCTTGAAGCCCGAGGTCAGTGCGTCACATTATTACATGTCATTTGAGTTGACTCGGATTCGTGTTCCGATAAAATTGCTTGAAGTACCAACCAACAGAAAGCCATGTTGTTGAGTGAGAGTTTCGCAAAGCCAGTGAGATTTGATAAAGGCAGCTTTCGTTCTCGGTCAAGAAATTTGACTACATGCAGTACACAATATACACAGGGTTTCTTGCAGAAGTTTGGGTACTTCGTTGTTCCGTGCATCACTTCGAATACATCACTCCGACAGATACACGAAGTTCCATCTCATGGCATCAGACTCATTACTGTTGGCCGGGACAACATCGATCTGTGCGCATCCTGTAAGCTGTGGCAAAATTTCAGATTGACATTAAAACCTACAGGCGTGCCATTACTCGGAGACGGGAGCAGCCAGGTTGCGATACCTCCGCCGGGCATTGGGGCATTCACCCTAAATGTAGGACTCAATACTCAACCCATGGCAGCTGTGATTCAATGGAAACACGTACACAATATAACCCCCTTGTCTCCGGAGTATAAATGCCGTTGGTGTTTTACTGTAAACCAGCTTATACGACTGAAGCCGAGTCAGGAGAAGTCCCATACATCATAGAACAATGGTACGCTTACGCTCCAGTTGACAGCAATGTAATCACCATCCGGCACGTCCGCCGACGAGCCTCGGAATACCGCCTGATTGTTGTCGTCATATTCGAGATGCCACTACATGTTTGATCAGTAACGGGACTTAGGAAATTGAGCCCGACGCACAACTTGCACGCCGCCCCAGAGTTTTTCGCTGCCATCGATGGCATTATTATTTCCTACGGTCACTAACCGATCCGTCCACTCGGCATTCACAATCTGGTAACTTCCTGGAGGGAGCGGATAGTCAGACATAGTCAAAAGAGTAGATGTGTGTGTATGAGGAGGCTGAGAGAGTGATGGGTGATGAGCTTTTGATTTCTCGTTTATATCTTCCAAACGTTCTTGATGTGACAGAACAACAAAGGGGGAATATCGTAAGGACCCGAGCTCGGACGCGAGTTTGGTGTACTCTTCCATTCCAGATCCTACATAATCAGACTGGGGTGGCAAGAGCGGTCATAAGTAGCTCGAATCAATGTGATGGCATTTTAGATTATGCGGGATTGTGATTATGCTCCCATACAAATATGTTTCTATGTTCGGAACTGAAAAGAGCTTTGCCTGTATATTGGGAGTTTGTGTAAATCAGAATTAAGCACTCGCCGGTTCAATAGTGGATGGAGGTTGTGTAGTGAACTGACCCAAGTAATAGAGTTAGGCAACCCAATTCAAAACTGCGGAATGCGAGCGAAATGATCGCGTTACACAAGACCATTACGAATGATGGACTTACCCCACACGACCACCCCACGATGCTGACTTCCAAGACAGCCTCTTCGGACGCGAGGAATGGAATGTCTCATAATCCAAAGCCAAGAGACAGGAAAGGAATGTTGACCTTGATTGGTATGGTCACCAGCACAAATACTTACCACATAGTATGCCTCGTGAATTCATCCTGTCAAAGATTGTACCGTTGATTACGAAGTCCGAGCAATAACGATTTGCTCCCCAGATCAGTGAAGACGGGGTCAAACAAACGGAGTTTATCAGGGCCGAAGCACTTCTGGAACTCCTCAGATCGGTATCGTGGCAACAATCAAGCATGATTCGAAATTCCAAAGGGCCTTGTGAGTCGTGAACTTAGCTGTAATCTAACTTCAGTGAGGAAAATAAATGATTCGATGCATTGCCTATTTTACATACTTACCGAACGCACGGTTGACGGGGACGTCATTAATTGCGGGGCTTTGTCAAGTTGTCCCTCAAGAGTCGGGACCAGCATTGTCGCGCATGTGACGGTACCATGTTGAAATCGACTGGGAGTGAAGCTGAATGACTAGTCGATGGTGGAATTGTTTGGTTTTGATCGGACTTGATATGTCCGCGACATATTCTGACTTCAAGATTGTGTGCAATAAGTACCAGTGACCGCGGTGGAGTGGCCTAAACCTGACAGTGCTAGTACTAGTGTGCCTGCGTGTTGCAAGCAAGGCAAGGAAGTCACGGTGGTGAAGAGCTACGCTACGACAACTTGAGCCCGAAGGACACTAGGTGGCTGACCAACCCACGGTTCTCACTACTTCAATAGTTTATGTTGTGGAAATTGGCAGTTAGTGGGTCCGAGATTATATATATATATTTATGTAACAAGCACACTCTGATGGGTGGAGGAGGCTCATTGTAAACCGACGACATGAGGCCATCCCCAAACCAGCGCTCAAAAAGCTCTGAGCAGCACTAGGCAACTGATGTCTTTAATTATAAATTGACATTGCGGCGGCGACCTGACCAGAAATTGTCAATCAACATTATATGATCTACGCTTCGAGTGAAATAGTTCTTGGAGCTTGAGACCCACTACTAGTGTCACGTTAATAGTGATTCACCTTGGCTCGAACTTGTGTTCTAGTTGTATGTTGGTGAGTGAGATGTTCGCGGAATTTGAGAAAGGCGGCTTTCGTTCTCAGTCAAGAAACTTGAGTACAGTTACGCGATAAGGGTTTCTCGCAGAAGATTAGGTACTTCGTTGTTCAGTGCATCACTTGAAAAAATTCCATTTCGCTCCAGTTGGTGCTGCCAAGCGTGATCTGTACGCATCTTGTAAGCCGCGACAAAATCTCATGTTTGGGTTGACATTAAGACCTACACGTGAACCATTCTCCGGAGACGGGAGCTGCCAGCTAAAGACAGCGTCGGGTACGTTAACTTTCACCCTGAATGTAGGTCTCAGAGCTGAAGCTATTATGCCATTCGCTAGTCAATGGAAGCACATACACAAAATAATCCCCTTCTCTCCGCAGCATAAAATTTGAAGGTTTGTCACTGTATACCAGCGTATACGACTGGAACCGAGTCAGGATAAGCCTCGCACATTGGAGAACAATAGTACGCTTACATTCCAGTCGACAGCAATGAAATTTCCATCCGGCACGTCAGCCGAAGAGCCTTGGAACGTCGCGTAACCGTGTTCAGTGTATCTGAGCTGCCACTGCATACATGCTTTATCAGCGATAGGACGTAGGAAATTAGAGCCCGACGCACAACTTGCACTCCTCCTACAAGTTTCTCGTAGCCTTCGATGGCATCACCACCTCCTAGGGTCACTAGCTGCCCCGACCACTGGGCGCTCTCAATCTTGTAGCTTCCGGGAGCGAGCTCGGAATTGTCAGACATGGTCAAAAGTGTAGATTAGCGTGTGTGTACGGGGGGCTGGGAGGACGGTAGGTGGCGAACCTCTGATCGTCGTTAATATCTACCAAATGGTCCCGATGACAAAATAACAAATGGGGGAACACCTTCGGACGCGAGTTCGGTGTACTCTTCCATTCCAGATCATCGTACTCGGTTCGAACCTGGGTGGCAATGAGCGGTCATACGTAGCTCGAAATATCAATGTGTCCTGGTAAGCATTCTAGATTGCGCAAGATTACGTTCCCATACAAATGTTCAGAACTAAAGATCTGAGCCTTTCCTGTATATTGCAAGATCGTGTTAAGCAGAATCGAGAACTCGCTGGTCCAATAATGGATGGTGTCTAGTAATCGAGTCAAACATTAGAGTTAGGGAGGCCGATTAAACTGCGACATGTGAGCGAAATGATCGCATTACACAAGAATCTTACGAATGACGCTCACCCTGCAATGTGTCATGAGCACTGCGATGCTGCCTTCCAAGACAGCTTCTTTGGACGCGAGAAATGGAATGCCTCGCAATTCAAATGGCCAAGGCGTGCTCAGGGCAGGACCAGCGCAAATAGTGTGGTCGATTTACGCTCTCAAAGATTGTGCCTTCGATTACGAAGTGCGTGTAGTAATCATGGTTTCCTCTCCGGCGCATGGAAGACGAACAAACAGACAAGATCTATCAGAGCGGAAGGCACTTCTTGAACTACATTTAGAAGTTGCAGAGTTCGAACAATGAACCACTATGCAAGGGGCTGGGTCATGTGACATATTAATCAAAGCAGTGAGTTAAATAAACGATGTCGATGTCTATTTTACACACTTACTGACCACTACCCTAACACATACGTCGTCGGCCGGAGTCGGCGGGACGGAAATACAATGACGCTTCGCTAGTCGGAACTAGGAACGCACGTTTGACGGGGACCGTCATTGATGTGAAGTTGCAGGAGGTTGCAGGGCAGTACCAGAACCATCGGGCATGATTGCGCCTCATTGTTAGAAGGAACGATTGTCTTCATTCTATTGGGTCTGACTAGGGGAGACTAGCGCCTCACGGGCTTGTTGAAATACGACTACCTGAAACAGATAGCTGTGACTGATAATTCTACCAGGTTCTACCACGGTGGATTTATGAGCGTATCAATGGAGCAGGGATGCAAAGTAGTAAATTTAAAACATTATCTCACCCCGGCTCCTTGTTTTGTCTAATCCTCTGTAGCGCGATCTAAACATATCAACTTTGTCAGATTCAGACTATGTTCTCGATTAGAAAGGCGATTCATGACAATCGACTGGCACCATACAAACCTGAAAGGGATCTCAGCAAGAAATAACCGTGGCTGCAACCGGTCGGCGGCCAATGCTGCTGCCTGGCCCTGGAGAGGAAGGGACCGAGACGGTGAGATGGACTTTGAGTGGATTGACAAGTACTGTCGTGCGTGTTCAATAGTTGAACGTTCTCACACAATTTATAGACTGCAATCCTCCAGCTGCAGAATCCCATCACAATTGTCGGATATCTTTACCGCTGATTCGTACCCTGTCCTCATATCCATATCAATAATCCCTACGAACGTGCATCGGACAACCACATGCGGTCTCCTCTAGCCCATATAGAGTCCCGAAATTGACGCCTCACCACGTACCAGGGGCCAACCTCCATTTTTCACGATGTCTACCCTGATGTCACCATCGAAAGAGGGTAGCTCGAACGACCATGATGTCGAAACAAAAGCTGAGCCTGAGGGTCTGCCGTTAAACCAGACCCGCGTCACACCCGTCAAGCGAAGTGGTTCGTGGACTCGCGTTATACCTGTTTGACTCTAACTAGAATTTAGGTCGCCGGAGGTTGTTTGTAATCATAGGCATAGTTTGTGCCTTCGTGGTCGTTCTTGCCTTGGGTCTTGGTTTGGGGCTCGGATTGGGATTGAAGAAGAAGTCAAGCTCGAACTATGTCACGACGAACTCTTCATTTCTCCTCGATCCGAATTTTGTTGTCACGAATACACCGACAACCAGATATTACGAATTCGTCATATCTGAAACAGTCGGCTCACCTGATGGTTTTGAGAGACCTATGTTGGTGGTAAACAGTATGCACCGTTACCCAACATACATGACGCTGATCCCACTGACTTCCGAATTTTAGACCAATTCCCTGGCCCTCTTGTTGAGGTGAACAGCGGTGATGAGCTCGTGGTTAACGTTTTCAACCAACTATCCAACGGCACTACTATTCACTGGCACGGGCAACTTCAAAACGGAACCAACTACATGGATGGCACCAACGGTATCACTCAGTGTCCCATCCCTCCGGGCATGAATTTCAGTACGTTGACTTCTTGCGACCGCAGTTTATGCGTCTAACATATTCAGCCTATCGTTTCACCATTAATCCAAACCAATATGGGACGTTCTGGTATCATGCTCATGCATCTACGCAGTAAATATCTGCAGCACATTGTGGTTTCTTCTTGGGACTAACAACAAAACAAGGTACACAGACGGTATTTATGGACCGCTTGTAATTCACTCTCCCAGCGAGCCTATTTATGGCCAATATGACCGCGAGGCTCTTGTTATACTTTCGGGTTCGTATCAACATTTTATTTTTATCTGTGTTCTCAGGATAACTCTCTTCTTTAGATTGGTACAATGTGATGTCCTCCGGATTGCTCACTCAGTATCTGAGTGTTGCTGGGATTGATGGATCCAACTATGGTGGAGTTAATCCTGGAGCAGAGCCTCCTCCGGATAGCGGTCTCATCAACGGCAAGATGACTGGTTCCTCGTTAGATCTTCAGCCAAATTTGCGCTATCGGCTTCGCCTCATCAATATGGGCACGCTGACGGAGTTCATGTTCAGCGTGGACTCGCATGTGCTGAGTGTCGTTGAGGCAGACGGGACCTCTCTTGAACCTGTGAATGTGCACCGTGTCCCCATACACGTCGCACAGCGCTACTCCGTTATCTTGACGACAAATCAGACCGCTGGATCGTATAACGTACGCGCGGAGATGCAGAGCACTTGCTACAAACTCAGTAATCCCAACCTCAACACAATGGTGCTGGCTACAATGACATACGGTGCCTCACCAACGACACCGAACACTCAGGACTGGTCAGATGCATTCCCTGCCCTTTGTCTCGACCTCAACAGCACTATGATCGTACCTCAAATTGCCATGAACCCACCTAACAGCACGCAAACTGTCATAGTCGCCGCGTCTTTCCAGCAAACAATTCAATCGGGTGGTGCGCAAACGCTGGCATTCATTAACAACACGAGCTGGGAGGCGGATAGTACAAACCCTACTTTGCTGCAGATGTCGAAGACCGGGATTCAGACCGCCTTTGACTCGAGCCAACTTATGGTTGTCAACGATAATATCACTGTCGTTGACTTGATCGTGAATAATTACGATGATGGTAGCCATCCGTACGTGTCATTGAATGCACTAGTGCTAGTCTCTTTTGACTGAAATTCATTTGCAGATTCCATCTTCATGGGCATGTATTCTGGATCATTGGTGAAGGTGATGGCAGTTACTTGCCTGGGGTGTCCCAACTCAACACTATCAATCCGCCAAGACGCGACACACTGACTCTTCCCGGTTATGGCTGGGTCGTCATCCGCTTCATCACTGACAACCCAGGTCTCTGGGCGTTCCACTGTCATATTGGCTGGCACATGGCCGCAGGGATGCTAATGCAATTTGCGAGTCTACCGAGCCAAATACAGCAGTTACAGATACCATCTTATCTAAGTAACCAATGCGGAGAGCAGAGCGGAGGTCTGTTGGTCAACTAGTGTGTAGAGTCTTTGAGCATACTCGTACCTTCTCGGAAGTCATGCGAACTCGACGATTATCGTGTACAGAATGATGATGTACGTCGAACGGTTGAACGTAAAGTGGAGGTGACGGTTGAGCGTACCTCAGACTGGAAAGAGACTCGTGATACAGTGACCCAGAATGCAGAAAAAACCAGCTGGCGCCCTCAAGCCTACAATCCCAACACCTCCTTGACACTCTTCCAATGGTGCCCAGGCCATGCCGCATTACCACTATCAGCATTCTCCAGGACGTCCTTGTCGACGTAGTTGTCCCACCCGGAGCTGGCCCGGCCCTGGTCGATCATGCCTTGCAAAAAAACCTGCTTGGTGTATCCTTCGGGCAGGGAGGTGACGTGCTCTACCGGAATATTCTTGGATGCATACAGGGCACCAATTTTATTGAGGGAGGTACGTTCCCCCTGGATGCGGAATGTGGCATCATGGAGTTTGGCCGGTTGGAAGGAGGTAAGAACGTGAGCAATAAAACCTAGATGGCGTGGTGTGTCACTATGATCACTGAAAATTATTCATCGTGTACCTGAAACGTCGTCCAATGAAGTGGAAGAAAAAGATGCATCACCCTTGCCCATGACCAAGAACTTTCCGGCGCCGACTGCGGTAAGCCATGGAATGAAGTCCATGAACATTCCGTTCTATGTTAAAAGGTGTCACTAGCTGTCGGGCATAGGAGAGACAACGGGCAGTTACATAGATGCGCAATGAAGGAATGCCCAGCGATTTCAGGTGGTCTGCAATAACGTGAGCGTTTAACAACAAACCAGGCACAAAACAAAAAGTCTCACCAGCAAACTGTGATTTGATCACCAAGTGACCACCCTTCCCTCCTTCCGTGGGCATGCCGTATTCAGAGGGAACGAAAAGCTTCACACCAGCTTCCTTAGCAGCATCGGCGATAGTAGACTGCGAAGGCAATGCGCCGTATGCCAATGCAGAAATCACGACCTCCACTTTATGCTCGCGAAGAATGGAAGCAACTGATTTGACGTCAGCATAGTCAGCCGTGACGATCTTAGCGCCCTCGAGGAGTGGGCTTGACGTCGATGCACTCGACGGTCGAGTAAGAGCAACTACTGAAGCACCTCGCTCAAGCAGAGCCTACCAAGCAGTTAGACAGACTAAGGAGGTACCAAGCGATAGTTAATGGGTCCCACCTTCACGATACGGCCACCGATTGTGGGGCCTGCGCCTGCAACAGCGAAGGAGGTGTAAAGAGACATGGATGGTATAGGGAGATAAGCCAGCACACTCAGTGGCAGGCCTCAATATTCGGTGAGGGAAAGCAGTTGTATTTTTGCGCTTTACGCTGCTCTGACATGAGAGCAATGTTACTTTTTAGTGTATGCCAACAGTAGGGTGTGATTCACTGATTTAAGTTGATGATCCCTAAACTGACACCATTGAGTAGCAGTTTATTTGCGTAACAAGGTAATGACCTCCACTGATTATATAAAATCGTTTACTCATAAATGAGTGCAATCGACTCAATTTCCTGTGGCCATAACCAATTTAATGCAAGTAATCTGATGTCGGACGACCTAGACAACTCTCGGCTCCTCACGCTGTTATCATGATGCTACTCACACACCTCCAACACTATCTACGACTATCTTGAACTAGCCGACATTCAAGCACTCTCATGCACCAATAAATTGTACCGGGACCGGATTGTATCATGGTTCGACATATTCCGCCCAAGGCTCAAAGGGTGAGCCACACTCACTGAGGTTGACGCTCAAGCATGCATTATTGTCTCCACCTTCCTTGAGAGTGTCGTATCACCTGGACACCTGAAATCTATCGCCCGCAACTTCCGTGAATACAATATCGACCCGAGGACCGCGGTGCATCTGCTGCGGTATGATGTCTTTCCCGCCATTTGGGTCGGGGCATTCTTGGACCCGGTTCCGGCCATGTTCCCTCGAAGTTGGCTCCGGGTGGTATGCCCTTTCCTGGTACTTTATCAAGCCGTTGTGGGAGGAGGTGATGAAGACACTCGAAGATGCTCGAGAGGAGGCGGGGCAAGAAAGAATTGCAAACGGGCACGCCGAGAGTGCCAGCGCACCAACGCCCGAAGGAAAGAAGGTTGCGAGTACCAGTGCTCTTGGGAAGCCGAGTGACTATGATGTCGACTGATTCTTGACGATTTTTCACAACTACAAGTTGAATTGTGTACTAATACACTATCAGCATAAAAGTTTGCAGTTGTTTGCAGTTGTTTCAGTCACTAATAATGGTGTACAATATTATAATCTCGTATATCTCACTCAATTGAATTCTTCGCGCTGATCACAATGCAAGCTCCAAAACGTATAATGGGACCGGTAACCCCGTGATTAATGTCGAATACATGGGCTGGAGCCTGGGAGCTGGTGAAATATGAGTGACGGACGCCGCACATCTTCATAGCAGACACAACTGTTAAGAATGAACTTGGTTCTCCCCCTAGTAGATAGTTACTAGTACAAGGCAGACCAAAAAGTAGAAGGAAGGTAGTCGGCAGTGTATGACGAGTTCGCGGTCAACAAAAACTGCCCTCGAAGTTGGCTTATTTTGACCTTTTAGCTCAGGTCTTGCTATGTATCGTATCATCAAGCACAGCACCAAAGCGAAAACACAAACATGACTCACATCGCGACCTGTCACTCAGGCTTCCAGCTCATCAAGAATCATGGAACATCGCAGTATGAAGTGAAATCCTTATAGCGTTGCAAGGCGCAAATGGTGAGTCATGGGATTGGATCCTGGATGCAAACAAAACCACTCATACTCACAGACACACAAACAAGGCCAGAGCAGCAATCCTTGTTCGTTTTGCAATTTGCGTACTGCGCAGCACATTTATCGGATGCACTGACAGACATGGATGCTGTCAAAGCAGTAGCAACGGCAATGAGGAAGGAAAAATGCATTATTTATGAAGTGATAAGGGATCTGCCAAAGGGGATCTCGGATAATGAAGGAGGTGGAATGGTAGGAGGACAACTTGCTTTTATGTCCTGCAAATAGCGCTGCGGGCAGAGGTCGGGGGTTCTTTCAATCAGTTTGGCAGAATGGTAAGGCCTGGGGGATAGCGGCGAGAGCGTATGCAGGGTCTACGGATAAACAAATACAGCCTCAATGGTGCAGGGAACGCTGTATGCGATGTACCGGAGGGCTTCGTCCACATAATCACGGTTGGAATGTTCATCCTTGGCGAAGGCAAGGTAAGACGTATTAGCAGACTCAGCCCTCCAGAGTCACGGTGTCAGTTCCGTGATGTGGTGTGAATACTAGTGGTCTGAAGTAGGTTTTGTACAGCCAGTCCGGACCCGACGGATTGGCCGTGCAGAAGAAATCATGAAAGGACTCTTGGTCACTAGATTCCTGCCTGGCGCTAGTCTCCCGTAGTCAGAGCCTGGCGCCATAAAAGGATGTTGTCCTCCATCTCAGAACCAGGTACGATAGTGCTTCCTGAATCCTGGTGGTGGGGTTTAAGTTGATCCTATTTGGTGACGAGTTGCGACGGAGGAGTAAGGGAAAGCGTTGGCACGAACTTCCGTGTTGATCGAAGCACCGAAACCTTTGTGGAAATTTGTTGTCAGGGTTGGATGAACAGAAGCCAGAAGGTTCGTAGCTGTGTATTGAATACAAAGGAACTGCCTAGAGTCCTTCCAGTGATGCTTCCTGCACAGTTTGAATGATAGAGTTCACGTCCATTGGAGTTGTAGAATGGATACATGCATTAATGACGCGACCACGTCGCGTCAATATTCAAACATTAATTTCAACATCTCCTATATTCTCGACGAAAAATTTAGTTTTCTTATTGGCTACAGGTCACGTGACTACTCCAAAGCGCGCACTATCCAAATTCAAACCTAGATTTACCAAGTTTACCTACATAGTAGTAGTTCTTGGGTGTCCGTTTTCGGAATTCGGAATCGACCCCTCTTCGTTCAAACACTTGGGGATGGGCAACCACGCGTCCTCTGACCAGCAACGCACAAAAAAGGCGCCGACGATGTCTGGTCGCATTGGTCATGCCTCGTCAGTACAAGCTCATGTGCGGCCGTCACCCCATCAGAGCAAAAAGCTAGCTTCTCAAACCAAGGTGAAATCGCGAGCAACGCGAACAGTCGAGAATGGTAGTGGAGCTGAAGACGACGACGAAGATGAAGATTACGAACACGGTTGTAAAGGTAAAGATGAAGATGACAAAGGTGACGACGAACATAAAGGTGACGACGAACATGAAGGTGACGACAAAGACGAAGACGACATACCGGGTGAAGGTGAAAGCGAAGGCGAAGATGAAGGCGAATGTGAGGATGGAAACAAAGGTGTCGAAGGCGACATCAAAGATGGTGACGATAACCATGAAGCCGATACTTCAATTCATGGTTCTTCGGAAAATGTACTCAACATCAAGGCTAATTCTGCGAGGTCATCGTCTGGCCACAGCAATTCCCCTCGAGAAGGGACATCACCATCTAGCTCCACTAGGGGTACTCTATCTCACTCACCACCTCCCTGTGCGCCTTCGCAGTCTCAGCCTTTTCCCCTGCCATCTTACGACCCCATCCCTTCCTTGGACCCGAGCATTAATCTTTCCTTGAAGGGTGATTTGCCATCAAAGGCAGAGTTAGAATCCTCTCCCGAACCTGACCTCCCTTCTGTGTCTGAGATGCTCGCAAAGACGCGTCCTCCGGCATCGCAGCCTGCCAAGTCCACGCTTCAGAAAGGTCGAGCGCAAGACTCTGCTCATGTTCCTGCTGCCCGTTCACAGGGGGATATCTCTGCGGACTTCTCGAGGTCACCGATGGCGATTCATGATCTACCATCTTCCCCCTTATTGCCAATGCCACAGCCCAAACGGCCGCGTCCCGTGGCTCGCAAGGTAAAGCCTCGTCCAATTGAGCCATCAAGCTCTTCAACTCTATCCCTTGCCGCTACTCCTGGCGATGAAAATGGGGAAAGAAACAAGAGTAATGGCAAGGGGAAGAGAAGGGCTTCTATTGAATCTGCTCGCAGTTGTAAAGAAGATGTCTCAACGGAGAACATCCGTCCCACAAAGCGTTCAAGGTTGGAGCGAGTTACGCATGTAGCGCACAAACATGAACAGTTCTGGATTCTTGATGGGAACACAGTCCTCGAGGTTGGAGGAGTGCTCTTCAAACTCCACCGTTCTAGGCTCGTTGATCAGTCGATGTTTTTTGCTGGCCTCTTGGACGAACAAGATGTGCACATGGACGACAGTGTTGTGGTCGAAAGTGATGAGCACGGGTTGGTATACCACCTGTCGAATACCACACCAAAAGACCTCGAGGCACTGCTACAGCTTGATAAGAACCCGATGTAAGGAAATTATTTGTTTTTTTTCCGATTTTTGTGAGATATTTACCGCCACCCACAAGGGCATATTATTTCACCCCCCCTACATTCCCGGCCTTGGCTGCCATCCTTCGTGGAGCAACTGCGTTGGGTTTCGACACGTATCGATCTTTCGCCGTGAAAGTCTTAGAGAATGCCTGGTCCTCGTCTCTCGCAGATTTCACCACGGAAACAAAACCTAATGCAGTAGAAGTCGTAGCTCTCGCGAGGACCTGTGGCATTGAAAGCGTGTTGAAGAGGGCCTTCTATGAAATGGTTCGGCTGGCAGGCTATGGTCTTGGCGACGGCGAGTTGGACGGTAGCGATGGAGGGTCCCTGGAAATCAGCCGCGCAGACGAAAGGCGTCTGGAACGCATGAGAGAGCAACTCATCTCAACCTGGTCACAGGCTGCGGTGCGCGTGGACCGCTCCTTCATATGCCCAAACCAACCAAAGGAGATGATAGACCATACCGCAGCTACCGGGCCAAGCTCTTCCACTTCGCCGACGCATCTCTCCAAATGTCCATCTCCGTCCTCGAAGCGTGACGCTTGGGAGAGGCGCGTGCACGATTCTGGACTCTACGACGAGTACCAGTTCGACCCCCTGTGTGGACTTCAAGCCCTGATCGACATCAAATGGGACGAGGACGAGGCCTGGTGCTTAGACTGTGTGCGCGCAAGGCGAGAAGCTTGGACAAGAATGCGTCAGAGAACTTGGGAGCGCATAGGAGTGTGGATGGGTCTTGATAACTGACTACTGACCAACGGCTGTGGCATTCAACGGACCTGAATCGATGGTAATTATCACGTATTTTGTACAAACGACCTTTTGAGATGTTTTGTTTGAACTTCGCACGCACAATGCTTGGAGTTCGCTGTGTGCAATTGACGTCGACCACACAATATTAATGTGTAACAATTAATATCCTGTATCAATTTGCCTCGTGCACTGACTAAAAAGTGGATACATAGTACAATGCGGAGTAAACTTTACTGCAGCACTACATCCACTAGAGTAGCATTGCCGCGACCACAGCGACTGCGGCTGCAGCAACCATGTTACCCGCATTGCTCGTCAAACCAGTAGCACTGCTGGTGGTTGTAGTTGGAGTTGGAGTTGATGTTGCAGATATATTAACTGGTGCAGGAGCATTGGCTGGGGTCAGCGTCTTGTTGATGTTAGAAGCAACGAAGGTTGGGCCGCTGCCGCCGCCAGTGCCGTTCGTAGGTGCTAAATAGGGGACGTAGTAGTCAGGGTTCAACGGTCCAGGGATGGTTCCGGTGATGTTGAGCTGGGGAAGGCCGGAAGATGAACCGGTGAGGTTATTGTTCTTGTACGAGGTGGCCGAAGCAACGAGGTTGAAAACATCTGACGATGCAGTCAGTACACAATGTCAAAAGGGGCGAAAGGTACGCACTGGATACGGTCTTGTTAGTGTCCTGACGACCGAGGTTACCGAGGTCCCAGTTGTTCTCAACAGTGGAAAGTCTGTTCGTTGATTGGTTAGTCTAGCACCCATGTCAAGTCCTAGTACTTACGTCGAGTAGTGTGTATAGAACGTTGCATCAGTGGTGTTCTTCATGTTCTGGGGTATAACTCCACCCAGGAGGACGCTGTATACCTGGTTTCCAATGGTATATGTCTCGTTTCTTTGCAAATCATGATTTTAGTTCAATTCCATGATGCCATAGAACGAGACGTACTCATCGAAGGTGAGCAAGATGAGCGTCCTGGCGGTGTTGAAGTTGGGGTCGCTGAGTAAGGGCACGAGCCAATAGTTAAGCCATGAAGCAGTATATGCAACATTAGTATCGTGGGCATCACTGCATAGCATCATAAGATAATCCACAGTGCAGTGATATGAGTGTGGGCATACTTGCGGAGGTTCGGAGTGATGAAAATCCATTGAGAAAGAGAATTATTGCCAACCTGTTCTAGGGTGAGCATGTCAACCTTGACATCACATAAAATGAGCGCATACATCGACAGCAAAGTCGTTGAAGTTCCTAATACGCGCCGCTCTGGTAGGGATTGTCGCAACGGAGTCGTATATGATCAATGGGTTGTGCTTGCGCACGTAGTACGTATATCCGTCGGCCGCGTTCGTGTAGTTGTATCCCGTATAGCCATCCGTGGGCATATTTTCCTGGTAAGACGCCCAGCTAATGTTCTTCTGGTCGAGCAAGTCCACAACGGTGGATATATTGGTGGGAATGTACTCCAGTGAGTCAGCACCCAGACCCCAGAAGTCACCACCAGCCACAGCGAGGTAATTTGGCTCACTTGGGTGGGTCACGCCGTAGTACCCAGACAAGGTAATGCCCTGCGCAGCGAGGGTCTGGAAGACTCCCTGAGAGGCTGCCGTAGCGAAGTCCGTATTCTCCAACCAGATCTGAATGAAGCGGTCGAACACCTTTCCGGGAACAACGGGCGTGTTTGTGAGGGTGGTGTTTGCAGCACCGATATAGAAAGGAGATTGAGAAGTCGGTCTACATGATTGAGATCAGAGGTGTCTGATAAATAACGCTTACAACACTTACGCAGGAGCTGGGGTGGTGAAGGTCGGTGCGACTGCTGCTGATGCAGTTCTGGCAAGGACAGCAAGGGTGACGACTGATGGCACAATCATGCTTTGAACTCGTTACGTCGGAATGGAAGCACGGGAGGGCAAGTTCAACATTTGATGCGCACCACGATACTTATAGGCCGTCGAAATTCTTTTGATCCTTAAGTTATTACATCCTTTTTGAGATGATGATACGCCTGTGAACAGTTTTTTTGTTTGCATGCGATCCAAGGACATTAAAGCGCTCGTCATGTGCCCGTGAACGTCAAGAAACCTAAGGAACGTTCGAGGCTGCAGATTACAGAATTATCACTTGGCTTTTCACGGTTACAGTGACCATGCTTACCTTGCAAAACCACCGATTCTCCACTGAATCCTATCGTCGTTCAAAGAGGGCCTGCGAATGAACCGGAGGTCATAAGGAGTGAACGTGGTCAATGATGAATATTAGGCCGCAAATTACCAATTATATATAGACGCTCGCGAAGCTTCTGCGTGGTCCCTTGCACGTTCTTCCACTGTCTCTCTAATACCGAGTTGTCGGATATATTCGCATTTCAACATGCGCTTCTGAATCTCAGGCGCACACCTGGTACTGTCCTGCTTCATAAGTGCACCTATTAAATTTCGAGTTCTCGGTGAAAGGATGGACGTTGGCACCATTGAAGGGCGCTCAATCGACAATGAGTCCGCCTCAAACGTGCGTCTCAGTTCCTGGGCAGAGACGGTGACTTTATATTATTATCCTCGCCGACGACGGCCGACGTCAATGCAAAAGTCGCGTGTGTACTGTGGGTAACAGTAGGTATGTTTCCCTCGCTGTTTACTTGCACAATGGGTCACAAGGCCCTTCGGGTTTCGCATCGTGATTGATTAAATGTTGTTCTTCCACGCAGGGCCGCTATACCATATGCTTCCGAGTCGCGGGCTGCCTTGTTGTGCGCTTGTCTTCCCCTGAATAGGCATATATCTGTTCTGGTACTCTGCGAGCGACTATCAGGATTCAGATGGTCATTCGAAGCATCTGTTTCGTGAAATCTCCCAGAACCGTGTTGAAATCGGCCTCATCTTTCGTCTCTATACTCCGTGACTACTTACTATTGTGGACACTAATCATATCTGCAACTTGTAAATGCACTTCAAAGAAGTGCCTTCGGCTCCCTTTCGCTTGTTTGTACGTGTTCGGCCCATCTGGGGAGCAAGTCGTGAAGTAAGTGTTATTGCACGCATTTTCGTACTAGAAGGCACAATCTTTGACAGGGGCTATAGTGCGTATCAGTGACCACGCCAACATTTGTCCTCTGTCCCGAACATGTTTTGGTCTTTTGAATTGCGAGGCACTCCATTCCTTGCGTGAAGGCTCTCCTAGAAATCACGTTGGAGTGCTTATAACAACTCATGGCACATTGTATGGTGAGCACCCTTGATACGTCCTATTTTAATTCCGCATCTGGGGGCAAAATTGCACGAAGGCTCTCTTTGACAGCAATAGGAATTTACGAGGCCTAGTCTGCTCGCGCTAGTGACCCCTAAGAATTTACGACCATTCATTCAACCCTAGTCTAAGCCGAGCACAAGGAGCTGGAATGGAAGAGTACATCAAACTGGTATCCGAGAGCTCCTCGTTGTGCTCTAGAAGCTATTGTTACGACCATTTAACCCCGAGCACGACTCCGACTCCGAGTATCTGGAATGGAAGAATACACCGAACTCACGTCCGAGCGTTCCTTGCGGTGCTTCAGGAGCCGTGTTTACGTACGACTATTCATCCAACCTCAGTCTGAGCTGAGGGTTGCAAGTGTCTAGAATGGAAGAATAAAGCGAACTCGTGTCCAAGGGCTCTTAAGTTTGTGGCGCGCCAGAAGCTGTGTTTACGACCATTCATTCAATTCCAGTCTGAGCCGAGCACAAGGGTCTGGAATGGAAGAGTACATCGAACTCGCGTCCGAGAGCTCCTTACGGCGTCCCCCCTTTTGTTAACTGTTTCGTCATCGAGAATGGTCGGCAGGTATTAAAGATTAACCGAAGGCCTCGTCGCCTACCAGTCTCCTACCTTCCTCATACGCGCATATTCATCTGTTCTTGTAACCATGTCTGATTATCCCCTTCAACCCGGACAATACACCATCGAGAACACGCACCATGTGATGCAGTTGGTTACTGCGGGAGATATCATCCACGGAGACAGAAGATCCTCCAGTGCCACTCAAACCGTGCGTCAGGCTCAACTTCCCTGCCTCCCCGCTGCTGATCACAGACATGTAGTGGAAACTCACGTACGATCACGACGGCTTCGCGATGTTCCAAGGCATTCCTCCTAATGCGGCGGATGGAGATTTCATTGGAATAGACACCCAGGCAAGTTAGCCAATTGTCTTTGATGTGCAAGACTCCTGTTGACTCGGCCACAGGCGATGCAGCTGGTGTATAGCAAGGAACCCTCAAGGTTTGTACTGGAAAAATTGGAGGATATGTATTTTAGGTACGTGCTTCCAGTGACTAGTGAATGGCATAAATTCAGCATTGAGCCCTGCATTCAGGGTGAAAGATGTGTTCTCGGACCCGTATGGAAGGCACCTTTACTGGGAGCTCCAGTTTAATAAAGATCCTGTAAGTTTTGACGTCGATCTGAGTGCCACCGCTCACGAGATGCGCATACAGGTCATACTTGCTCCAAACGCGGGGGTAGGAGTGACATGGTTGTTTGCGTAGTGATGCGTAGGACAACGAAGTGACCGAATTTCTGTAAGAAACCCTGTATCGTGTACTGAATGTAGTCAAATTCTCGTACATCTTCTTGACTTAGACCTGCCGCCACTCATATCTCATCATCCCCGCGAAAACATAGGCATGCAAACAAGGTCATGCCTTTCTCCGCACTTGGTGTTACTCTGCACATCGTGTAATCAGAGCTGAATACCAAGCGTTCAGGAGAAACATCAAACATGGGAAATGTTCACCTTCTCAAATCGTCGCTGGAATGAAATCGACTGTAATTCCCCTTCTATAAGAACCAACTCATGGTCCATGGTAGGTGTGACCGACAAGCTAAGCCCGAGGTAGCTGGAGAACAGTGTGATTATCGCACACTGTGACTACCTCTCATGATTGATGTCGTCCAACTCACAATTTTCCCCATGTCACGGATGCTAAAGCAAGTCGGCTGAGTATTGAGCAGCAAAGGAAGCCGAAGATATGACTACGTCAATCTCATGATGAACAGGTTCCACCGCGGCTACGTCTGTGCAGTCAAGTAGTGATTGTGCCCTAGTATGCCACGCTTTAAACCAATGTATGGCTTCTCGAACATTTATGCACATACGCACACACGTGCAAAAATGGATAAACAAAACGGCGCACCGGGTAGACATAAGTACAATATGATCGAAGGTGCAATGGTGCGTCGATTCGTTCATCCTTGACCAAATTATTTTACTGTCAGCGTGGGAAGGCGAGAAACTTCGAAATCGACATTATGTCGTAGAGTAGTCACTGGATGAGTGGATGGCTTTGATGGAACCTGATGTGAATGCAATGATATCAGACAGACTCTCTGCCACGCGCATCCGTTGTGTCGGCCCATCTCATCAGGGAGCGTCTGCACTGCTGTCGTAAATTCGACAGTGGTGCCTTGGCCCTTGAACTTTAGGCTATAAGTACAGTCAGATAAATTGGACCAGTGATGATCATGCAAAAACTACTCAACCAAGCTGAATGTGTGAAAGTTCAACTGATCGAGGTCAGGTGTTTCCAATGTACGCGGCGCGGGACAAGGAAATCCTTACCTCTGGTTGACCTCTGGAAGTTAGCGTGGGGACAACGGGTTACCTAATGACTTAACCTTGACGGTCCTTTAATTTTACTTGTGGCAGTGCCAGTTTTCGCACTTGAGTATCTCACACCCAATAAGAATAAGTAACCGCTCTGGTACTCAATACAACGTCCTTTCGTTTGCAAGCACTCTCGACTGTATGGAAGAGTCGTCCTAGCCGCATTGGTAATTATGGTACATACCCCATGAGTTTGGAAAGCCTTTCGACTGACTTACAGTGCCTCTAGGTCCACATCAATGACAAGAAGTTTGCCTGGTACCCACATTTCCCCGGACCGTCCTTCATATCGGTACTGACTTAGGTATTACAGCGAGTCCTGTATCAAAGGACATCGTTCCTCCTCTTGTCATCACTCTGAACGGCCGCTGTTCGAAGTAAAGAAGAAAGGGCGCCCAGTATCGCAGTGTACAACATGCCGCGAACTGCGTCACTCAAAGCGATTCCACTCAAAGTGCACCTGTAACCCTAGGGAGGTAGTCGACAAGATTCCTATACCAGCAGCTCGCCCAGACAAGAAGCGTATGTCGCAGCGATGTACTAATACTATCACTCCTGAACCAGAGTCTCGCAGCGAAGCGCTTTATGCCAGCAGTACCTACCCTGCCGAACGGAATATCAGATGCCTTAGTCAACTTCGTCTTCCTTGCGGCCTGCAAATGCAAGACAGACAGGTAACGATAAATATTTGGTATCTTGCTCGCACTATGACTTACAGTTCTCCAGTTGATTCACTGCTAAACCCTTGCCATTGCAACTATGTTTGGCAGTGCCGTTGCCGATCCGTGCCTCCCACGGGTTCCCCGGCACCTGCGACTGAATCATCTCCCAACGGTCTAGCCATACTCGCCAAAGCAGCTGCTATGTTCCATGACGATATCGTGTCATATCCAACAACCCAATGCCCTGAGGAATCTACAGTATCTTCAAAGTCGTGCTGTAGCAAAGATGCTCGTCCTACCGAAGTCAACACAATTATTCCCTCGACTCGTTTTGATCTTCCCCCCGTTCATATTTACACTCCTGTGTTAACGACATCCTCGTCTTCAATGACAGTGCCCGATTTCCCCGTAATCCCTCCCTTCAGCGCTTTCAAGTCCATCGCTGGGTCTGGGTGCACTTGTGGACTTCGGTGCTCTTGTCCAGGCTGCAAGGAGCATCGTGGGCCTGTTCACGCTTCGAAAGATTGTGCTGATGGGTGTACACATTGCGTCGACCACTCAGCAGGTGTTGAGCTACCAACTCTAGAACAGGGTGCTGGCGGAAACAGCATGGTTGATCAATTCTTCGCTCGGGCTGCATCCCTTCCCATTCCTCCAGTCAATCGTAAAGTCGGGGTTGAGTTTGATCCAACAGACGTTACAATCTATCCTGTTGACCTTTTCACGGAGTCGCTCAGAGAAGACGAGGGAACGAGGCGCGGCATTCGGACTAGTGACCGTGCCGAAGCTTGAGTGCTGTGGGGGACGGTGTGGTTGTCCATACGGTGGTTGCGGATGTGGACAATCTTGTGACGGTTGTCCTGATGGCCAACTTATTCAAGGTCGACCGGAGCCTGTTTGTTGACGCCGGAAGCGGGGATTCGCCCGCGTGTATTTTTTGTGTGCATTGGATTTTTGGGTGTATGATACAAGTTCTAGTCACATTGAAATTTTGATCTCCTGCTTAATACCATCATAGCAGGACCCCGGATAACACCTATCGGTGCTTACAACGTCCTGACAAAATAAACCGAATGGCTGCTTCGAGCTACGACGTGTGCCATCATAGGTCACCATGTGGTAGCATGCTATCGAGGGACATACATTCGTTTCGCAGGTTTTTCCGCTGAGTCTTGAATTATCGATAGAAGGAGCAAAAAATGTGACAAAAACTCCACCGAAATCCTACCGCAGGAGGCCATTCTCTGTTGGCTGGCATGCAGCGTCTACGTCCACCATTCCCTTTCCCGAAGAAAAGCGTCCATCCTCTGAGCCTCTCGATTTTCTCAGAGTCAAGCTTCTGATACCTTCCCCATCTTCTGCCATCGTCACAGGTTGGGGCTGAAACACTAGGTTCAGGAATCACCGCAGATAAACCATACCTGTCGACAATTATCCATCACGAATACCACGGCACTGTTCCAGTCGACTTTTGGGCCCGGTGTCAGATGTTTTTCTTACATCTTGCGAGTTTCCCTGCTTTGATGAAACGCACAAGGAAAGCGGCATAGATCTATGATATATTCTTGTGGTCTATAACACGCAGTATCCTCAGCAGTAACACCAATAGGCCACATAGCTAAGGAAAATACGTACCGTGTAGTCTCCCGTAGTCAGACCATATACATAATACTAATAGGTAGAAGGAAGTGACAGTCCGAGTCGTCCCTTCTTTATTATGTGTACCGTAGTAGGGACGACTGTCTTCATTCTATTGTGGTCTCCCTAAGGGAGACTAGTGTACCGTGGCCAGGCAAGAATAATGATTTTTTCCAACCTATGTACCTCTGGACGAATTGACCCCCTGAAACTTGGGCTATCATTACGGTACACCGCGTCCGCCCTATCCTTGCCTCCGTTCTATAGTTTTTTTTTTTGGGGGGGGAACTTCCCCTACTTGTTGTCCATCGAGGTCCACAGCAAGTTGTGCGCGCCAGGGCGTCGGGTTACTTCCCAGTAAATATTAATTTGGAACTTTCCCTCGCCGAGGTCTCGTCTTAGGCTCACCTTTTTCAGTTATGTTACTTCATGCTTGTACCACTCCACTTGCATAATGCACCCCGTTTCTCTGTCTAGTGGCTCTCGAGATCCACCCGTATCTGTAGTCCCTAAAATACGATTTACTGCGGGGGTCTCGTGTAACATATGCATTGTTCAGCCCTCGTCAATGTTGACGCGTTCTCGCCACCCTATTACTGTCTGCCTACACATGTCGGTTTACTTCCGCAATTAAAGTTCTTTGGGAGGGGGATCGGTATAATTTTCTCTTCAGATCAGAGTTCACTGATGGTTTCCACTGCCCTTGTGACAGTTCCAGCAGTCGCAATAATGCTCAATACCCACGGCGATCCATATTCGTATGTGGAAGCTCGTTTTCGAATCTACATACGCTGTGTTCACCGCGTCAAGCTCCACCCTGCTCCACAACTTGACAAACAAGGCAGGTGTCGTGGAACGAAGAAGTGTGGAGCCCGGTGGCGTCAGTGTCAGTACTTAAGCGAAGTTTTACCGGGAGCCTCAGCACCTGAACGCAACTTGATGAACACATCTAAGCACAACACTTCGTTAACTAGAGACACTAGGGAATTACATGGAAGACGGGTGGGGCATGGATACAGGAGGCGAAATTTGGTTCGATAATTATCGGTGCACAACAGTGAGTGATGAGTACGTCTATGTAGTGGAAATGGGGTGCGCATTAATTTATAACCACCCAAAAAACAGGGAAAAAGCAATGTCTACTCGGGGCATTGCATGCTAGTGGCGCTACCGTGAGCGATATCTTTTCTCTTTTCTATCCGGTTCCGCATCATACAGGTTTGGTGCAAGCTCAAGCTAGCCAGCTAGCTAGTTGTAGATATGGCTGAAGAGATAGGCATCATGGACACGGGGATGGATGGAATACGTTGGCCAATGGCTGGGGACAGGAGAAGATAAGAGGAGACATGGACCGCGAAAAGCTAAAGAGTCATTTATGAACAGATCACAGGTATACCAGCACGCAGACTTACCTCTAACCGTTCTGGGCAAGGGAAATTCGCTCGATCACTGCTTCGCAGTAGCATATGTTCCACCCTGTTGTGGTACTATAGGTCCCATACTCGGGTGAGTTGTGTTGCCACTTTCAACTGTCGATACCCCACCAGTTCCACTTGGTAAAGCCTGTGGAGTGCCAGCAACCAGGTCAAAAACAGCAAGGACTTGTTCGTCGCTAGGTGTCCTGCGGTTGAAAGTGGGGCGCTTCGCGAACAATACAGTACCGGATTTATCTTCCTTAAGAAGTTCGGTGGGACTGGGGCCACGTTTCCACTTCGACGGCGACGATGAAACGACTGACGAGGTTGATACTGTCGTGAGGGGTATCTGGCCGCCACTACTACTGCTCGCCGAGCTCAGGCCACCAACCGCAGGGGACGAGCGCGTCCGATCGCGAAAACCTTGCGTGCGACGCATGCCAGAGATCTCCATGCGACCCATGTTCACGGAGGGTGTCTTTCGGATATCGCTGTCTTCCAATCTACGCCCCTCCTCGCTGATATTCGACGCATACGCTGGTTCTGGACTGCCCTCGCTCCCAGTACTTTCCCCCCACAACTCTCTCTCTTCATCGACCATCATGAGGGCGCCCTCGATAACCGCCGCGTGTACGAACACATACTGCCGCAAGCTCTGGCACAGACTCATCCGCTGCTCGCGCATGTCCTGCACGACCGTCCAGATAGGGTTCACGTGCGACATTAATGGTGAGGGTGACAGGTCCTGATGCAGCTGCCGCGGAAGCTTATAATCGATCACGGCGTGACCCGCCGCACGTTTGTCCAGCTCAGATGGCGCCAGTTTGGCGTCAGGAATTTTCTCCTCAACGAGCTCAGGCACGGGAGGCATCGAGAACGGCGCGGGGTGCCCAGCGGACTTAGCCTTGCTGATTCCCTTGGGCTTAGGTATGGTGCTCGGCTTCGTTGTCGTTTCCTGGCCTGATGCAGCATTCATCGTAGGGGTCGTTGCAGCAGTCAACCTCAACCCGATCTTTGACGACACCACATTCTCCTCCGACTCGTCCGACGACACTTGGCTGCTCTTCCCACTACCAGCTTCCACATCTGCGCTCCCCCCGCTTTCAAAACCTCTTTGGGGGCTCAACAACTCGTCCGAACTAGGATTCGAGCTCGTGCGCGCAAGAGGGTCATCACCCTCGAAAAACGCGCCACCACTCACTCCACTCGTCGTAGGAAGTGCAGGCGTGGAGAAACTCGCGATGGGGGATGAACCAATGATCTGGCGTGCGCGGGGGTGCAAATTCAAATTGTTGACGTGGCTCTTGGCTGGCTGCAACGGGGCAGATGAAGAACGCGGGGGTCGATCGACGTCCATGGGATCTTCGTCCTCGTTGGCATCACGCAACGCCGATGGCTTGTGCAGCGACATTCGAGGCTTCTCGCTCGAAAAATCGGATCCCATATTCGAAAGCGAGGTCACTGAGCTGTCTCTCAGACGAGAGCGCATGAGGCCCATTAGTCCCGACGACTCGGTGCTACCCCAGAAGCCAGAATTGGATGAGGTATTGGTTCCAGAACCTGAGTTGGAGACGGATATAGAACCAGGACCAGAATTGGATCGAGAACCGGAGTGAGAGATGGAGACGGAGGAGGAGGGTGGAAAGGCTCCACTGCCGCTGCTACCACCACTCTTTCTTGAGCCAGATACTGACCCGCTCCCTGCCTTGACGCCTACATCAATGCTACTGCCACTCTCCACAGAATCGTCGGCGGAATTCAGCGCAGACGGTGCACTGCTATTCGATGCGCTCCCGGGCGAGCGGTCACGACTGGGGATAGGCAAGCTTAAAGACATCGAGATGGGCAAAGGTGGAGGCAACTCTGTCTCTGCTTCTCCTTCGACCGGGTGCGTCTGATCCAGCACCTGTTCAGCCCACTCCCTCGTCGAGCTCTGCCACCTCGTATCCAGATCCGCAGAAGTCCTATCCTTTGTCTGTTCGCCAGCATCCGCATCCTGGGCCATTCCTGTAAAGGGCACATGCACGACAAGCGATTCTGAAGAGTTCGTCTCGCCTTGGCGGCGGGATTTCTTGCGGTCGCCCATAACGAGAGGGACAGTCCCAACGATCTTCTCCTTATTTTGTTCTTGCACTTGGTCCTGGTCCTTCTCCTGGATCGCATCCACATCCATCCCACCGCTCTCCGTCCCACTCCCACTCCCACTCTCCCCAACCACACTCACACTCCCCTTCCTATTAACGCCAACTCCGGCGCGCGCACGAGCCCTAATCTCTCTCCTTTGGTTCATCTCCCTCCTAGTCGCATCCAACACGGCATCCACAGCAATAAATCCGCCCGTCCTGCCCACACCCGCTGAGCAATGCAACAGCACAGGCGGCGCATGCCCAAGCGCAAAGGTAGCAACGCCCGTCTTCGAGTCCAACTCAGGATGCCGCCACCCTCTCCGCCCGCTCTTCCTCTTCGAACCTGCGTCTCCAAGCGGCGGGGACGAAAAAAAGTCCTCTCCTCGCCCCATCTCAAAGCTCCTGCTAGAAGATCCAGAGCATGGCGAAAGTGAGCCAGAACCGGAGGCATACGAACCACAGGGTGATGGACCAGGTGTGCTTTCCTGGACAGCACGCTCCACGCGCTTCACGAGTTCTAACACGCCGCGAGGATCATCAGGTACGTTCATATCCGGCCACTCCAGATACTGCAGGTGCGTCACTTTTCGAGGTGGGATCGCTGGGTACCCTCGATGGCTGAGCGCAAAGGTCCTCACGATCATGCTTGGCTGCTTTGAGCCCTTGTCACACTCGCGAGGGGACATGAAGAACCCGGCGTCAGCGGGTGTGTTTGCGGATGCTGAGGGGGAGATGGGTGGGGATGTGCTGAGGAGCTGGAGTTGAAGAGGTCCGTAGGATGAATCTGTCCAGTACGTCCCGCATTTAACCATCGCGTTTTCGATCTCGCGCGTGAGCATCACGATCACGTGGACGTTCTGTTCCCAGACGAGACTAATAATTCGTTTCGTCAGCATTCACGAAGACATGGGTGGATAGGAAACGGGACTCACGTCCAAAAATCGACGAATGTCGCGGGTAAGGGGCCTTGCGTGGCGATGTAGCGCTTGCGCGTGCCCAGAGGCTGCACGTACGACGCGTTCACGTAGTCATCTACAGGTGACGAGTCACGTGGGTTGTCTTTCGGAGGGACAACCATCATGTTGAATTGCGGCAAACTCAAGCCAGCAGCTGCATGTGGTCCCTGGGTGCTAGCTGACGCAGGTCCACGCAGCAAAGGCCCATAGGGCGTGTAGGGGGGCATGACCAGCGGTGAGATGGTTTGGGGCCCCGCACTCTGGGGTGATCTTGGGTGGGTACTCAAGATTGAAGGCGACAAGAAACCTCCGGAACGTTGTTGCGTGCGCGTGTCTACCCGGGGTGGCAGTGATATTGGGGCGTCTTCTGGGATCGAGGGGATCTGTGAACTTTCTGGGACGGTTGGAAAGGAGGGAAAGGTTGGGAAGTACGCGTCACTTCCGCCACCATCACCGCGCGGGAATGTCATCGGTACACCCCCACGCATAAACGAAGACGAGGAAGGACCGTAAAAGGGCGTCATAGGCATGGAGAGGGGAGTATGGAACGCGGATGCTGAATAGAACGGTGTCATCGGCACCGAAGACGGAGGCGCCAGACCTGACAACGACGGCGTGCGGATGTGATGTCTATCGACGTTCATGAGCATATTACCTTGCCCTTCTGGTGCGTTGGGCGATGGGGCACCTGACACCGATGCCAATCGCGATTCTAGCACAGATGCGAATGTGGGGCTCGAGGGAGTGGTGGTTCCACCAGGAGAAGCGGCTTTCTTCTTGTCCTCCTTGTCTCGCTTGGAGCTGGGCCCGGGATGCGACCCTTGGTGACGGCCATCGTGAATACGCACACGAGCATGCTCAAAGGGCCATATGTGGTTGTACCTGAAGAAAAGGGATGAGCATGAGATTGGTGTTGATAGGAAGTGGGGATGACCACGTTAATGCGAGGTAAGTGTAACATGGCCAACAAGGGAGAATACGATCACCCGCGTGAGACCACCGTCAAGTACTCATCCGGGATCGTCAGATCCCAAATGGTGGAACGGCGGTGACGCACGAAAAAGTCAAACGGATCATAAGCGATGACGTGGATGGGGCCCCGCAATATTCGGGAATGCCATGTCATAGCGGTGACGCAATGGGCGCGATAATACGCGGAGCCAAAATATCACACACGAAGAAAGTGGGACGACAGCGGAACAAACACGGCGACAAGAAGAGAGATTCCCACCTGTTCTTGGCACCTTTCTCGACGCCTGCAGTAATACTAAATGGAAATGCGCCATGGACGGGCGTAGAAGGAAGGGTCTTTGCGCCTCCTGCAGTGATAGAACGCGGGCCGACACCAACGATGCCTTGCCCACCCTCGCCCAAGGTATAGGCTTGGCCAGCAGCGGCATATGCGCTGACCTCGCTTTCCCTTGCATGATGTTCCATGACAGTTCTCAAACGCCGCTGCTCTGCCAATTCTATGCGATAAAATTGCATGGCAAGAGTTTCAGCGCCTTCTTCAACGTCTGGATCATTCGAATCTGGATCAGATTCATGGGGATCATCAGAGCTCTCGCTGCCGCTCTCTACACTCTTTCCACCTGGGAAAGAGGAAGAGGAAGGACAGAGGGCTGAACGACGAGCGATATCTTGAAGCCAACGAAAGGGAAGGTCGTTGATGCGTCTACGTATACGCCTTGGAAGGCGTAGAGGGATGCGTTCAGTGATACCCTGGCTGAGTTCCAAGTTCTGGCGAATGGTATCGAAAAATGGGTTCGCAGCGTTCACGACGGCTGGAGTGCCGGAAGCAGCGTTTGCAGCATTGGTTGTAGAGAGTGAAAATGCGGCTTTGGGGAGATGCTTTGTGCGCAATGCACCAGAAGAGGCGGTGCCTTCTTGATCGTCCTCATCAGGACTAGGATGGTCAGTGGTGGCGCAGTGGCGTGCTTCTCGCCAAACTGCTTGAAATCCACCTTTGACCCAGACGAGTTCGCCGGTGAAACCCTCTGCACGAAATTTTCGAAGCAGACCAGCAATATTGCTGCTATCTGGAACGAGGACAGAGTCAGCATCGTATACCAATATATGGTTTGCGGATGGCCATGCAGCGAATCTTGCACGTGCAGATGAAGAAGGAAGCATCTGAACGAGCTTTGAGAGTCCGAACAAGGGACGTTTGAGTAGGGTACTAGGTATGCTAAGGGATAGGGCACGGTGGAGACGAGCGGCGGTATGGGCAGCATGTGGGCGGATATCGAGTATGAGGGTGGAGGGGTCGGCGAGGTAGACTGAGAGGTCAGAAGGGTTTACTGGGGTAAATGTCGATGATGAGGGGGGCTTTGAGGGGGTAGGAATTGACTTTTGTGGTCGTAAATGAATTTGTGGAGAAGAAATTTGAGGTGGATGTTCGTCTGGGATGAGACGAGCGGTGAGAAGATCAGAAGATCCAAAACGTGCAGCGATAGCATGAGCAAAAGAAACAATATTCTCTTGATCTGTATTTGATTGACCTCGTCCTTGTCGACCTACGCTAGAAAAGAAATCGTCGTTGCTCATCGCGAGCAACAGTCCGGAGGAGGTTTACGTTCTTGGTAGGAGTTAACGTACAGGTTTTTTTTTGACAATCATCCCCCTTCGTCACGGGTTATGATGTCATTAAGGGCTAGACAAGGTCTAGATTATTGACGTCACTCGAGCCATTCCGTCGGTCGTCCTTCCAATCATACATTCGTGTGAAAAACATGCTATAAACGGTTCAAACTCGTCGACAGTTCCGTCACCCAACTCCGCACCGTGTTGGAAAATAACCCTCTTCCTGGAACTTTGCGTCTCTGACAACTGCCGCGGATTCCAAGTAAAACGCCTGCAGGGACTGTCGTGTCATAGATTACAGGGTAAGCGCGCGAATTTACTCGTGAAACATGAACGCAATGGCCTTGCCAGCGAGTCCCAACCAATCCATGTCCCCGGTGCGGTTTCATTTCTCTTCACAATTTACGCCGCAGTGACGCGAAGTCCATGCCGTCTATGGGTCACCGGCGCCCGCGTCCGTGTCTACGTAAGTGGCCTTTCGCTCAAAGTACTGAACAACACCCATTCAGATTGGAACGTTCCATCAACTTGGGCCCCTCACTCTCAGATTGGCAAGCTCCATATCACAAGAACCGCCACGGTCCTTCTCCTCACTGCGGGGATACATGACTCTAGTCCAATCCTAGTCACTTGATCACCGTATCTCGTTCAAGTTCACACCAAGAGACAGCGCCCCACGCGGTGCTCTATATAAAGGCCGTGTACCCTGTATACCCTGTGTACCCTGTGCTATATCGTGAAACATGCCCTTGCTACAACCCAACGTGCATTGTGCGCGTCCCAGCAACGTTCAGAGCTTGGAGCACGAGCAGGGGCCAGGGGCTGTGGGAGGGGATCACTGCTTGATTGTTCGCATGATGATATGTCAATATGTTATCTACATGCATGAGGTCTTTGAAAACCAGACACTCCCACAGTGGGTCGAATGATTAAAAACTAGAGAAGGACCCGAGCTTCCCCGGCAGCAACCTTGTTCAATAGGCATTGTACTATCGTTGTATTTTTTGGGGGGAACACACTGCCGAAGGTGTGGTATACTAATAATACTTTGGAGAGTATGAGGTCTTTGAAAACCATGCAGCTGTACTCTTACATACAGTACTTGGGTCAAATGATCAACAATTATTGTTTTTTCTCTGGCACACGACTACCAGATAGGCCGCGCGGGTGTATGTACTACGCGCCATGTGGAACCGAAGACGCCCTTTACTCACAGTTCATACTAGCGAACTTTAGCTAGCTAGTAACTACATATCGCTTGCACTGCTAGGCTAAGTTTTGTTCCACATCCAGGGCCACGATGAGGCTGGCTACCGTTCTCTTCTCCTCGACCCTTCTGCTAGCAGCTAACGCAGCATCTGCAAGCGGGGCAGATTACATTCGCGCTCATGGCGCTCAAGGAGTCAATCTCTGGAGGCTAGCCACTCGAGAAAGAGAAAGACAGAAGCTCGGCCAACTTGAAAGACCAGCTCTACTCGTCCAGGATAACGCCAACATCGGATTTATAGCGGACACCGAGGAACCCAACGAGTTCCCAGATCAATGGTTCACGCAGCCAATAGACCACTTTTCCGACTCCTCGGACACATTCCAGCAGCGGTACTGGATCAATACCCGTCATTATACCCCAGGCTCCGGTGGCCCTGTGATCGTTTTGGATGGCGGTGAAACGAGTGGCGAGGATCGTATTCCTTTCTTGGACACCGGTATTGTAGAGATTTTGGCCAAGGCGACAGGAGGAGTCGGAGTCGTGCTTGAACACCGTTATTATGGTGAGTTCGCGCGGATAATGTATCTACTAACCCCGCAGTTGACGCTTTCATTCCGCAGGAAAGTCTATCCCCGTCTCAGACCTGTCCACAGACAACCTGAGGTGAGCTGCTCCCATACTTGTATCACACGCATTCGAGAATTGAGAGGGCATAGATGGTTGAACAATGACCAAGCTGCTGCTGACTCGGCCCGTTTCATGGCGAACGTGACGTTCCGTGGCATCAACGACGATTTAACAGCTCCAAATACTCCTTGGATATACTATGGCGTAAGGGACTACACTTGATCATAGAAGAAGACAGCATTCCTCACAGCACTGTTAGGGTTCGTACGCAGGCGCTCGCGCAGCGCATATGAAAATCCTATACCCCGAACTCGTCTACGGCGCAATCGCTTCTAGCGGTAAGTCATAGAAACCATACACACAAGTCCATCTACGAGTTGACTCCTTAATAGGCGTGACGCATGCCTCGTTATCAAACTGGGAATATTATGAGATCATCCGGAACGCTGCAGACCCCACATGCTCTGGGCATCTCCGGCACGCTGCCCTGGCAATCGACGCCCTCCTTAGCGTGCCCTATACGAAGCACTATATCAAAACTTTGTTCGGTCTTCAAGATCTCATACACGACGATGATTTTGTCTCCGTTTTAGAGGTATGTCTCTATCCCGTTATGAATCGTCTGCCTATTTGACCGTGAGAAAAGGCCCCACTTGGTTACTGGCAAGCTAAAGTCTGGGACCCTGCCGTAGGCAGCACCAAATTTGACGAGTTTTGCGCTTTCCTGGATAAGCCTATCTTTGGAAACAGCAGCCTCTCATCGTTGCCCTTCGGACATGAAGACCGCCTCATTCGCCTGCCTGACGGAATCCCAATCGACTTCTCCATCGTGAACTACGCTGCCTATATCAAGGAGGTGAGGCTTCCCCAATCCGGCTGGTAAGGCGTGATTTCTAATCACCAGTAGAACTATGTCTCAACATGCGACACCTCTGTCGAAGATGTAAGCCCAATCGTCCCCCTGCTGATTTTTACCTGATGAAAAATATATACAGTGTTTCGGGACCTACGACGACAGCAAGTTCCTGGACACTGGTTTAGACCAGGAATGGCGGTTGTGGTTATTCCAGGTCTGTACGGAATGGGGCTACTTCTCGGTGAGTCTCGAATGGCATCTTGCTTTGAGCGGTTCACGAATGCATGCATACCTTGGTTGATAGACCGCCCCTCCTGACCCAACCCACCCACGCATCGTGTCCAAGTTGTTGACGTTAGAGTACGCCTCGAAGATTTGCAGACAGGTGCGTCGGCGTCGGTTACGGTTCGCGCAGCGGCGGGGCTCACATCCTTTGATCAGGCTTACCCAGCTGGGAAATACTTTGTTGTACCTCCCATGCCTAATGTGACTGCTGTGAACGCATTGGGTGATTTCGCTATTGCTGCTGACAGGCTAGCCATCATCGACGGCGAGGGTGAGTCTTGGTTATCACGGTGTTTACTGGCGCGACGTGCTGAGCATCGTGTCAAGTCGATCCTTGGAGACCTTGTACTCCGCACAGCGATTACGCAGCTGACCGCGAAGACACCATTATCCAACCTTTCAAGATCATCCCAAGTACGTGCTTTTTGGGCAACACGAATGTCATGTATGCCACAGTGTGTGTATCTGACGGTGATGTGGCAGACGCTGTTCATCACTATGATGAGTACGGATTGAAGAATATCAACGAGGAGCCTGAGGAGATTAGAAAGATTCATGAGGAGATGATCGTTTTTGTCTTGGAGTGGTTGAAGGATTTCAAGGCGCCTGGGTCGCGGTGATTTGTAGACTTAACGCCGTTAACAGGGGTTCGCTCGAAGACATTAATTATCCTTGTCGGATCCGACGGTTATGGATTCGTCCGATTGTTGGGCAGGTCCCCGGCGCCACCACTACAAAATGTGTTTGGTATTGAATGTACTTCCGTTGCAGCAAGTCGTAACCTGGTGAATATTTCGAGAAGTTTCAAAAATGTTTCATGTTCAGCTTTGTGACAATATGTGGGCGAGTAGCTAATCGGCATCTGTGACGCAACACAATATCGGTTTTTCCAGACCTGTCGTTCATTTCAAATCGACTTGTGAATACCAAGTCAGTAAGTACCACGACAAACTACGAAAACAAAATTCTCGTGCTCCCTACTCGACAAGTGTTAATCATGCTCGGAGTATGTTCCATCCTACACATCACTGCTAGTCGACATACGTACATGCTCCTGGAATCAGTAGTAGTCACGGCCGTTCCTGCGTCAGAGTCATTCACAAGCTTAGCGTTAAATTCTCGAACGCTAAGGATGAGCCGCGTTCCCAGCACAAACATCTGTGCGAGCCAAGGCCACCATAACTCAGACTTCCCACAGAAGATGAGTCCTATGGAAATAATGAACAGGGGTTACATGCAGATGAGTCAATGACGGACGGGCTTACCTCCTCTCATATTCATCCGACAAGCCTGACGCAGTTAAGCCCTTCGACCAAATCGAAGCTTACCTCCTGAGGTATGAGTGTCTATTATTCCGGTAATCATTCAGGAAGTGATCGTAACAGCGATGAAGCGAAGAAGATAAGCATCTGAGAATGTGCTCACCCAAACCAAATCAAACTATAGAACCATTCTGGGTGAAATGACTGCTCCGGTAATGGTGTTAACTTAGGTCCTGTCCGATATTAATGGTTCTTCAACATCATTTTGCTTACCCCGATAAAATCGCTGCAACAGATGAGGCAAGTGCGAAATGGAACCGCAATCAACATCGAGACACCATCCGAGTGGCTGGAAAAATGATACGAATTGATTGCCGGCCACACACTAGGATCATTCAAGACTAGGATTATATTCGAGGGTGGGAGTAGATTTGGTGGACGTACTGTAACAATGGTGTTGGTGCTAGATATACCACCGTCTAGCGCTTTCGTCGCCGGAATAGGTTTGAATAGTCATTCCTGCTCTAGTTAAGTGAAGTAAGTATTTGTGATGTGAAATGAAGTAAAATGTGGAAGTGTTCGATGAATCAAGGGAGATTCTAAGCCTCTGTCGCGTACAGCGATTCTCACTGAGCATCTGGACACGCTCTACCTCGCCAGCCCAGGTCTGGAGAAGTTCATGCAGAATCTCATCGTAGCCACATTCTGTCAGCGCGATACCAAAAAATCAGCATATCCAGCACCCACACTCCACAAATCCATCATGCGCAGCTGATCCCATCGGCGATGCATCAATCTGCACAGCCAGGTGATACATAATATGTGAGTCGGTGACTGGTCTGGACGCCATTCCCGCTCAACTTGAAGCGGAAATGAGCGGAAATGAGAGAGCGTAGGGGGGGAGAGATAAGGCAAAGGACTTACCGCGAAATCATTATCAAAAATATCACAGACAGTGCACGAAAGTTTGCACAGTAGCTTGATGGTTCATCCTCGTACACGAAGGGTCGGGACTGCATGTCATCATAGCGCGCACATTCTCTATAGAGGTCAGCGGATTAGAAACAACGTGAAGACGTGACAGCTTTCAGTAACCCGTCCAAATTTCGTTTTCAAACTCCCTGATGAACTCGCTGAATGTAGGTTACATTTAGCAGCATCAGATATACTTGATACGCGACCCTGACGTAGTACCTACTTCAGAATGGAGTTAGTTTTTCAAAGTCGTCAGTAGGGTCCTCTAGTCTTGATCGGGTTTAAAGTTTTCCTACTGAATTTTGAGTTTCAAATTTCATGTGCGGGTCCACCCAGCGGCAGTACTCCCTTGTGACGCGCGCTCTGGTATGTTGGTAGCTTGCGAGGTCCGAGGTCCCATCGCAACCTGCTTGGTATCTTGTTAACCGTTACCCACTGTCCCAGCTCTTTCTCACACGTTTCACACATCCCTGGCTTATCCCAAGACTCTTTCTTGGGGGCTCGGATATTCCCGAGCTCGCTGTGCCCGGGAGATCCTTTGGCTAATCACTGTCTGCGCTCTTGCGGGGTCAAGTTAATGAGTTGTTAAACTTTTGATAGTCACGGTCTCCCCCTACTTACTTATGCTAGAGAAAAAAGACAGTCGATCGCTTACGGCCCGTGTCGCAGAAGGCTTCTTCCCAGGGTTGTAATCGACTGATTTCAAGCGGGAGCCAATCAAAATCAATCGAACTTTTGTTTTGTTTAAAGCCTTGAGGTCGTTGCTCGGTCGCTCACGTTGGGTCTACTTATCCTTCCCGATTAATTACGAATATCTTGCCTCTCTGGTCACCTTTCTACTCGATTGGTCCATGGCTTCCTTCATCCGCCAATTCACCTCCTCCGTGGCGCCTATGCCGTCTTCGACCTCACTCGTTGATATTCCCATCCCATCCTTCATTATTTCCAGTACAAAGTCCGCAACTTGGTTTTACACCACTGCTGCTGTACTCGGTGGTCTTCTAGTGCTTGAGCAGTCTGTTTACAGATACAAGAAAAAGCACTTGCCAGGTGCAGCATGGACAATACCGATCATCGGCAAATTCGCAGACTCCATGAAGCCTACTATGGAGGGTTACATGAATCAGTGGAACTCCGGCGCGTTGAGCGCTGTAAGCGTGTTTAACATGTACGTCTGCATTTGATTATAGTTGCCTCCTCTTTTGAATATCTTCTCAGTTTCATCGTAATGGCTTCCTCCAATGAGTATGCACGCAAAATCATGAATTCTCCTGGCCACGCTGAGCCTTGCCTTGTGCACTCAGCGAAGCAAATTCTCATGCCTGACAATTGGGTGTTCCTCACCGGCAAATCTCACGTCGAATACCGTAAAGTTTTGAACACTCTTTTTACCCGCAAGGCTCTCAGGTCAGTACTATCAATAATTCACATCATGTTTCATCTAAATATCGTGCTTCAGTATCTACATTGGCATCCAGGACGCGATTGCTCGCCAACACTTCGCCCAATGGCTTGTAGACGCGAAGAAAGACCCATCACCCCAGTCTATTATGATGACCGCGCGCAACCTCAACATGCTCACTTCCCTTCGTGTTTTCTGCGGCAATCACATCCCCGAGCAAGGCGCTGTTGACATAAGCGAGAAGTACTGGGACATCACGCAGGCTCTCGAACTTGTCAACTTCCCTTTGGCTTTCCCTGGTACAAAAGTATACAGAGCTATCCAAGCACGTAAGGTTGCCATCAAGTGGCTGGAACTTGCCGCGTCCAAGGCAAAAACCGCCATCGCCAATGGCTGCGAGCCTGAATGCATGCTTGATGAGTGGGTCAAGGAGTTGGCAGCCCCAGGATACAAGGGCCGTAAGGATTTCAGCGACCGCGAAATGGCCATGGTCGTCTTCTCCTTCTTGTTTGCGTCGCAGGATGCCATGAGTAGCGGCTTGATTTACGGGTTCCAGCACTTGGCAGACCACCCTGACATCTTGGCCAAAATCAGGGAGGAACAGTACCGCGTTCGCGCTGGCGACGTCGACAAACCTATTACCCTTGAAATGCTCGATGAAATGCCATACTTGAAGGCGTTTGTCAAGGAGAGCATGCGTGTCAAGCCTCCCGTGACTATGGTTGGTACTTGTGTGAACTTGACGACGTCTTACTGAAAATACCTTCCCTTAGGTTCCTTACAAGACGACCAAGGCTTTCCCTATCGCTGCTGATTACACTGTTCCTGCAAATAGCATGGTCATACCCTCATTTTACAACTCTCTCCATGACCCCGCTGTTTTCCCTGAGCACGACAAGCTTCTCCCTGAGCGTTGGCTCGATCCCAACAGCTCCGCCAACACGAACCCGAAGAACTACATGGTTTTTGGCACCGGTCCCCACAAATGTGTCGGCATAGAATACGCGACGATGAACATCGGGCTGGTTCTTGCTAACGCGAGCGTGTTGATGAACTGGGAGCATCAACTCACGCCTGAGAGCGACAAAGTCCAGTGAGTATCATAATACATGTGCGTTGATTATGCACTAACAAATCGTGTAGGATCATTGCGACGTTGTTCCCTAAAGACGGATGTCTCTTGAAGTTTACCCCTCGTCCACGACCTTGATGTATTGTTTACTCAGCATATGGATTTTGTTTCGTTCATACATTATACCCTTCAAGACTTTCACTTAATTCGCTTAGATGATATCATGATTCTTGCGCTGCAATCAAAGCATTCTTGGCCAGATGGCATCATTGGAATCGTGGCAGTCGGCCTGGATGTCCGCAGTGATTGTGAATCTATCATCCGCGTGGCAACGTCGCTTTCGCTGCTGCGCGTTCCGACGAAGAGCACGCTCCTTGGATTCAGCAAAAGGTTGGCGCAAAATCTCATTTGCAAAGATGGGGCAGATGCCTAAAAACCACCAGCATACGTTCGCATTCTACAATATTGCACGAATGTGCATGAAATATGTTATGCGTTTGTGCAATAGCGTCGCAAGTCATTCTCGGACAGTTTTCAACGATACAGCGAATACTAGGGGTTGACACAGGCAGGAATACTCCACGGGGATACTACTGTGCTACGGGATAACGTGCACTGAATACTCCAAGCGAAGACGCAAAGTGTAAGACTGTCATCAGGAAGCTCAGTATCCGAAAGGATTAGAGCAACCGAGGCACATTGTTGACGCAGACGAAAAAGCCCATCGTCGGCTCCTGTTCTAGGTACCCCCGCTCGCCGACGACCATTTTGTACTCCCTAAGACTGTATTAGTGATTCCCAGAGGAAATATAGAGCTTGTTTTGAGCTACATGGTACATGGTGAACGCTGGAGGAATTGCGAAGATCAGTGAGTTCCTAGCCTTTACTGTCCCTCGCGGTTGGTAAAATTCCTCCTTTTTAGAAGCCCTAGTCTCGAGCCAGACATTCTGGCAAGCCCTACTCGCCACTCACAGGACAGCGACGACGATTTAGACGACGACATGGGTTCCGGACTTTTTGACTGACAGGCTGGTGCAAAATATCGTGCCCTATCAGACCCAAGTTGCATTAGATCTTTCATGGTGATAGAGTGTCGAAAGGATTCTGGTTGTGTAATGTACTGGCCTTAACGTTGACCAACTTGCAGTCGTATTTTATAATCGGATTCGAGGAATCATGCTCTGCTAGTATTTTCCAGCTTCAACAAATGTGGCGCCCGCGATAGTTTGCGGAGTGCTGTGAAGAAAGTTGAATGTCGACACTATTTCATCCAGATTACAGGTGCCTTCATCCGCAGACAAGATATTCACTTAGATCTCTCTCAGCCATATTCAGTATCCAATCAGACGTACTAGGGATTGCTTATCAGTGTTTTGTGAAACCCAAGGACCATTTTGAAAATTCCCCCTAGTGAGAGTAAGCAGCTTACTACAGAACTGTTTGTTTTCTGAACAGTCTCCACACGCACAGGTAATACCGAAACAACAAGCGGACGTACACCACATCCCTAAGTCATACAGAAGTACCATCCTCCCAGTCCTCCATAGTCACATCCCCACCTGGAGTACTCCGTCCAGCCGCTTCCATCATCACTCCCAGCGGACTCCCATTCATGGAACCCAACACTGGCTCGTTACCCAACCGCACACGACCATACGTCTCATCCCACCGTACGGCACTCTTGAAGAACCGTCGTCCCCGTGGTGGGCCCCTCCCGATATCAGGGTCAACATTGACAACACGGTTCGAGAGGATGCTCATGCGCTTCCGCCGGCGATACGAAGATCCATCAGAGTCGTACCGCTCATCGTCTGATTCATCGGACCCTCCCCCTGGCTCCTGCAGTTTGTACACGAAACGAGAGTGTTCTGCGAGGTGTCAGACTCATTCTATTGAGCAGTGAAAGCATCTTGACACTTACGAGCGAGCCGACGGTCTAGATCGTCAGTGCCACCGTCTTCGTCGGCTTCATCTTCAGCAACATCCAGGCCAAGGTGCCGCCCCAGACTCTCCCTTGGCACCTCATGCATCCCGACACTTGGTGCACAGGGTAATTGTGAGAGCTGTTGCAGCGCCGTCGCCCGTACCTTGTCCAAGCTCCCATCTCGTAGATTCAGGTCATCCATATTGTTCTCTGGCACCTCAAGCCTGTAACGCGGGCCAAACCACTCAAAATACTCGTTCCAGGGTAGATTGAGGTCAATGTCGTCCTGAACGCCGAGGGCACATGCAGTCTCGTAGGTCCATGTGCGAGCGACGTTCTTCACTGTATATCCTCCTCCTCCAAGGAGGATGAGTGGGACGTTGAAGGCGCGCAAATATTGTACGCAGTGAGCATGCCCATTCATAGTCAAGTTGAAGCACCCGAGTTTGTCCCCCGCAAGAGAGTCCGCTCCACATTGTAGGATGACTGCGCCAGGTCGATAGACTTCCATGATCCTGTTTATAATCTGAAGAGGCGCGTTAGCTAAGAAGTTGCATATTTGACGAGCACTCACCGGTTCAAACACTCTCTTGAAAGCTTCGTCCGTGATTCCATCCTTCAAAGGGATATTCACAGTGTAGTTCCTCCCCTTTCCTCTTCCTCGATCCTCCTGAGTCCCCGTACCGGGGAAATATTCCCCAAATTTATGGAATGAGCAGGTCATGACGCGGTCTGTGGTGTAAAATGCCTCCTCTACGCCATCTCCGTGGTGACAGTCGATGTCGATGTACAGAACACGGGGGTATGTCCTCAGGAGTTCTAGGATACCGAGTACAATGTCATTGATATAGCAGAACCCTGATGCCTCCCGTTTCTTCGCGTGATGGAGACCGCCTGCCCAGTTAATGGCGATATCCGCGGCTCCTGAAGATATCCGTTGTGCAGCAGCTGGAGGATGTCAGTGTAGAATGCGTGGATAAACGGACATGGTCGTACATATTGACCCTCCAGCTGATATTGAACAGAACTCGAATACACCTTCAAATGCGGGGTTGTCCTCGCCCATTAGAACTGTAGAGGTGTTTCATAGGTAACAAGTAGGTCAAAGGGCACTGCCGGTACTCACAACGAGGTCCCATGATAAGTTAACTCTTCCGCGGTCTCCGGCGTTACACGATTCAGAAAATTTATGTACTCGTCCGTATGAAAAGCCGTCATGGCTTCGGGAGTAGCACGTTTCGGACGCTACGCATGTGCTGTTTGCTTAACAGAAGCATATAACAGCGCAGGAGACGAGACACACCAGAACGTGCATTTTATCGAGCATTCCGTAGGCTGATACAAGATCATGTGTGACGCGCATTCGATGCGGTTTCATGGGATGGCCGAGACCGTATGTATATGAACCGGTATCGCCTATGGTATTGGTTTGTTAGGAAGGAGAAGTGCAGAGTTAATGGTGAGCGCACCATCATAGTAGTAAGCTACTCGTCTCTTCGACATTTATTACGCGTTATTGGGGAGACAGCGAATTTCACCTAGTCGTGTCGGGCGCAAAGTAGGTCACGGTGAAGGTGGAACTGTCTGCATTAAGACTTGACGGCTCGCGGCGGTCCGGAGCTTGCTTGTTCCACCGAAAAAAAAAGAAAAATACATATGTATGGGTGTACCAACGACCGTTCAAACGTTCACTGTCTGATTGTCACCTGTTATCTGTTAACTGGGACGGTCGGTTCAAGTTCACCATTACAATCATTCCAGGTAATATGCAAAATCTCCAGAGCTCGAACATCACACTCAACTTGCTTCGAAAAAATTCAGGCATATGTAGACTACCTAGAAACGATGTTCTGTACAAGTAGAATGGTAATATTGTTGCAGCTGCGAGAGACGAAACAGTGTTTATTCGCAACTTTGCACACACAAATCATCCAAATCCTGAAGATCCTGTACAGTAGGGATATCCATAAAGTTACACCTGGAGCATAACAAACGCCTTGTTAACCGCATTCACGAGGCCTAGGTTCGACGTAATCCCACGCGCAGATTACAGAACACCTCATTAGCATCCCAACCTCGAACTCGTTCTCAAATTTTGACGTCCACCGTTGGGCTCTACTACCTCAATTGAGACTATCATTAATCATGGAAGCAAGTCTTCGTGAAGAATGAGAACTCCGACGGTCCGCCCTTCTACGATACCACGAATCCGATACGCACGCGGCTCAATCATTCGCTTTGTGCTCGGCTCCCTTGAGGGAATAACACCAATGGATGAGCGTAGGGCGGCGTGGGCCTGACCAGAGAGTGCGCATCATATCGTTATCAACCAAGATCCGACTCAGAGCCAATTTCAGTTGCTCGACAGATTCCAGTTCTGATACCTGTATTCGAACTGGCACTCAAGCTATCCCTTCTTTATATGCCGCGTTTTGTGCGATAGTGGCGTGTGTCCGAGGAGTGAAATGAGCTCGTACCGCTGTAACTCATATGTACGACGCTGATTGGAAGAGAGCTTATCGGCAACCTCCGATATGAGTCCAAGAGCTTTCCCGAAACCCAAAATGAACAGAACCTTGTGATCAGGGCTTCTTCAACCCCGGTGACCGGCTCTGGTATAAACGTTGGCATATTGGAGCCTGCCTGCTCCACCTTTCCTTCTATCCGTTTCTTCACTCACTCATGAGCATGACCTGGTCAGATGTATCAATCTCGATAGACCCGATCATTACTGACAACGTTTTCATTGGAAAGTATGTAGCCTGCTGTTCACTCTGACCTTATCTGACGTAGACTTCAGCCTCTCTGCCGCTTTATCGATCGATTTGCGCAAGAAATTTGGAATAACGCACGTTCTTTCAGTCTGCACCGAATATTCATCTGCAGACCCTAACCACCTCACTATACCCGTGCAAGACTCTGAGTACGAAGATCTCCTTATATATCTTCCTCAAGGATGCAACTTCATTCAATCCGCTTTGGATCAAGGGGGAAAGGTCCTAGTGCACTGCGTCATGGGCGTCTCAAGAAGCCCCACCGTTGTCTGTGCTTACCGTGAGTTTACGTCCCTTTGTTCTCTTCATTCGTTATGGAACGCTTACTTTGGCTGCACGCTTGGTCAAGTAATGTCCACCCAACGACTATCTGCTCATGCAGCAATACAATACGTGCGAAAACGTAAGATTCGACCTCTTAACTATTTTATCGAACTCATGATCGTTCGGCTACACAGGTCGACCAGAGATCCACCCTAATTATGGATTCATGAAGCAGTTGATTACTTTCAGCGAGTGCCGTTACAAGCCCTCACGCACAAACGGCGAATACATCGCCTGGAAGCGCAGGCAAAAACGAGAAGTCTCTAAATACCTCGACCTGATCGCCGACACCGTACCCGTGATACCAGATCAATTATACCTTAGTAGGTGCGGGCACTCGATTGTCTCCTTTAGCTGCATGCTGACGCCTCTTAATTCCCAGCGACTTCCCAAGAGATCCTGATGCTGCCGAATCACTTCTATTGGACTTGGGCATGACGCATGTGCTTTCCATCTCATCTGCCCAGCTTCCGAAGCCAGATCTTCCTTTGTTCAATCACTGTTTTATTGACATCCCAAATAACGGCCGCGAAGCCTTGCTGCTTGAGCTTCCGACGGCCTGTAAATTTATTGGCGATGCCATTACGAGTGGAGGTCAAGTGCTTGTTCAGTGCCGTGTCGAGCTGAGAGCTTGTATCATAGTTTGTGCGTATTGTAAGTCAATTTTCGCTCTTCATTTCAAATATTTTCTATATGACTATCGACTAGTCATGTTCACGCGTCATGTATCACCACGTCAAGCACTTGGACTTCTTGAATCTGGTGAGTTGTCAACCTCCATCGGCGTTCTAGCACACATGTTTACGAACCATCATTCCAGCGCTTCCACTGTACAACCCAACAGACAATTTCTACCGCCATCTAGACCTTTTTGCAGCGTGCAATTACGCTCCGACACCCAACAATCCCCTTGTCCAAGCATGGATATCAGGAGGCACGCAGGGCGGTAAGCCCCCCCTCAAAAAGAAATCTGCTACCTCGACCAACAACGCTACACTGTCGCTCGCGACCACGACGACGACGCTTGCGACGGAGGTGAAGGTGTTCGATTTTGCAGCGCTCAGCGAGGTGCTGGCGCGGTTTCAGTCGACTTCGACGAGCGTGGGCGCTGGGCGCGCATAGTTCTCTAGCACTGAGATTCTTGTATTACTCACTACTGAATGTGCTCATTTCATTATACCCCTTTCTTACTCTGTCAGCAGTATGCATCGACTTGCGAGGATGTGCTGTCGCGTCTAACTTCAAATCTAGAACTGCAGGAACCACTGGTCATATCGTACCATAGGTCATGATGTAGACAAATCAGTCTCCACGATTCAAGAACGAGCTCATTCAAAACATCACCATTTGAGTTGTGTGCCAAAGTATGTCTCTCCCGCTTGTCGCCTGATCCACGCGACCTCACCTATGCTAGATATGCAGGTGCGAGCACGAGGCGCGCCCCAATCCTGAATGTTATCGGTCGTAACAAGCATGATCCACCTTGCCGAACGACTGGCATTCGCTCCTTGGATGGACTTCATCCGTCCTGGTCACGGCATTCTGATAGATACCCTGCAGTGGTGGATGCCACGGCCCACACCTTCCAGTTCCCTGAAATGATACTGTCCACAGCCGCGGCCATCGAAGTACTTGGCTGCCGTCGCAATGTTGGAATGCTTAAGCCGGAGAATATCATTTTCTCATAGAACAAGGTCGACTTGATCAGAATAACCAGGTTTTGAGCATTAAAATTTGATTATCGTTCATCAGGGGTGCGTTTTCAATCTCCCCGTATTCGTCTCGAATCTGCTGACTAGTGTGTTGGGATTGACTATTCCTGCAACATCAAAGACATGGATTTTGCAAGTTCTCTGCATCTCGTCAGTTACAACGGTCAACCGACCGAAATAGTACTCACATGCCAAGGAACAACAGAGATCCAATTAAATAGCGATGATTGCCTTTATATATACTATAATGAAGGTATTCTATCACCGTCCGCCGTTATCGAAGAAACACCACCTTCTCCTCCGCCCTTGAAGCGATCCAGGCGGCTTCGTGAATGACACCCAACCCAAGACGTTCCATCAAGCTCTCATTCTGACCAACCGCCATCACATGTAGCAAGCATTCACGGTAACACACAAGACTCTGTTCGTCGTACACGCCGCGCAAACCGGTACGGGACAGGACGATGAACTCGAGAGAAGTCGGCGGGGCAATGTCCAATGGCAGAACGACAGTGCCAACCCAGATGGGAGGGGAGGATGCGGTGGAGAGGATATCAAAGAGACCGTGGTGACATGCAGTTGATTCTTCACCACGTCGCCGTACAATGTCAAAGCGGCTGGAAGTCGTGCGGAAAATGAGGGTGCCTGGTTCTAGCGGTCGATGGATGTCTAGTGTCAGCTCCGTTGGGTTTAAGATCCCTTGTGGCGAAGAATATATGGCCCGCTCTTCCTCCGTCTCTGAAACCAAAACGACTCGCCGGGAAACCCGGTGAACATCAAGCTGCACTATATCGCCATCATGGTCTACGATATACCAAGGATCGACAAATCCTTCCACCACCGATGGGTGCCCAAAATAGTCCACGAGCCAAGCATCAACAGGAAGGGTCTCCAAATATCGATGCTCCGTCATGTAGTCAACAGCGCCACGCCATGCAGCCCAAGCCCAAGAAGGCCAAAGTGCACCGTCTCCGTCAGGAAGCGAACGACGAGCGCGTGGTGTGTATGGACTGTGATGCCAAAGAAGCGCATGATGCAATTCTGTCAACATCATTCCATAGTGAAAGGCTCTGGAGGGGTTGCCGATCCCAAAGGCTTTTGCCAGAGCGTTTGTCACTCCAGTGAGAGCATAGACAATGTCTGATTCCACGGTGAGATTGCGTTGTGTACATTGCTTAACGGCCGACATGTAACTCGTAAAGGGATTCAACGATTGAGGGAAATATTCTGCACGTGTATATTTAAGAAAGCTGGTGGAGTCGACCTTGCATTCGGCGATGATGTCTTCGCAGAAGACATCAAGTCGGCACTCAAAGTGGACTTGATGCCCGGTGAAGTATATCCTTCGGCGGGAGAGCGCGCTCTCTTGCATAGGTCCAACAACGCGTATTCCATGCGGACAGAGCGAGACCCTCCTTGAGTCTTGGAGGAGCCGCATAAAGATGAAGTCCTTGAACGACCTCGATATGCTGCCGCGTCCTTGTTTGTGGACGGCACCCTGAGAGTGGGTCTCGAGCCGACATACCGCCAGCAGCAATTATTGTAAAATAAGACAGACCGTAGACCAAATCCATGTCGTGTATCTGAGCAACCTTGTCTTGCGGATCATCTTGGATGATGCATAGAGCATCGATCCATAAATAACGTTCACCAAGTTGTCGAACGAATAGGATCGAATCAGTGATGGTATCAGGAAAGTTTGCCCCGTTCAACCCGCCAGGCGTGCGGCGCTTCACTATGTTATCCTTCGTTGTCCAATACTCTGTGCCGATGCCTCCCCATATGTAACTGAGGGCGACATAACGGCAGCCAGGAGGTGCAGGAATCACAGCCATCGATACCACGTCCACCACTCTCACAAAATCCGGCAGCTTCCTGCCAGCGCCGCTGCTGCCACCGATTCTCCAGAGACTTTCACATGCTTCTCCGTGGTTCTCCTGGCACAGCTTGATCCACTTCTTCACCAAATTGATATCCACGGTGTTTCTCACCCTGCGACAATGAAGATCGGTCGGTCTCCTGAACTTGAAAGCGTCTTCTTGCATGATGTGAATATTTAGCGGACCTGCTGCTCTGAAAGCTGGATATCTCTTCCAAATGTCTTGCAGGCCCTCCATAGTGATGTAGAGGCGGTAGCAACGGAATTTCGATGGGGGATAAGAGGCCACCGCAAGACAACCACAAGGTTTCGTGAACATCCTACATTCAATCCCTGAGATATCGACCATGGGAAATTTGGCCAACATCCATGTTCGGCGGACATGAAAGGCTATGAGACGACAGAAACTGCATTGGTAAGATTTATTTAGGATGGATGGGAGCGAATCGAGTGGGATGTCCTCCATCTCTGGGATTCCATCAAGGAAGATCTTGTAAAAGTCCAGGTTTGCACAGATGGAACAGAGTAATGGGTCATTGTCTAGCGTGGCAGAACGATACCTCTGTTCCACCTCTTCGATCAGTCCAGTGGCGCTAGGTAAGCGGGAATACCATCGAGTTCCTTACCTGAAGGCCAGTTCGTGTCTGATCTGGATTTAGCAGAGGGGTGGATTCAGAAGTCCCATCGGAAGCGATGTTTGCCTTGAGTTTGCATGTGCGAAAGATCAATAGCCAAAGAACCCAAATTCCAAGAGCGACCACACCAATAATCCCAACAAGGGCCAAACCGTGTGCAGAGACTGGTCTGAGAGTCTCGAGAACACCAGTGGGTAGTACAGTAAGCCCTTCATGGTTACCTGAGAATCACTTCAATGAGTATGTGACGAGGGCATCGTAGAGGATACTCACGTGACTGAGTTGCACTATTAATATTGAAGGGAGGAGGCCCAGGAATCATGCGAGTTGCGGGATTCACAAGGTGGGTTGACTGATCAAAGCTTGAGCGCTAAGCGCTAAGCTCCTGTGTCATTTGTTCATCATGCACAAGAGGTGTGCATTCGGCGAAATCCGAACACTCACACCTTTCGCACCTCCCCCCCAAATCAGTATCCGAGGTCCTGATCGGAGCCAATTGGTTGAAATTTGCAGTTCTGACTGAGTCTTTGCATAGCGCTTCGGAAACTTGATATAAGCTTAGTTTGTAAAGGGAACATTGTATCTAAATTGTCCTTAGCATAGTCCTAGATATATATATTAGCAAAATAATGCTGATCAGTAATGTGAGGTCGTGTCTGATAGCTGCAGCAAGCAAAATCAACGAGTTTCCAAAATAAGCTATGACGCAAGGACTATAAGGTGATCGAGTGATCAACTCGTATATAATGAACGCGTCTCGCGTCGCGTCTCATTTACATCTCTCTTCTCTTCCTTCACCTACGATACTCCCTTCTTGTATTCAATACCAGGACTTTTTGTGACGGCAGGTAGAAGTTTGTTAGACTTTAGATGACGGCACAAGGTTGAGTAGAATATGATCTCGTGCAATAATAACCAGATACCAGCCTAGTTGTGATTGGGAGAAATTCTAAGGGCTAAGTACAATAACACGACTCTAAATAACGTCAAAGCGTACGAAGCCTGTGATAACGAATATCAGGTGTAAATAGGAAATACTAATCATACGGTTTCAGATGGGTAAGCTTTCATGCTCTCGAACATTCTATTCCTCGATCTTCTAAGACCTTCCTGCTGGCAAGGTACGAACACCACACTTTTGATACCATCATGACCAACATCATGTTAAATCTAGACAGAGTTAGATCCTCAGTCGTGTGCATAACAGACTGAGATTACTATGTACCTAGACAGAGTTAGATCTATCGTAGGTAAATTATTAGAGTCTGAAGGTAATCGAGAAGAGAGATAAAGAAATGTACCCTCAGTTGTGTGCGTAACAGACTGAGGGAAAAGGAAAACAAACATGAACCACTATATATAATGTCTGTTTGGTATTCTAAAGCGTCGCGCTCGTCACGTGCACGTAACGTGCGCTAACACATCATGCCAGCAGACTCCGAGTCCAGTTTTAATTTTACATTTGATGCCTTGAGTTTGATTGGTGCCTCAGTGTGACAGATGCGAGAAGCAAATGCTTTCAGATATGGCACAACGAGATGAGTAAGACGTGCAAGAATAACCAGATACAAGTCAAGTAAATTCAAGAACGCCAATGTTACAAATAGCTAATCGTCGATCCTTTATACTATCTGTAAGTAGGAGCTTGTGATTATTTGTAGCAAACATATGATTAACACTTGGTCTCAGATAACGAGTGACCGACCTGTCCAGGCCCTTGACCAAGTCCGAAGGTCCAAAACAGTCAAGTCCTGTCACTGATCGTCACATACCCCCCACCAGGCGTCGTCCAGCGACGCCTCACTTCTTCGGGATACTGGCCAAGACCTTTACCCTTTCCCTGGGCGTGAACATCCTCAGTGCGGGCTTCCGTGTTCCCATCGCTCATCTCCTCGTCCTCGACATTGGCAGGAGGCGCGGGTGGAACGGGAGCTGGGATAGTGGTAGGGGGAAGGGGAATGGATGGCTCAGGGGGCATGTTCCGGCCGGAGGAGCCAGCGAGGGCATTAGTTAAGGAGGTGGAGGGCGCAAAAGGGCGCATCGCCTCATCTTCCTCCTTTCGCCTTCGTTTGGCCTGTCGTTCGGCCACGCTCTTGTCGTGCCAAACACGTTGTTTCCTGATCCGCTCCAAATTGTCCCACAGGGTGTGGTCCATGAGATCAGTATGATGAGCGCTCAACCAGGTCCCCCCAGCTTCTTCACGAGGGTCATGAGGAGTGGGAGCTGCTCGTCGTGTGGCATCAAGTCCAACGAGCTCAGCTAGGGTAGGAGGACGTCCGGTAACACGAACTCCCTCGTCTCCCTCCTGAACTATAGCAACCTGAATGCCTGCCCCAACATTAGTGTTGAGGGCAAGGGCAAAGTCGTCGTAACCAATGGGTGTGATGATTGCGTTGGGAGATGTCCCACTACGCAGGTCGGCGTTGTACTGCAGGTACAGACGCAGTTGGTCGAGGGTAAGGGCAAGCGAGACTGCCAGGGCGGTAATGGTCCGCCATGACGAATATCCCATTGTTCTGAGTGCGAAACAAGGGAGTAGGAAGTGAGTTCATGGACATGGATTGTTGAAGGTTCGAAGCAGGATTGTGAGGTAGATGTCAATGGGGAATACGAATGAGGGGGTCAATTTATATCAGTCAGGCCAGCCAAAGCCCATGGCACCTAAAAACACATGTGCATTAGCACTTGATACATTTGGACTCACTGAGACCTTATTGCCATCCGCTAGGTCAGAGATGTCGTCGACACCCAAGACAGTCGAGGTAGTCACGCAGGGCACCAAGGTGGTCAACCTGATTGAACGGTAACCATGTGGTGTCTCCCACCTTCCACTGTACCTCAAACATTGCGTCAGCTCGGCTTCCCCTATGCGATAGGATCTGGTCAACGGCCCATTCCCGTTCCTGAGTTTCGAACTCAGCAACTTGATTATCCAAACGTCCCAGGAACCTTCGATTGTCATTCGGGACGTGTAACCTTAGGTAAGAGGCGTGAAATACATTGTGTATCCCCCTTTGTTTCAACCTGGTAGGTAGGTCGATACTGATAGGAATTGTTCCCGAAGTCTTCAATTATTCGGTAGGGTCCAACATACTTTGGTAGTAATTTGCAAGCTAACCCTTTAGGAAAGTTCAAGTTCTTCGTGGAGATGTACACCAAGTCCCCATACACAAACGGACTCGGACATCGCTTCTTATTCGCGTCCACCGTCTGCTTCACCCTAGCGTTAATAATGCTATTGTGGGCTTCCATAATGGTATGCTTAATTTTCTGCAGATAAGTTCTCACCCCAGGGTATTCAGATTCTGATGGGTCATCCCATACCATCGCTCTTGGTGTTCTCCCAGTGTTCGTTTCAAACGGTGAGTGTTTCGTGGATTCCGAACTCATCGATGTTAATAGCGAACTCGATTGCTGGCAGTCGGGGCACCCAATCTCGTTGATTTGGAGCAATACAGGCTCTCAGCATTTGAACTACGGTCCTATTGGCTCGCTCAGTGGATCCTGTCTGTTTCAGGATGGTAAGCACTTGACATTTTTAACTTAGCGCCGATGAGCTTATTGAAATTGGTCCAGAACGCGCTGGTGAACAGCACGTCTTTATCGCTGACTAATGTACTTGGGCACGCCGTGGTGTTTGTACACCTCGGTGAAGACTAATTTGGCCACCTCCTTAGCCATGTAAGTGATTCTACTCGGTACTAGATGGACCATCCCACTAAATAGATCAATAATTACTGTTATTGAGTCGTACTCACCAGTCCCTGTCCTTGGACAGGGGTAGCGGTCCCAGGAAGGCGATACCCATCGCCTCCCAAGGTTGGGAGGGTACAGGTAAGGGTTGCAGCAGCCCATATGGTCGTTGGTTGCTGGACTTACTTGTTTGGCATGTTGTGCAGGATTCACAAAATATGTGCACATCTCGCACAATTGTTTTCCACCAGACACAGTCCCTTAAGTAGGTGAGTGTCTTTTGTGCGCCCAAATGAGCCAACAATACGTGCAGCTTGACTAATTATACTCTCCTGCAGTCTTCGACCATTGATCTTTATGTCCGGTATACACAACAGTGTCCGGTCATTTAACAACTGTTTGGGTGAGTCCATCACTTTTTGGAAGAACGGGTCCCTGTAGTACTGACCTCTGATTTCTGACAGAGTTTCGTTGTCCAGTTCCATTCGTGGCAACTGTGCTACTGGCGTGAACCGTCCCTCTGTGTGAGTTGTTTGAGCAGGGAGGTGAGTTGAACCACCTTCCTCCCCACCCTCCTTTCATTCACCAGGGCCCCGTAGAATGAAATGGTCTTTCATCCGCCTGGCGAACTCCGTGGACATCTCCGGGCGCCCACTCTCCGCGGGCGCCTCCGACCGCCACATCCTCTGGTACGACAACCCCTCTGATGCCAACCCGGCAGATTTGCGCAGTATTGGTCGTTCGCCCTGTGTGTCTACCTTCATGGTAGATTCGCACAGTATTGATCGTTCGCCCTGTACATCCACCTCCTGGGTGACCGGCTCTCCCCGTCTCTCCTGACGTCTGTGTTTAGGCAGCCAAGCTGGCACCACAGGCGGTCTCGCGGTGACTCGTGAGCTGCATCGCAAAGTTGGTCCCTCAGTGGGCTCTTCCGCTAGCAGGGGTATCGAGGATGAAGACAGGGGAGCAGTGTGTACCTCCCCTCCATCATCCTCGTCGTGTTCAGTATATTCACCTGGTGTAGCGCTGGGTCCATCAAAGGAATACATGCGCGACAGAGTGTCTGGCAGGAGATTCTCCTCACCAGGTATGTACTTAATGTCAAAATTGAACTCCCCGATCTTCTCAAGCCATCGTGCTTGCTGCCCACTAACATTCTTTTGATTTAAAAGATGAATGAGGCCTTTATGGTTGGTTAGCCAGGTAAACCTGGCCCCCTGCAGTATGTCCCTATGCCGCAACATTGTCTCTACCCTGGCTAACATTTCTTGCTCGTGCACGGCGTAGTTGCGCTGCGCAGGATTCAGCTTTGTGGAGAAGAATGCAGCGACCTTCGCGCATTTCCAGTCCGTCCCCTGGCACACAACTCCGCCTATCCCTCCCAGGCTAGCATCCGTCATGATGTAGATGGGAGGTGCACCTTCCGCGTAGTCCAGTGGCATGCGACAGTGTGGGGCGCACGCCGCCACATATCGCTTAACGTCCTCAAATGCGCGCTGCTGCGCGAAATCCCATCTAAATGGCACAGCGTCTCCTGTCACCTCTGACAGGACGCCCAAAGGTATTCTAACTGTATATGTCATCCGCAAGATATCCCACGGAGCCAATAAACCCTCTGCACTGGTCTTGGTTTGCAGGGGTTTTCCAGTTGAGGACGTGATCGACTTTTTCTGGATCCATAAGGATCCCGTTACTGTTGACCACCCTGCCAAGGATCTTTACCTCTTCACACAAAAACTTAAGCTTCTTCTCGCTAAGGTAAAGTTTCTTGCAGCTCTAATATTTTTAGCACGATTTTTATGTGGTTGATGTGATCCGCCAGCGTGTCCGAATAGGATGATAATATCATTGAGGTAAACATCCATCCACCTCCCGATATACTCACCAAACAGCTGATTCATTACAGCTTGATACATGGCAGGCGCGTTGCAGTCGCCTTGCTGCAGAACATGGCTCACCATGTGACCATCCAGCGTCGTCATCGCCATCCTTGGTACGTGTTCGGGTATTATGCGTATTTGTTTGTATGCGTCCTGACCGTCCATTAGGGAACGATAAGGTTTGTGCGCCACACGACGCAAAATCCCCTCCATGTCCGGTAGGGGAGAAGTCAGTTTGTAAGTATTTTTATTCCGCTCTCCTAGGTCTACGACCGTCCTCAAATGATCAGACCCTGGTTTCCTTATAAACAGCATAGGTACTGTGTTACCCACACTAGTAACCTGCCACCTTCCACTGGCTAGGTAGGACTGGCGTTTCTCGGCCCATTGGGGTCTCAGCAGCTCAGGGCACTTGGAGGGCCTCCACGGGTAGATTTTCTTCTCGTCAATGAGAGGAATCATATGGTTGATAGCTCTCAGTGGCGGGAGGTGCATTTCACTTGCCTTTGCACACAAAGGTTTTGCTAACTGCTTCAAATCCTCCCGAATTTTCTCTAGATCACCCATCTCCACTGTCGCCGCGTGGGACGCGAGAGTCGTGACCTCGACCCCCTTCATTGGTAATGGAGATGCGCTCCCGATGGTCACTCGAGGTAGGTTCAACCCCACCATAACCCGGTGCTGGAAGAGGAACGGCATTCCCAGCACCAGATCATAGCTCTGTAAGTTAATCACGTCGAAGTAGCGCTGCTTGCTAATATTCTGGTACTTCATGTTTACCTTAGTGCCATAATTGACTTTAGATCGCGACCCTTGGACCGCGAGCTGTACCACCAGTGGCCTGGTGAGTGCAACCTTTGTTACCTTCAACTGGTTGGCCAAAGTTACTGACATGAAGTCAGATAAGGACCCAGAGTCTATTAGTGCACGAGCCAGTCGTCTGTTAATGTTTACGACGACGATGACAGGCTTTGGTATCATTTGTGTGAAGTCCTTGGTTACCGCCGCCCCTCTTTGTAATGCTGGGTAAGTTCCCACTGGTATTTGCTGTCCGTTCAGTTCTAACGCAAACAGATATGACTCGTCATAGAGGAACTTAGCATCTGGGGGCTGGGAATATATACTCCTCGCCACATCGTCCAACTGGCACTTGAGTTCGGTCAGCGGTCCCTGGTCCAACAACCTGAGCATGTTGAACTCCTGGGAGTTCTGCAGCAGTCCGTCACAGAGTTCATCGTGAGCCTCCCTCAGCCTTTTATTGTACCAGGACGCTAACTGGAATTTGGGGTGCAACAGTAGGTTCAACGGCACCTGCACCACAAACAATCAGACATAGTCTCGTATGAGGTGCGTCCCGTCATTCATCCTTGCACATTCGAATCGCTGTGAATGCTGCACGTTACGAATGGGATCGTTGTCATAATGGCCCCTTCGCACCAATAGCTGCTCTACTCAGGGCAGCTAGAGGTGTTTCCATCATCCTTTTTGGGCCAAGGTCCCCATGCTCCCATTTTCTCTGTTTATTGGGGTCTACTCCCCGGAGCTCGCTAACCTTTTGCGAATACCACTTCGCTAGGCAGAACTTCGGGTTCAGCAACTGGGAGGTGAGTACTGTTACCTCATTCTCCCTTCTGTCTTCTTTGTCCATGATGACGTGTTCTTTTGCAGATATGCTATAGACGAAGAACCTCTCTGGGTTGATGGGCAGCCATGGCTCCCGGTCCCAGAGGTAGAAGCCTCCGTCCAGCAAGTATTTGGCTCACATGGCCAACAGTTCTCCCATGGCATCGGCCTTCGTGCCTCTGGAGGCCCAGTCTTCCTCCCCAGCGGGCCCGTCATACAAGATGGTTGGCTGGCGCCCGCGAGGTAATGGTAACGCAGGTTCCTCCTCATTACTGACCCATGCCAAGCTGTCTCCATCGTTAAAATCGTCACACCAGAAATCCATCGTGGCACACGACAAATCTGTAGCCCCATTAGAGGTCATGTTCTCATTCTGGTGAGCTACTCTGTCCGCCTCGCTAAGGTCTACCTGTATGCTAAAATTCTGCACGCCAGGAGGAGCATTACCTGCCCCAGTCCTTCTGACCATGGTTCAGTCCGGGCAATTCCTGGAAATATGTCCAGGTTGGTGACATACGTAGCAGAGTCCCTCTGCCGCATGTCTTTCCTTTTCGGCCTGGCTCAGACGATCTGGCCTTCGCTCAGTCTGTGAGTCCTTCCCTTGCCCATGGTCCCTTTGCTGACCTCTACTCTGTCCATTATCGGTAGGCCCAGCACGACTTCTGTCATGGTGCCTCCGTCGGGAACCTCCATCGCCCTTTTGCAAGTTTTGGCCCCCTTTATCCCTGTTTTGCTGCCGCCCATCTTCCCGGCAATTGGCATTATTACCACCTCCACTCGTTCCTCCTGAACTTGGTGGAGGTTTGTCTTTCTCTTTGTCTCTCTGGTGTATCAGCACTGAGTTGGCAATTTCTATTATCTCAGCCGCATTTCTGACCTCTCTGAACAGCGACAATTCAGGGTTCAACTCCTTTTTCCAGAGCTCTGCCTGGATGCTGGGGTTTAGCCCAGTTCAGAAGCAGGAGACCTGCTGCCGGTCCTCCACATCCCCAATCATATTCCAGAGCTCACTGAGTTCATACATGTACTCGCGGACAGACTTATTATTTTGGTAACATTTGTTTAGCTTCGCCCTCTGCTCCATCCTAAAATTGACAGGAAAGCAGTAATTGAAAAGCTCCGTAAAACGGGTCCCCCGAGACTTCTCTTATGTAGAACTCGCGTGCTCTCCCTTTCAGATGATGCGCGAGTATATATACTCGCTTCTTTCGTTTGACCTTGCCATCTTTGACATAGGCCGTCCCTTCTGTTAGGAATTGGTGAAAGGCCCTCGAATCAGGTGAGCCATCATAATTCACTGGTGGGATTGGTTTTAATGTGCTCTTTTTCTTTGCATGATCCTGATGTCTTTTAGCTCGTCGACATCGTGAGTTGTTTGACGAGCTGGATGCTGACAATGAGCTGGACGAGTCGCTGGAGGACTCAGACGAACTGAAATTGCTGGACTCGTCACTGGGCTCACTGTCTTCGTGTCTTCGGGTATGTTTTTTGCTTTTACCATTTTGCTTGTCCAAGCGGCCTAATGCTTGTCCGATGTAGCTTTTTGGTGCTACCTGTCGCACAGGGTCCATGGCCTTGGGTGTTTGGCGCCTTTCTCTCGGGTCTGAAGACCTCTCCAGCGCATGGTCGACCAGGTTCCTCACGGGATCCTTAACTCGGCCTGTGGCCCTTGTCTTCCTTTGTTTCCTCTTTGGGGGTATGTGCAATGTTTCTAGGTTGCTTTCAATCCCTCGCAGATGGTGAGTCCTTTCGTTTCTCACCTCCTGGAGGCGTGCCTCATATCATTTCTGTACTTGTTCTTCTGCAGCCCTGACTGCAGCCTCAGCCTCCACTCTGGAGACCATGGCTTCATCTGGGATCTCCCGCCTATTCAGATGGCGGGTATCCTTGTATTTGGCCGCACGATACGAGTCCAGGGCAGCCCGCTGGGCTTCCATGTCTAGGTCCTCATCCTCAAGTTCAGCCCCTCCCCAGTTGCGTGGGTCAGGTACTTTACCCTTTCTCTTGGAGGGTCCCTCGCCTGGGGATTCCTCAGATTCGCTGCCATCAGAGGCAGGGCGACTAGGTATGTTCCATCTAGTCCTAATTCTCTTTTTCTCAGCCTGAGTTAACTTATCTTCAGCCTTTCTCACCAGGTCTTCTTGTTCCTGTGTGAGATTCTGATGCTCACCCTTCTTTTGGGTCGCACCCTTAGCGCCTGCAGTGCGCTTATGATCGACAGTGGTCCAGATTCCGCTCTGGTCGTCACCATCGTCCTCAGGTCCCTTTACGGACCAACTCCTTTCTGGAGTCTCAGAGTAAGTGTTCTTCTCTGTTTCATCATTATCTCTACTAACAGAAGTGGTGGCATCTACAGGAGTCATTCCGCCCGGATTCTCCTTTGTGGTCTCCACTGTCTTGTTTAAGGGACAAGTGGGGGTCTCCCTGAGCGCACCTGGCATCGGGGGATTACGCGCCATAAGCACGTCACTGTATGAGCGCGCGTGCTGTCCGGCGGAATACGCAGGAGATACAGCTCGAGGCTGTGATTCTCCTGGAGACAAGACTAATGAAGAGAGGGCAGACTCACTGTTGACGCATAGAGGTGCAGCCCCTTTACTTGTCATTTTGATGGTCTTCTCGGTGGTCCCTTTGCGTGCACGTGTGTCGCGCAGCTGGTACCGAGGGATACGAGATTCGGTGGTGGTAGTAATAGACATGTCGTTATGGATAGAAGTTGCCTAGACGTAGAACGACTGGTGGATCAGACCAGTGTTCCGAGTAAAGGGCAAGGTATAGAGTTAAGCTTGTTAGAGGTTAAAAAATATGTGACAGATGCGAGAAGCAAATGCTTTCGGATATGGCACAACAAGATGAGTAAGATGTGCAAGAATAACCAGATACAAGTCAAGTAAATTCAAGAATGCCAATGTTACAAATAGCTAATCGTCGATCCTTTATACTATCTGTAAGTAGGAGCTTGTGATTATTTGTAGCAAACATATGATTAACACTTGGTCTCAGATAACGAGTGACCGACCTGTCCAGGCCCTTGACCAAGTCCGAAGGTCCAAAACAGTCAAGTCCTGTCACGATCGTCACACTCAGCAGCACATGACTTTAATGACTTTAATCCATCTCAGTGGCCTGGTGCAACACTTTTCACTGCTTATCAGTATCTGTCTGTTGATCCAACTCCATCCGCCTCAAGTTCGACACCCATTGTCCATCCCTCTCGTTACATGCAGTCTCACCGTTTACTTCCAGCTTTAAGTTCAGAATCTTCATCTGAGTCCGACTCCAGCAATCTCACTTCAACTCTTGACCCAACCACCAAGGAACACCTCTTAATGGAGGCTACTGGTGCAGCTTTTCTAATTCTTTATCAATACAACGAACTTGAGGTCCAAGTCAATGACTTGAAAGTCTGGGAACTACGTTGTCCTCATGGATGCTGGATCAAGTCCAGTATTCACAGCCATGTCAAGCTCTCGAGTCGTGGTCAATTCATGGCCTTAGAACAGCACTATGGTGCTTGTCGCAACCAAAAACTAAAGGTTTGCAGCGCCATCAAGGAATCTCGAGTAGTGCTTGCAGTTCTTAGGCCTACTCCATTGCAAGTACCTGTTTTATCGTGAGTCAATCTTCATCTGTTATCCCACTACTGACACCTGTACTTGTGATAATGATACATTATTTACTGTAGCACAATGAAAATTGCCATACATCAATCATTGTCATTATCACTTACAAGCAAGTAATATATGAGGATGAGGATCCCTGCAGATCCCTATTTGATGACCAGCTGGTGATATATCACTGATGTTACTCTTGATACCCCAAAACAGGACACCCCTAATTACCGCTTTTTTGGCCTACTGTGGGAATTTCTCCACATCACTTAAAAATAGATTGCTCCTGACCTTCCCACATTATTCCCACACTGGGAATTACCCCACAACACCAAAAACATTGCCCATTTTGGGAATCTCCACAATATCAATTATTCCCACACCCTCCCCACCTCACTGCAGCTTCACCACTACACCACAGTAGGTCCCCCTTTGTATCTAAGTAGTAGTTTTGTATATACATGTATAATATGATATAATAAACCACATGTTTTTAGTTATTTGTGTGTCAGCTCCCTCTCCAGGGCCCATTTAAAATGATGTAGGGTACAGAACATTTTCGCACTTTTGCCCCTTTGATAGGGGGATGTTCCAGGACATTCAGAACATGTTTATGAGTATATATGAAGTGATTCACACCTTTATTTGACCCCCTGAAGCGTCCTACATCAATAGATATAGCACATATGCAAGAAACACAGAATATGTTCCCATTTAATTATTTGTAGGTGAACAGACTTGTAAAAATGATTCCCAGCATCTATTCAACAATAGGAACAATGTATCAGGAGCCCAGGACCATAGGATAATCCCCTGTTGCATGGTGTGCCCCCCTCTCCTGGTGGTTTACCCCTGTGAAATTTTTTCCTGTGGGACCGGACCTCAAGGAGGGTGATGGGTCTGTTTCTGTGTATATTTGGAGTAGATATATCATATATCCAGCATAGAAGACACACAGGATCCTTCTACAGGAACAAAATCATAGAAAATTACATTTTTGACATTTCTGATGTTTTTTAGTATCTTACCCCTACATCTATGATACAACTTGTTCAAATATAATTAGCATAGCATATATACTTATGTTTTATGACCAAGATCAGCTCACAATAAGCCAGAGGTTTGAGCTAGTGCATATGCTTGCTATTTCTACTGATAAGGGGCCCATACTATCAAAACATCGAAATTTTATGATCAGAAACCTAGAGTACATTTTAATATATTCAGAATCATATATGTAAATTTACAGAACAATCCACCAATATTTGAGTGCTCAGAAAGTGACATAGATAAGAAATTGAGTGTGGGAAACCTCAAAGACCCAAAACATCGAAAATGGTCAGTTGGCCAGTGGTAGGACTAGTAAGGACTTTAATGCTAGGTTCACTCATATTTACACTACATCCCTTCCACCCACCCTCTACTCTCAGGGCAGTAGGTAGTATATGTTCCTGAGGCAGTTTACTATCCATCCTACATATTTTTAATGAAATCTTCAACCTGTATCATATAAAATGTGACTTTGTGTAAAAAGATGACAATTGTCACTTTTCACACATATGTCATTTTGCCTGTCATTCACTCAATCCTTCATGGATCTTTGTAGGGATTTAGAGCTATCATAAGGGACATATAAGAAAGGTATCCCAGGTCTCTGATTACTTATCACAGGCTTGATTACCATGTAGGCTTCTGATCAGTAGAAATACCCTCTTTACATTAGATCTCAAATTTCTGCCCAATATCTAGCTGTCCCTTCATGTATGATACATGTATGCATGTACTACTGATTATATATGAGTAGGGTTGGCCATGTGTGCAAGGGTAAGATGCTGAAAAACATCAGAAATGTCAAAAATGTAATTTTCTATGATTTTGTTCCTGTAGAAGGATCCTGTGTGTCTTCTATGCTGGATATATGATATATCTACTCCAAATATACACAGAAACAGACCCATCACCCTCCTTGAGGTCCGGTCCCACAGGAAAAAATTTCACAGGGGGTAAACCACCAGGAGAGGGGGGGCACACCATGCAACAGGGGATTATCCTATGGTCCTGGGCTCCTGATACATTGTTCCTATTGTTGAATAGATGCTGGGAATCATTTTTACAAGTCTGTTCACCTACAAATAATTAAATGGGAACATATTCTGTGTTTTCTTGCATATGTGCTATATCTATTGATGTAGGACGCTTCAGGGGGTCAAATAAAGGTGTGAATCACTTCATATATACTCATAAACATGTTCTGAATGTCCTGGAACATCCCCCTATCAAAGGGGCAAAAGTGCGAAAATGTTCTGTACCCTACATCATTTTAAATGGGCCCTGGAGAGGGAGCTGACACACAAATAACTAAAAACATGTGGTTTATTATATCATATTATACATGTATATACAAAACTACTACTTAGATACAAAGGGGGACCTACTGTGGTGTAGTGGTGAAGCTGCAGTGAGGTGGGGAGGGTGTGGGAATAATTGATATTGTGGAGATTCCCAAAATGGGCAATGTTTTTGGTGTTGTGGGGTAATTCCCAGTGTGGGAATAATGTGGGAAGGTCAGGAGCAATCTATTTTTAAGTGATGTGGAGAAATTCCCACAGTAGGCCAAAAAAGCGGTAATTAGGGGTGTCCTGTTTTGGGGTATCAAGAGTAACATCAGTGATATATCACCAGCTGGTCATCAAATAGGGATCTGCAGGGATCCTCATCCTCATATATTACTTGCTTGTAAGTGATAATGACAATGATTGATGTATGGCAATTTACTGATAATTACAGTCTATTTAATGTATGATTATGACAGTATAGACTCCTACTGATCAAATATCATTAGCGCTGCTACTACTACCACTACTACTACTCCCATCGACACATCAGAGGATTCAGGCCTCACTATGATTATGCCATTACCTTGTCTGGGTTTCTGCATTGTTGATTGGCCCACGTCTGATGGCACACCTGTTGAAGCGAATCTACCATGGCTACGTACAGCAGAGGGACTGGACAAACTCTCACCTTGAGCCAAAAGTCAATGCACTTATGGAGAATGTGAGAACTCATCAACCACACACCCGCCATGGGCTTCTCACTCCTGTTCAACTTCTTGACATTATATGTGAGTGCGACCAGAACATGAACACTTTGAAGTTACAGGTGAGATGTCCAGTCTTTTCTTTGCACGCTTCGAGGCTCACAATCAATTTCAGAGTTTGAATAATGGGCGCAAAATCAAGCGCCTGCTTTCAACACTTGAAGACCACACCTCACTTGTCATGGCACTGTCCCAGTGCGATGTGCCCTGGCTTCGCAACCTTTTCCAAACTGCACTTCGTAATGGTACCAGCATCTGCGCAATACTTTGAATGATCAAAGAGGCCATCAAGTGTGGTTACCAACCACGAGGGCACAGTCAAGAGGCAATTGACCTTGCTGTTCTTGTTGTCTGGCTTGGTGGCCGGCCTCTGCTTTATGCCTTAAACCAGTGGCTTACCCTTCCATCACTATGCACTCTCTGCAACCACATGTCTTTCGTCGAAATAATTCCAACTATTGGTTGGATCTCAACCATTACCACAAGAATCTTGTTCTTGTTCCTCATCAGAATGCTGCACTGACAAAAATACATGGTGTCAGCATGATGATTGACTGAAACAGCACAGGAGGAGGCAGCTGTCTACATACAATGTACTGGAATACCTGATTATCACTGTAAAATACTTGAGTCAAAAAACTGTCCACATGAGTCATCAGTTTTGTAAGCCTTATATCTCCACCATATCTCAACCGATTCCCATGCCATAGGGCTCAATTGGAAGCCCTGAAGTAGTACTACAATGTGGTACCAGCATGTCCTTGATGTGTTTGTATATTCTCACACAATATCATAGATAGTGAAAAATGTGAAAACATGCGGACAGTTTTTTGAGCCACTGTATCAGTCTGCACTTGGGATTGCTGAGGCGCTGAAGTCTCAGAAGGTTCATGTTGGGAAGGAGGTTACTGTTGTGGGCGCTCACATATTTGGCGAAGAGGGAGTTTATCCTGTCCTTGCAGCGCCCACTTGCAAGAGTGAGAGCACTGCTGACATGGAGTTCATTTTCAAGACTATCCTCGAATCCTGGGATAATTCTGGAGCAGCTCAGCAGGTTGGACCAGCTTGGTCATTTGCAACTGATGGTGACTGCTACTCACCGCAAGGCTGGTCACAAGACATTTGTACACATGCCACTCTCACCCTTCTCACCACTTTATGGTACATTGTCCAATATTCCTGGCCTTAATCTCTTCACTGGTCCAGGTGAAGTGACACTGGACTTTGACTACAAACATATCATGAAATGTTCGTATTTCATGACTAGTACTTCAATATCTACTGACACTTTCATAGGCTATTGTACCCTGCTCCGATCTCGTGCTGGTATGCATCTCAACAATGGTTGCTGCATCAATGCAACCATGATCGAATGCTACCTTGTCTGGCTTCCTGATGTAGATGAAAGTCATTCTCAGAAGCTTGTTTACCCCGATGATCCCCAGGACGTGCCTCGTGCAGTTGAACTCATGGGTGCTGTCATTAAACTCGCATCACTGCCGAACCTCCCCAACAATGTTAATGTGATTGCTGACTTCGATGCAATCAAACTTCTAGCCAAAATTCTCCGCAGTCTCCTCAATCCATTCATTGATGTCAACTTCTCATTGACAGAGCAAGTTGTGCACCTGAGCCGCTTCGACTCATCTCCTCTTCGCATGCTACCATGATCAACGATGTGGGCTGATGCCTAACCAGCTATACTATGACTCCAAGACATTTGCCAAGAACATGGTCTTCTGCATCCTGAAGCAGCAGAAGCTTGATCCATCTGAATGCTTTTTCTTTCTTGATGCTGGGGACGATGCCCTCAAACTCGAGTTTGCATTTCTCCGAATGTGTGGGGTCACAATAACACGATGAACTACAAACAAGTGCTTGATTGTCTTGGCACTGCCTGAGATATCAGAGGAGTCTATGCATGCAATTCTGACCTCTCTCATGGCCATCGTCGGTTGAATCTCAAACGAGCAGATGGTGTCGACCACGTCAGCCATTTTATGTGGGTTGGTGACGTTGTTGCGGGTCATTGTGACCTTCCAAGTGTATGGCACCAAGGGAGGGACAAGGTCATTGCCATTCTCTCTTACTCACAGATACCTTCCTCTGCATACGACTTTGAGACACTATTTTCCCCAGGCTCAGGCATAGACCTATTGTGCATCTTTGGTGGGAGCAGGTACCCTGCTATTCACGAGGATGATGATGAAGACAGCTCACTCCTCGCACCTCCACCCAATGCTGTCGCACTCCAGCAAGATGTTGACAATGATGATGACGAGCCACCACTCACCTTCGAGGAATCACTTGCCTGACACACTTGATCCCGAGCATGAGGATGGAAACTGTTTGGTAGACGAGCTGGAGGATGATGATGACTACTCCCCCTCACCTACTTCTCCCTCCAAAGGGCCCTGGAATCCATGCTGAAGACTACCTCTGGTGCATAAACAAATGGATTCACAAGGCGTCAGTTGTCCACATCATGATCACCCTAGATTTCACTCCCAAAGCCCAGACTCGTTTACTCTGTGTTTGTGGATTCACACCAGTGAACAAGAACTTTGAGGATGCCATGGAGGTTGCTCAGCTGCTTCATGGTGATCAGTTCATCACC